GATTTTGGGGTCTAAAGGTCACGGATTCGGCCTGAGGCGAACTATGGCTATTCTCCACAGATGATGGAGTCAATTAATCGCCGATTCGGACGAAATGTATTCCGGGGGCATTTTCATAATTTTTCGTGCGCTTTTTCGGAAGGCCATTTTCCATGGATTTTGGAGGCTACGGATCAAGGATTCGGCGTGAGGCCATCCTTCAGCGATGACTGAGTCTATTGAGCACCGATTTGGGCGTATTTGTTCCGGGTCAATTTTTGGCAGTTTCCAAAGGGGTACCATCACCGATTTCGGGCGATTTTATGGAATGGCCATTTTCGTTGGATTTTGGGGTCTAAAGATCACGGATTCGGCCTGAGGCGAACTATGGCTATTCTCCACAGATGATGGAGTCAATTAATCGCCGATTCGGGCGAAATTTATTCCGGGGGCATTTTCGTAAATTTTTGTGCGCTTTTTCGAAGGCCATTTTCCATGGATTTTGGAGGCTACGGATCAAGGATTCAACGTGAGGCCATCCTTCTGCGATGACTTATCTCAAAAGGGGGATTCAACGTGAGGCTACGGATCAAGGATTCGGCGTGAGGCTATCCTCCACCGATGGCTGGGTCTATTGAGCACCGATTTGGGCGTATTTGTTCCGGGTCCATTTTCGGCAGATTCCTAAGGGGTACCATCTCAAATTTCGGTCGATTTCTTGGAATGGCCATTTTTGTTGGGATTTGGAGGCTACATATCACGGACTCGGCCTGAGGCGAACTAGGGTTATTCTCCACCGATGATGAAGTCAATTAATTGCCCATTTGGGTGAAATTTTTTTCGGTGTAATTTTTTGTAATTTTTCGTGCGTTTTTTCTGAATACCATTTTCCTTGGATTTTGAAGGCTACAGATCAAGGATTCGGCGTGAGGCTATCCTTCAACGATGATTAAGTTTATTGAGCACCGATTTGGGCGTATTTTTTCCGGGTCCATATTTGGCAGATTCCAAAGGGGTTCCATCACAGATTTCATGCGATTTTTTTTTAATTGCCATTTTCGTTGGATTTTGGCGTCTACATATCACGGATTCAGCCTGAGGCGATCTAGGGCTATTCTCCACAGTTGATGAAGTCAAATGTTCGTGCGGTTTTTTCGGAAGGCCATTTTCCTTGGATTTTGAAGGCTACGGATCAAGGATTCAACGTGAGGCTATCCTTCACTAGAGATTAAGTATATTGAGAACCGATTTGGGCGTATTTGTTCCGGGTCCTTTTTTGGCAATTTCCAAAGGGGTAACATCACAGATTTCAGGCAATTTTTTGGAATGGCCATTTCCGTTGGATTTTGGAGTCTACAGATCACGGATTCAGCATGAGGCGAACTACCGCTATTCTCCACCGATTATGAAGTAAATTAATCGCCGATTAGGGCACAAAATTTTCCTAGGGCATTATCGTAATTTTTCTTACTATTTTTTCGGAATGCCATTTTCCTTGGATTTCGAAGGCTACAGATCATGGATTCATCGTGAGGCTATCCTTCACCGATGATTAAGTCTATTGATCACCGATTTGGGCGTATTTGTTCCAGATCCATTTTTGACAGATCCCAAAAGGGGGTACCATCATAGATTTCGGGCGGTTTATTGGAATGGCTATTTTCGTTGGATTTGGGGTCTATAGACCACGGTTCGGCCTGAGGCGAACTAGGGCTATTCTCCACTGAAGATGAAGTCAATTAATCGGCCATTTGGGCGAATTTTTTTCGGAGGGCATTTTCATACTTTTTTGTGTGCTTTTTTAGAAAAGACATTTTCCTTGGATTTTGGAGGCTACGAATCCTAGGATTCGGCGTGAGGCTATCCTTCAGCGATGATTGAGTCTATTGAGCACCGATTTGGACGTATTTGTTCCGGGTCCATTTTTGGCTGATTCCAATTGGGTACCATCACATATTTCAGGCGATTTTTTTGAATGACCATTTTTGTTGAATTTTCGCGGCTACAGATTACAGATACGATCTAAGGCAAACTGGGGCTATTCTCCACCGATGACGAAGTCAATTAATCGCCGATTTGGGCGAATTCTTTCCGAAGGGCATTTTTGTAATTTTGTGCACTTTTTCAAAAGGTAATTTTCTTGAATTTTGAAGGCTACAGATCAAGGATTCGACGTGAGGCTATCCTTCAACAAACCATCGAGTCGAGCTAGCTCACGAGCTTCGCAAGCTGAGCAAGGCTTAGCTCAAACTCGACTTGTTTGTAAACGAGTTTTCTCGAGTTGCTCGCAAGCAGCTCGGCTCATTTGAAGCCCTACTCTGAACCCTCTATAGCTCCCAAATATGTCATTTGAAAAATGTGGTATCCCCTCCAAAGGGCGGATAAAAAGAAAACAGGACAAAATGGGAAAGAATCTGCAATGAAAGTGAATGAGATATATGCCCATTAGTTTAAAATGAAGTAATATGTACATCTAACCGTGTCCTCTAACCCTACCCATTGCTTTGTGTTCAATTTGGGTTCAGTTGTCATAAGTTAATTAATTAGAACCTTAACTAGCTTTTTACCCGGCTCGTTGGCCGGAGAGTTTCATTTTATCGTTGACATTAATTCAATTTATCTATATGTTTAAACTATTTTAGACCTTCTAAATTTATTATATTTTGTATTAATAAGTGAGTATGTGGTGTGTCTATATATTGAAAATTCTCAATACTTAGTACATTCAGTTATAATGTTTGAATTCTCTAATCATAAACCATGTCACAAAGGTATACCACGTCCCATGTACAAATTTTTCTATCTTATATGAATCCATGTTGTTCAGATGAGGACATCTTAGTTAGGGTTTCTTTGTACATATACTTCATTGTTGGATAAATTTCTACATCCCAATTAAAAGTAGACACTTTGGATGTTCATGAAGTTTACTGTAAGATCTTATTTGTATTTAGTCTCTTATACAATATGTATCAATTGCTAATTTTTTAAATTTAATTTGGACTAACTGAGACTCATTGTCGTTGTTTATATATTATTTTAGAATCTCAATCCAAGATACTCACATATGGATTTTGATCTTAATATGGTGCATTAGTGTATAATTTTACAACTTGTAGAACCTTCGTTTTCTAAAATTTATTTATGTTTGGTATTAGTTTAGAAATAAAAATTTCATTAATTATACTAATATATGCATTTTTCTGTATTGCCACATTTATTTTCAATATATAAGCATATATATGATAAAGAGTTTAATTATTTTAAGTGTAATTAATACTTGTTTTTTACTGGGATTTGTAAAATGTTAAGCAAATAAAGGGAAATATGAACAATTGTAAAAGAAAATAAGGGATGGAAGGACATGTTATAAGTGAGAGAAAATTTATTCTTACTTATCATCTTCATTTATCCAATGAGGTGATCTATTCTTGCTCCATTGAATTTTCATCAAATTATTTTATTCCGTAAATATATTATTAGTTATGCATGTGTTTTATTGCAAAAAAATGCATGTGTTTGCTAAGAAAGATCATATCTCTTACGATGATCAACTTCTCTAATCTTGCCTCATTTTCATGTGAATTTTCATGAAGTCTCCTAACGATCTTATATTAACATATGTCTATCAAGAGACCCAAATTTAGTATATTATATAATAGAGTAAATACATTTTATTAATCAAATATTTCAAAAAAAAATCAAAATACAAAGTATTAGCCAAACGTTAACTCCCCGTTAGCATTTTTATTAGTAATGTTGACTCAATAACATGATGATGAGTTGGAAGAGACACGTGACGGTCTATAATCCAATTTAGTATTTTAATTAAAAAAGAGTAACAAAATTATTAATGATAACAATCAAATGGTTAGTATTTTGATGTGATACAAAATATTTGGCTAATCATTTATAGTTTGAAAGGTTTGGCTAATAATTTAAAAAAACTGAAAGGTTTAGCTATTTAAATGTTATTTACTCAATATGTATGAATTGCTAAGTTGTCTCCTCCCACATTTTGTCACGCCCACTACTGAAGATCTATACCAGATCTGTTCTGTCCAATCCTCACCTTTGTCCACCAATTCACGGCCCATATAGTAATATCGCCAGCTGAATTTTAAATTGTCATCCTGCACCATTTCTCACAGGCGCCACCAAATTGTGGACATTGTTAGTTTCGTCTACTCGGGAATTTCCACTCTCTATTGCATTTAACACCCGTTATTTGGTTTGCTTTCCTTCACTCAAAATTTCTTCTCCTAACGACAAATCAAAAGGTAATGGCCTAACACCTACTTAGCATATGACGTAAACTGAAAATTTACTTAATAAGATTTATTCAAATATTTTTGTTTAAACAATCACGATACATGTCAGCCTAACATTAGTATACTGTTGCTACACGTATATACTACAAAAGGTAAAAATGAATTATTAAATAAAACAAAAGAAAAGAAAACATTAAATGAAGATAGAGATAGCTACATAAATTGAGCATTAACTTACTTTTGTGTTTGTAAAAAAAGTGTCAACCATGATAATTTGTAAATTCTTCAAGTGCTTATGTGGCAACAAACTATTGTTGAATTGCCATAGATAGATAGATTTTAAACCTTTATTTGATTAATGCATAGGTCAGTGGTTGATGAACACATGATGTTTAATATACAGTTTAGCAAAAATTCATCTAACTTTCACATATCATTTTTTGACGTATCTCATGTCTCATCTTAAGATATGAAGTCAACTTCATCAACAATCATACCGAAGTCATTTTAAAATTTTTGATTTATAATCCTTGAAAATTTATCACTCCAAGTCTGAAAATTAAATTTATTAACATATGACGTAAAACTTCAGTAGAGTTTGCTCAATTAACACGATCTAGAGCAAAAATGCAAAATATTAGTAATTTGAATTTAGGATACATTGTAAATTATTGCACCTATGATTCATATGTTTTCACTTAATTAGAATGGATAAGGTTTTTGTTTAAGAAATAGATTTTATTGCTTGGTCAAGTTTCTATTAATCTATTCAAACCTTTTTTGTTTTCTCTCTTTAATTTCCATCGTTATTTTGTCGCGATAAAATGTTATTATGTATGTGTTTTGTATAAATTGTTCATCAAAATGTAACATATTTGTAAATTATTGTAAAAGTGAGTTAAAATTTACTTAGTGAGCTTTAATAAGATATTATTTTGGTTGAGAAAAAAGTTATATGTGTGACTCAAAGACATTAGTCTATTGTTGTGTACATCGATACAATGCAAAAGTAGAAACAAAAACATAAAGGAAGTATTGGAAAAGAAAAATAAATATTAAAAAAGTTAGAGATAACAAAGGTAATATATGTCACTTTTCATACATTATTATTATTGTGTACATTGATATAATACCAAAAAAAGAAGATAAAAGGGAAATGAAATATTAATTGAAGAGAGAGATAGCTCCATAAAGATATCAATAACTATTTTTCTTTTTGTAAAAATATTGTCCACCTTGGCAAGTTGTGAACTCTCCAAGTGCTTAGGTGGCAAACAATTACTTTTGAATTGCCATAATATTATGTATAGATAGATAGATAGATAGATAGATAGATAGATAGATGGCACAAAAACTCCTCCAAGATTTGGTTAATTACAAAAAGAACCCCGTCAATTATAAAATAGGGTAAAACTCGTCCCCGACCCTAAATCCGTCAACACTGGATTCAACTCATTTTGACTGACTTGATAAACCGGGGCGAGTTTTTAACAAAATTCACACCTGACCCAATTCGTTAATTACAAAAGTGGGCAAAATTTGTTCGACCATAATTCGTCAACACCGGGTTCAAATCTTTTTGACCGGGTAGAAATACACGTGGATTTGGGTTCGATTGTGATAAGAGGAAATAATCAAATGTCGCTTTGACTGGCTTGATAAAGCGAGGCAAGTTTTTAACAAAATCCACATCCGACCCAATTCGTTAATTACAGAAGCAGATAAAATTTGTTCCCGACTCATAATTCATCAAAACCGAGTTCATATCGTTTTGAGCGGGTAGAAATACACATGGATTTGGGTTCGATTGTGATAAAGAGGAAATGATCAAATGTCGCTTTTACTAGCTTGATAATGCGATGCGAGTTTTAAACAAAATCCACACCCGACTCAATTCGTTAATTATAAAAGCTAGTAAGACGTCAAGATTGGGTTCAACTCATTTTGATCGGGTCGAATTAGGTTATATATACATGGATTTGGGTTAGATTGTGATAAGAGGAAACGATTAAAACATTTGATTATTTAATAAAAGGGTTATAGGTATAAATGCCCCTCTACTATGGTGTTTTATCAAACATACCCCTTTACTATTTTTTACATCAAACATGCCCCTGTACTTTGTAAAAATTATCAAACATGCACTTTTGTTAAAATTTTCGTCTAAAAATCGTTAACCAATACCGAACTTTAGTTTGGGCGACACAAATGTCTAAAATATCTCTAATAATTTCACTTTAGAATTTTTTTGAATCTTTTGTATAGCCAAATAATTCAAATCTTTTCACTTTGAAAATACTCAGAGAAATAAAACGGGGGACAAAACTGATATTTTCTCTCCCATTTGCCGATGTCGGGTCGTCTAAATCTCGGTTCAACCATGATTGATGATTTTTTCAATGGAAATTTTAGCAGAAGGGTATGTTTGATAACTTGGTCAAAGTACATGGGCAACATCAAAATAGTAGAGGGACATGTTTGATAAAACGTCATAGTAGAGGGACATATTATACCTACAACCCTTAATAAAAAGTTAAGCAATAAAATCATCCTTGTTGACGTGACTCTTTTAATATAATAATAATTATAATAGTCAATTAAAGATGATCAATTAAAAAAATAATTTTAACTTTATCTAATAAACCCTAACGCATGCACCTCTCAAATCAAATCTCGCAGGTTTTACTTTTAAGTTTTACCTTATCTACTAAACTGGATTTGAAAGTTGAAACCCGTCCCTCAGTCCGCTTCAATGAAGCCCACCACAACATCTCAACTTTCATCTCCTTCCCATTCTCGTCATTCAACTGTCGGCCGCCGCTGCTTTTCGCAGCTACTCGAATCCGCCGGAGAGACAGTCTCACATTTCTTCGCCTACCTCTTCCCGGCCGGCGGTTACATGCTCTATATAGCGACACAGGTGGCATTCGGGATGCGACCGTGACGGCCGGCCGGAGAGACACACGATTCGTAAGAGTACATTTTCTCATCAAGATGTGTAGACTATCTAGCACCAGCATTTCGATTATTATTAGGGTTTTTTCGCACTAGATCTGCTCACTCTCTGGTATATAGTCTCATTTGCTGCTGAGCTTTCTTTTGTAGTTTACTATTTGTCAGGGTTCCGTTCTGATTTGTTGCTCTTAAGCTTTTCTCAGGTTCCCAAACACTACCTTTAAGTCACTAGTAGTTTCCTTTTCTGAAGATTGGATGTTAATATAATGTGTTTGGCTTGTATCTCGTGGGGGGAAAAAAAGCTTTGCCTACAATTTTTAATTCGAAACTGGGGATGGTTGAATTCTTTCCTACTTAGGCTCTTGTTGTGTTTCTATGATGACATTAGTGGCGTAGCCAGGGTCCTTAAAAATTTACTAACACTAAATCCTGTGTATCTACTGAATTTTGAGTTGATCAGGGTCCTTGGTAAGCTAATATCGTCGAGAATATGAGGTCCTAAATTTAAAGGATCGTACTAAACCCTGCATATCTAAAGGATTTTGTTCCCCAATTTTTTACCAACTGGGGTCCTAGGGGCTAGGACCCCTCTCCCCCTCACCTCCCTCCACTGGATGACATACCTAATTGCAATTTTTTAATTGAACTCCAGCTAGGTTGAAGTTTTATTATCATTAAAGAACAAACCATCTGGTCTCATTAACTCTAGTGGTTGGAAAGACTTTGTATGAGTTTTATATTTCATTTCCTTTTGGTTTACACTTAGAAATCCCTAAACTACTATAAGGTATTGATGTCATTGCCTTAAAAGGAAAAGGAAGTCATAATCATTGCTCAAGACTTTGGAAGGGTTTTGGAGATGTGACTTTTTTAAATTGAACATGTAGAGGTGATTATCAATTTGTGTTTTTGTGAGGATGTTTGTAACTAGGGTTAATGAATTTACTGAGGGGTTGATCTTTAGCCTTTGATAAGGTAAAAGAAGTCACTCATCATTTCCCTTAAACCCTTGATTCCCCTCTTCATGGTACATTCCTCCCTAGCTATGCTAAATAGATAGGTGCTAGTTCTGGAGAAGAGATAAAGCTAACCACATGGTCACTCTTGAAAGTCATTTGTTTGATCGATCGTCTAAACAATGAGAGTCGAAGTCAAGTGACATTAACTGATCTTTCATGGAGAGCAATTTTTGTACCCATCAAGGCTAGGTCGTTCATCAAATGAAAAATCCATTAGCATCCCCTTCCCGCCTTAGCAAACTCATCTTCTTTTTCGATAGGACGATTTTGCTATAAGTTTCTCTCGGAGAGCTAGCCAGTTCCATGATATTTATTGTCGTGCCTTTACCCGCAACAACAATTGATTGCATAAGAGAGTTCAATGGAAGTATGATTATTCACTCTTTCTTTTATCGATCCTCATTTGCATATATGGACTATTTCAGTTAAGCGAAATGTTGCACTTTTCATGATGTCAATATATAGGGATCCTAGCTACTATGTATTAGCTAGGTTTATACGTTTATAGGATCGAACATATCGTCTAAATTGCGAAGGACCACTAGACAATAGTTCATATAGTTTGATTAGATTGATAACTAGCTAGCTAGCTAGCACGGTGGGTTGTGTTTTTGTTAATGCATTTTGTGTAGCACCTTTTGTCAAGAGGATTATGTTGCTTCCTCACTTGTATCATGGATATATAGGGTTTGCTCTCATTCATTCCGAGGGAGGTGAAAACCCCTTGTCCTTGTGTTGGTTTCCTTTCATCATCCTGAAATGCCATCTTAATTACCCCATGAACAATTGGTGCTAGCTAGCTTTAAGCACATTTTCAAGTTGTGGATATGTACGTTAAAGTAATGTTTCTGCAAATAGTTTTCAATGTCAATGTGAAACCCTCACAAAGTTGCTTGTGACAGCGTTACTATATAGCGCGCTATCTCGCTGAATGGAAACTGCGAAACGATCGATGGATGGACACATACGATTCACTCCCACTAAAGCTTTTTTTTATGTTATCAACTATATCATCATCTTTTGGTGACAGTCAAATGAGCTTGGGAGTGATCAGGCATAGTGCATTGTTCTATCGATCGCCTTAGAATGGATTGTACGCAACACCTATTTAACATGTTAGTTGCCATTGTTTTGAAGAAGCCCCAGTTAGTGACGAAATGGATGATATATAGTGTTTGACAACTTACTCTACTTTCTGCAACAGGTTGTGTGAAGGTACAAGTTAACTTCGGGAAAACAACACTTGGGTCGCAACATACTGGTTTTGTAACACACTTTTTTTTTTTGGGTATCATATTGTTCATAAATACAGGTTATGTAGTAGAAGGTACAAGATGTTGGCGAACAGGGTACATTGCAGGTAAAAATGGTACACTCTATGTCTCAAAGTTTCCACAGATTGTGTGAAGATAGAAGTTAATATATATCTGCGCAACAAACTTGCAGTGAAAATGGTAAAGATCGTTTCTTTCATCCAGGAAGCTATCAGCAAAAAGGTTCTTTTTTCATGGAGAAGAAGGTAATTTCGACCAAATCACAACGCATCCACGGTCCCCGTCATTTCAAAAAAAAGGGAGTTGTGTCGTGTGAGTGGAATCAATCCCATCGTTAGCCGGCAGGAAAAAGGCGAAAACATCGGACAAAAAATATCTGCCGAAAAGAACATCAGAAAAAGGCCCTGCCGGCAGCTGGTGCACGTTCAAACTCACCATTATGCATGCAATTTAGACACAGAAAAATGCAAGTCAGAAAAGGCGGCACGCACGCACGCACGTAGATAATTACTTCTTGAACGTGCTCTCTAATTCGTACAGTTCCGTTTTCTTTTCATCCTGAGAAAAAGACTAGCTAGACATAAAGCAACATATATAGCTCTTACTTTTTACTCGATCGTCGTGGCGGCGAAAGGAGGAATAGACGGTCTGGCATGATAAGAAGGGAGCACAATGTAGCCAAGACTAACTTGCCGACCAGCAAAGCCGCCGATTTAGCCGCGCGGCCCGTCGGCAAGTCATCCTTGGCTAGACCACGCCCCTCTCCATCTCCATGCCAGCCCTACCCTCGCGAACAATATCTAATCTAACTTGTAGGACAATATACTTTGAGAGTTTTGAGTAGGCTATTTATAGGAAGAAAAGGGGGAACGAGTAAGAGGTATAAGCAAGCCAAAGTGGCTGATTAGCATCCCAAGGGGCAAAAAAAAAAAAAAAAAAAAAAAGGCAGCAAGTGAGAATGGATAGAGAGCACCGCCCACTCAATTGCTAGCTATACTCCTTCCAGCTAACCCATATCGACAAATTCCACAATCCTCAAATTGTTTTCGAAAGAACAGCACAGCATGTACATTGAAGCCTCGCCACCTGCTCGATTCAGTTTCCTTTTCCCCATAGATAGGGTTTGCAAGCTTTACTGAATCGACCACCGCTTTGCTTGCGCGTTTCTAGAAATGAAACGTGTTCAGTGAAAAAATTTAGGAACCGAACATAGCTCAATCCCCTTTAAGCAAAATCACGTCCACCGTTGCAAGTTGCAACAAGAAAACTAGGGAAAAGGTTGGTGTTGGCATAACAACGGAAGCTATATATGTAAAGTGGTTCTTGTTGATTTCTGCTGTGTTCCCAGTCGTTGTTGACATAATAACAAATTAAATCCCTTACAACTTACAAGAATACTTCCTACCTCTGTTTTTAACATATATATATATGGTTATATTTTTGGTGCACTCACTTTTTTGAGTGCATTCAATGCACCCGCCTCATAATCGTCATTCTAAGCATGAGATTCATGTGAAAACTATGTCAATCATCACTTGTGGTATGATGAACAAGAACCACATGAATTTTTACAAAATTCATTCAAGATTCATTTTAATTTGAATGATCTAGGGTTTAGAAATTTAGGGTTAGGGTTTACAGTTTGGGATTTTGGGTTGGCATTCAAAATTGAAGGTTAATAGGTTAGGATAATGGACTCATTAGTTGTGATTTTGTGTTATATCATCATACTAGACTAATGCTACCCATTAAAGTTCAAAATTTGATGTATTATGACCACTTTTAGAATTGGGTGCACTGAATGCACCCAAAAAAGTGAGTGCGCCGAAGTAGCCACCATATATATATATATATATATATAAATATAAACCAAAAACTAAAACGTGGTAAGTGGTCAAAAATAGGCAAATATATAGTAGTTGAAACTAACCACAGCTGATAAAAAGGGGCTTCCGCTCTGCTCCCGGCCCTTTTCCTCGTTCCCAGATTTCCTATGGGCTGTCCGTCCTAGCCCAATCCCATTTCAGTGTCCCTTCAACCCATCTGAGTGGGCTTATATAAATCCCAACCCACAACTTGTCCTTTTTTTCCAAACGATCACTCAAGAGGAAAGAGTGCCGATCAAAGATTACAACGAACCCATAACTTGTCCGCTCTAGCATTTCACCCAGCACCCCGGCCCTTTCTTCCATTTTAGCAGGCCTTTCAGCCCATAACACAAATTCCTTCGTCTAACCAATTTGAAAAAAGAAGCTTCCTGTCTAACTTTCTATTTTTGCATATATTTTATGCCTAATAAATAAACATAAACGAATAGAAACTGTTGAAAATCGAATGGAATCCGGCAAAAAAAAAAAAAAATCAAATCATTTTGTCAAACGCGTGTGTTGATTTGTTGAACAACAAAACAAACCTTTATATTCCTTCCGCAAAACTAGCGCAAATCTCTCCTAGAAAGACTGATCAGTCAGTGCGGCGGTGGTTTGGTAGATACAATAGTAAGCAACGTGTCCGCCAAACAATTTAAATAAAGAAAAAGATGGAAGGAAAACGCTGGATGGCCCGCCCCAACAGCCCATTTGGGCCTTTCCCGGCCCACATGGCCCACTCCCGCGGATTCTCTGCCTCTCCTCCACGCCACCAACCCAACCAACACCTCCTGCCTTCTATTTTTATTTTATACTTTATACATACACCCCCACTCATCCAAAACAAAATTACAAACTTAGAATATTCCCATGAATAAGACTAGTCAATTAAAATAAAACTAAAATAAACCTAAACGAGTCCTAAGAAGATTCAATGAAAATTTTTTTTTGATACCGAATTATTTTGTACAAGTTATCATTTTCAATTTCATTAAAATACAAAAGTGGAAAAAATTACTTATTCGATTCGTCCAATAAGAGTTTAATAATATTCTTTATCTTTGAAAAACACTCTTTGGCTATGGTTATTACTTGTTATTATGTTTGTGAATGCCAATTTTAATATACCAAATTTTGGATATAAAAGCCCATATACCAGCATCATAATTCATAAAGATTAAGAAAGTTGAAGGGTCAATTAAACATTCTTTTTTTTTCTTCTTCTTGTTTTCCCTTTGTTTTATTATTAATTAATTTATTATACAAGGAAGGAAAGAATCTAATTGAATGGAAATTTATCTTGTATACAACAACCCTTGCCACATAAGCCGAGTACGTTGCAGTTTGCACATCAGACAATACCATTGCGGCTAAGCTAACCTCTCTCTCCCCCATTGATCTCATCGTTCTCACACTTACCTCTTCTTCTCCTTCCACACCGATTCCGAAGACTGGAGTTTTAGTCTCTGGGCTTGCCACTGGCGTCTTTTCACAGGCCAGGCCAACCAGGCGTTAACTCCCTCCAAGCAACTTCGCTGAGCTATCTGGGAAGTAGTTGGTTGAAAATTCCCTAATCGAAATTCCAGCCCCTGAGAATTTGAGGAATTTGGAAAGTGGGTTTTGAGTTCGACGACTCTAGGGAGTTCTTGGTCAACTTCACCCCCGGAATTCGACTAGGGGGGAAGGCTGTCTTCGTTGCCTCACGGAGATCGGAGGTGATCTCGGTTGCGCGAAGACAATCCCCAAGTGAGCGGCCCTGTTCAAGTTTGCGACTTCCACTAAGCTGTAAACTGTTAACTGAGATGATGAACTCAGCTTTCATTTGTATTGCCGAGAATTGAGGGTGCTAGTTGTAGGTAATTTAATTGCGATTGCTGCCAAGAACTTAGCTTTATCTTCATTCAGTGTTGGCGATTGTTTTCTGGCCGAGAATGGCTTTTTCTGACGTAGTTTCATTTTGTGATTAGTGGGTTTTGTTCACTCTGTTTCCTTCTCCCTTTGTGCATCTGCCACATCCGAATTTGAGACCTTACTTTGTGAAAGTTTGGAAATTTGTATGAAGAATGAGATTGACCGCATGGTGAAATTGGATTGTATTCTGGGTTTTGATCGGCTTAAGGTTGAATTCGATCGTGGGGTTTGGTTTAGAGGGATTCAAAGTTTTTTTTTTTTTTTTTTGTCTTTTGCAAACTAGGGATTCAAAGATTGGGAGAGTTGCTTTGTGTGGTTTACATTTGTGGGGTTTACATCTTTGTGGAAATCGAAATTCTGATAATTGTGTCCTTGTTTGTGACATTTTCTCAGCGAAATTCACAGGCTGTTTGAAAATGGTGGCTCGAGTGAAATGGGGTAGCATTTACAGAAGGCGGATGAGAGTGTTTACGCTTACTCTTGTGATTTACTTGGATTACAAGGTAGAGTTTCGGAATCGCCATGACTGCATTTATATGAATCTTTGCGATGGAAAATTCTGATTGTGCTAATTGCATCCAAGTACTATAGGCTTTACAACAAAGAGAAAAATGGATCAGCCCGTCTAAAAGAGATGCTCTTTGGGAGAAGGCTCATGAGCGGAATGCTAGGCGTGTTCTCAACGTAATGATTGAACTGGAAGGTTTGTGGGTGAAACTTGGACAATATTTATCCACTCGTGCTGATGTGCTTCCTCGTGCTTACATAGCACTTCTCAGGCAGTTACAAGATGCACTTCCTCCTCGTCGCTTGCAAGAGGTTATAGCTAATGAAATTATGCAATGCTCTCTCTTTTCTGCTATGCTGCTTTGAGTAATCGTAATTGCAATGGCAACATAAAATCTACTGTGTTCCATATGATAACTAAATAATTGACAGAGGGATCATATACCCATAGTAGTGATGTAACTTGTGTGATTGTATTTTGAAACTGATTCAGTGATGATAACTATCAAGGCTAAATATTTGTATTATGTTGATTTGATTTTGATGCACTTCTGCCTTATCTCCTTTAATATCTACAATATCATTAGTGTAAGCTTTTCTTGCTCGAATGGGTCTCCTTGATTCCTCGCACTCCCTTGGAATTATTTTAATGGGCTGTAGGAATTTGGTATTGACCACTCTGGACCATGTGCAAATTTTGGTTTCTTCTATTCAGATGGCATTGGCACCACCTGTATGCCCTTTGAATTCTCCACTCTTTGTCTACCACAAGCCAATCATTTTGAAAAAATCCTCGTGTTCAGGAATTTGTAGATCAGTCAAGGTCTCTTAGATGGTTGTAGTTCTCAAAGATGTTTTGCAAATATAGTAGATGAGCTTAGTACTACACATACCATGTCGAACTGGCCTACAATCTTTATTACCGTTCTGCTCAATGGGCTGTAGGAATTTGGTATTGACCACTCTGGACCATGTGCAAATTTTGGTTTCTTCTATTCAGATGGCATTGGCACCACCTGTATGCCCTTTGAATTCTCCACTCTTTGTCTACCACAAGCCAATCATTTTGAAAAAATCCTCGTGTTCAGGAATTTGTAGATCAGTCAAGGTCTCTTAGATGGTTGTAGTTCTCAAAGATGTTTTGCAAATATAGTAGATGAGCTTAGTACTACACATACCATGTCGAACTGGCCTACAATCTTTATTACCGTTCTGCTCAATTGCTTGTCCTCATCTGTACATTGCAGTCATGTTCTCGCTCATGTTAAGGTGATCAATTTTTTTAGTTTCGCTAAATACTCTACTTTTGATTGCACAGATTCGTTCTACCATACAAAAGGAGTTGGGGGAGACCATGGACGATCTCTTCTCCTATTTTGATGAAACTCCTCTGGCAACTGCCTCGGTGAGATATGCTGACCATCTCTGTTGTGTAGTGCATCCCTATTTGCTATTAACATAAGTTTCATAGGTTACTTGCACCACCTCAGTGGCATAATAGTTGCTGTTATGATCTTTATAAAACAGATTGCTCAAGTCCACCGAGCAACTTTAGTTGATGGGCGTGACGTGGTTGTAAAAGTTCAACATGAGGGCATCAAGGCAATCATACTAGAGGTTGGATTCATTCACTTCCGAATTGTGAGAAAATGATACAAGTTGGATAGATTAATGATCGGCGCAGATGTGTTTGGCAGGACTTAAAGAACGCCAAGGCAATTATTGACTGGATAGCCTGGGCAGAGCCACAATACAACTTCAACCCTATGATTGACGAGTGGTGCAAAGAAGCTCCTAAAGAACTCGACTTCAATCTTGAAGCTGGTACGTTGTTGGTAAATTCCATATTCTGCAGGTTGACATAATTTAATTCAACATTCTTAATGTAGAAAATGACACTTACTTCCTCTTGCAGAGAACACTAGAACCGTAGCTATTAATCTAGGATGCAGGAACAAAGATGACATTAACACACATGACAACAAGGTGGATGTTTTGATCCCAGAAGTCATTCAGGTATTACCCCTCTCCTTCACTTGATGGACATGCCTCCTTGCCTGTAGTTGTCATTTCTTGATGTTTGAAAGTTGGAATCTGGAATGTCAAGCTGTCTTGTGCTCTTTACAGAACGATGATTATTCATCAGATCAGGATAGGTGCCCTACCTCTTTCTTAAGACAAACACCCACACACTACTTGCCATTGTTTCTTTACGGATCTTAGTAAGTTGTGTGTTTTTTTTTTCTTGTTGTTCAAAGCGAAAGTTAATGATGAATTCCTCTTCGGTTATTCACCATAAAAAACTCCATCCATGTGATGGTTTCTTACTGCAAAACAATTGATTTGGGTAACTTGTTATGGAATGTAGTTCTTATGAATTGGGCGGCTGAAGGATTTGCTACTGTACTTAAGCTGGTGTTTTACTTTTAGGTTATTTGATTTATCATGGTTCTCTCTTTCTCCCAATGCAGTCTGCTGAGAAGGTTCTAATCTTGGAGTACATGGATGGGATTCGTTTGAATGACCGTGTAGCCTTGGAATCTGCTGGTGTTGACAAACAAAAGATTGTTGAAGAAATTACACGTGCCTATGCTCATCAAATATATGTCGACGGAATGTTTAATGGCGATCCACATCCTGGTACACACTCTCCCTCTCTCATGCATACGGGTGCTCAGGCAAACACACATATACTTGTTGATTGACAACTTGAATCTCAAGCTTTATACCCTTGAATTGCTGTATACTCGTATTACATTCTGCAGGGAATTTCCTGGTGAGTAAGGAAGCTCCACATCGTCCGATCTTACTGGACTTCGGGCTTACAAAGAAAATATCAACTACTCTGAAACAAGCACTGGCTAAAATGTTCCTTGCATCTGTCGAGGTATGTTTGAACTCCCTTTTTCCTATCTTGCATTTGTGCTCTTATCCTCACACTTCTCTTGGTTGTTAACTTCATTTTATCAGCTGAGAGATAAAGTTCTTCAATGTTTTTGGTTACAGGGGGACCATGTGGCTTTGTTGTCTGCTTTTTCAGAAATGGGTCTTAAGCTTAACTTGGACTTACCAGAGCAAGCAATGGAAGTGACTAATGTGTTCTTTCGCACTGCGAATCCAGCTAACGATCCTGCAGTAAGTGTGTTGTTCATCGTTTGATTTTCAACCTTGTCATTGTTATTTTCTTAGGGTTTTTTTGTGTAGGCAAACATGAAAACTTTGTCCGATCAAAGATCGAAAAACATGAAGGTGATCCAGGAAAGGATGAAACTCAACCAAAAGGATGTTAAAAGGTTTAATCCAGTAAGTTCTTTAACATCTATGTCAATCTGTAAGTTGACTTCTTTGGTGCCACTTGATAACAATTGCACTTTTCAGATTGATGCCTTTCCTGGTGACATTGTCATATTTGGTCGGGTCCTCAATCTTCTAAGAGGTGTGGCAGAAAAATCTTCCTTTCTTTAGCTTGGTTGATTGAGACTCATGCCTCCTGCTAATGATTCTGTGTTTACAATGCAGGACTTTCAACCACTTTGAATGTTCGCATAGTGTATCAGGAGATCATGAGACCATTTGCTGAATCTGTGCTGCAAGGGTCAGTTGGTCGATACACTATTTCTTGACTATTCCTTTTATATTAACTGTCACATCTGACATGTGAGGTCAATCACCAGATACATCAGCAAGGCACCAGCAGCAAATACAGAATGGATCTATGACACACCTGTAAATTCTGATGTGGAGGCCAAGTTGAGGCGGCTCTTAGTTGAGCTCGGGAATGAAGAGAAGATACTCGGAGTCCAGGTCCGTATCAACCCGAAGCTTCTTCCACAGCTTTATTTAGCTATGAGTTTGTGGTTTGATTTAATCTATCTTTGACCTGTATTCACATTTTGCTGTCATTCTAAAAGCATGTGGTGCACTTTCATGATAAAGCACTTGATTACTTATTTATCTTTTGTTTGGGACTAGAAATTTGTGTTTTTGCTTTGGGTACAGTAGGGGTTCTCCATCCTTGCTACTTTTGTTGTTCTAATTTGAGGGCTTAGCAAGATATAAGTTGTGTTGATAATGGTTTCTGTGGTTGTATGTTAAGGTTTGTGCTTACAAAGATGGGAAGGTTATCATCGACACTGCTGCTGGGGTACTTGGGAGATATGACCCTCGCCCAGTCCAACTTGATAGCCTCTTCCCAGTTTTTTCAGCAACTAAGGGTGTCACTGCTGGTTTAGTGCATTGGCTTGTAGACAACAGGTATTATGTACTTTTATTTGTTGATGAAAACAATTGACATTACTCTGAATTATCCACAGTTTGTAAGAAGTATGTTCTTTTACTGTAGGAAACTCAAGCTTGATGACAATGTTGTCAACATCTGGCCGGAATTTGGAACAAACGGAAAAGATCGCATCAAAGTGAAACTTCTTTGACCTGTTAGCTTTTGTGAAATTTGATGCGTGTTCTTTCGCTGACTTTTGACTTATATTCGCTTCTGCATCAGGTCAATCATGTTCTTAATCACACATCTGGTTTGCATAATGCAATGGCCAATCTTAATGGTGGGAATCCCTTACTGTTGTGTGACTGGAAAGCTTGCCTGGAACAAATTGCTCTGGCAGAGCCCGAGACAGAACCGGGTCAGGAGCAATTGTACCACTATCTTTCTTATGGTTGGCTTTGCGGTGGAATTATTGAGGTATTTTCCAATGTCTTTCTTTTGGTGCTATCTAAAACCTATGTGAACTGCAAAGGTTTTCTATGCGTGGAAGGGTGCTTATACTTTTGGATAAAAAGTTCAAGAGGATTGAAGTAACTGTGCTTAATGACCTTCATACTAAACGATGCTGTTCTGTCCTACAATTTCTAGAAGTTATTTGTTGTTTTCCCTGAATCACTTGGGAATTTACATCTTTATTAGTTTATGGTAGTTGATTTGAGCGTGGATTTGTGATTACTGTAGCAGTGTGCAACGAGTTGTGTCCCATTTGACCAAATAGAAATACTGGACCAAATGTAGTTCAATTCAGTCTAAATTCCATGGATCCTCTTAAAAATAATCCAAAATGCGGACAAAGCTGAATGAATGCATTTTTTTAATTTGACGCTAGTCCTCATCTTTCATTTCGTCTTATGCTATTCGGTCCAATTCTGTACCGGACCGGATTATGCACACCAGCAGTGAAGTGAGAACAGTCTTATTTCCTTGATAATGTTTGAGATAGTGTAGTTTCACCTACATTCGTCACTTGTTAAGGATCAAATTCCATTTGTATGCATAAATACAAGTATAAAAATACCATTTCTGTGGTCGATTATGTATGTGTAGTTACATTGAATCTTAGATGCCCAGGTGGCTGTGTGCGAGATTTTGCTCTTTTTCCACTCATTTTAACAGTGTTGTTGATGGAACAGAATGCTTCCAGGAAGACATTTCAGGAGATACTTGAAGAAGCAATTGTTAAACCCCTTAATGTTCAAGGCGAGCTGTATGTTGGGATACCTCCTGGTACATTAAACTTCTTGTCTCTTTCATCTTGTTGCTTTAACGGACTTGCTTCATTGCTTTCTTGGTCAACTCAGGGGTAGGATGAGTGACAAGCTTAATTGTTTTTCTCAACTTGGACAGGTGTGGAATCCCGACTGGCTAGCCTCACATTAGATACCAATGACCTAAGCAAGCTGGCACAGACCACCAATCGCCCTGATCTCCCCTCGACATTCCAGCCAGAGAGGGTTGGCGAGATGCTAACCACCATTCCTGCTCTGTTCAACATGCTTATTACTCGTCGTGCCATTATCCCTGCAGCTAATGGACACTGCTCAGCTCGTGCTCTTGCGAGATACTATGCTGCACTTGTTGATGGTGGCGTTATTCCACCTCCACATTCCTCGTCTTCATTGCAGCCACCTCTTGGAAGCCACCCCCACATTCCCAAACTCGGCCGAAAGAAACCTTCTAAACCAAAAGGAAAGAAATGGAGTGAAGCACTGGTCGGCACTTCTTCAGACAGGAAACAGAATGACAATCACAGTAGTGAAGATGTTGGTTACACTAAGCTTGCTGATGACAATCACCCTAGTGATGATGATGTCCCGGCTGAGAGTGCCAACTCTCACGGCAAGTTGCTTGTTAAGGAAGAAACTCGGATGTATAGTAACCCGAGGATTCATGAAGCATTCTTAGGGGTTGGGGAAGAGTATGGTCAATTGGCCAAGGAAAATGGGGCATTTGGGTTAGGTTTTAGGAGGTTGAGATCCAAGGACGGAACCTTTCTCGGGTTTGGGCACTCTGGCATGGGAGGGTCGACTGGTTTCTGCTACCCCAAGGACAGGTTTGCTATAGCCGTGACAGTAAACAAGATGTCATTTGGGTATGCAACCAGGAGAATAATGCAGTTGGTGTTTTCGGAGTTGAATCTGCCACTACCGGTGGAGTTCTCGCTTGCAACGCCTGGCGAGATAGAGTCGAGCATCGGGACACCGCCTCTAATTAACTAACCGTTAAGTGATCTCTATCTAATGTTAATCACACTTGTATACTCGATAACATGAATCTCAGCTGTATGTCAGTCTTTTTAGAACATTATGAAACACTTCGTGTCTACAGAGAGTAGACATGTAAAAAGTTTGCTTGTTTCATTCAGTCAAGCTAACATGAAGCGTTTCAAGACTACGAAATTTGTACCAAAGGAAGAAGGAACAGCAAAAACCCAGAACTATTAACTCTATACAAAAGAATATGTTCTTCCTCTAAACCAGAGACAATGTGAAATTGATTAATTACACGCCGGAAATCTGCAAGCAGGTAGCCATGGGAGGCCTAGCAATGAAGAGGTGGACGACAGCGCTGAATCTTCTTCTTGTTGTTGAATCTGCCAGCCGACGACACGTCTTTGTCGTAGAGAATCTGTTGCTGCGTGTTCTTCGGAACCTCTGTCCAAAAGTCAATCACTTTGGACCTTTTCCTCGACTCCTCGCAGGCACTGTAGCCACTCTGCAGCTTCCTCTTGGTGGTCTCCAATCTCCTTTCGTACTCTCCCTTTGCTTCGTCGCCTAGCTTCGGTTCAGAGGACACTCTTTTCGCTGTCGTCGAAATAGCGCCGGTTTGGCAGAGTTGGAGCGCGGGTTTAGCAGAGTCCGACGTCAATTTGTGATCACGATCTCGCAAATCGACTTTCACATGGATGCTTCTTCTTGGCTTCTCCACTGCTTCCTCCTTTTCTTGCACGCGGTGGTCGCCGGCGTTGATGGGTTTTGTCGTCTTCGTCTCCGGCGTTGATGGGTTTTGGAGCTCGGGTTTGGCGAGGTCGGATGACGTCAATCTGCGATCACGAACTGGCAAGTCGATTTTCACATCGATGGTTCTTGTTGGCTTCTCCACTGCTTCCTCCTTTTCTTGCACGCGGTGGTCGCCGGCGTTGATGGGTTTTGTCGTCTTCGTCGCCGTCGATTCCCTGGCTACGGCGGAGCGCCGAGACATGTCGAAGGCGCCGAGAATCCGGGCTTTTTCAGCCCGGAGCTGCTTCGGCCAGCGGATAGCAGCGAGGGTCATGGCGCACTCTATGATCTCAAATAACTCCGGTTGCGGCTTGTAGAGAAGCTCCTTGTGTTTCCCTGGATTCCAGCACGGCGGAAGAGCCATCGTGACGGTGGCTGGAAACAGAGAGACTGAAACAGAGAGCGGCTGCGCGAGAACAGAGCGTAGCGGCCAACGGGAGTAAGAAAAGGAAATTGCCGGAAAGAAATCGTGATTTCAGTTAAGTGGGTGTTCCATTATATAGAGGAAATGATTTACCGAAACTAATATGGAATCCTTTCCTTGATCGGAAAGGAACAGGGATTTCCTTCTCCCAATTGGAAACGGAGCAGTGAGCGCAGGTTTCTGATTTTACCGCCAAATGGACAACGGTCGGCTTTCCCGCCACGTGAAATGGGCTTAGACGAGTGTTGGCCCACGAACTGATCCAATAGTCCTGATTTCCCGCCGAAGCCCAACGTAAATTTAGCCCAATCCTCCCTCTCGTCCTCCACGGCGGAGGTTTTGTCTAGAGTTGATGGAAATTTCTTTTCCCCCATCTGATAAAGCAATCTGTATAAATATGTGAAAAAGATTTATTTCACTCCTCTTATTAATAAGTTGGTACAAATTCAACTACATTATTTTTGGATTGGATTAGGTTGGTAGGTGGGTGTAATTGGATTATGGATTAAGAGAGGATCCGGTGACTAAGGGAGTGCTTAGCATAGTTAGTAAATACTCCGTTTAATACACGTATATGTACCCGTACATACTTTATCCGTTTAAAACTTCTGTATCCGTATTATTGTCAAGTCGTTTCATTAGTTTCCGTTCATTTGACTGCTCTCGTACTAAACACGTACAAAACCCGTACAACACATTTAATATCCGTATTTAATGAAATAAATTATTAACTTTACTATTTTTTACATATTTATTTATTTATAAAAATAATTAATTTTATATATTTATGACTACTAACGTACTATTAAACGTAATATTAGCTGAGAGACGAAGTACAATACCCGTACATATTTTATACGTAACTTTCCCGTACCGTATTTTACTAACTATGGTGCTTAGTCACTTGACTAAGCCCCTCCCAGCCCTTAGATTTGTACACATCAATCTGATGGTTAAAAAGTGGGAAGGGCTATTTAATTAATGACAGTGGTAGTTTGGGAATAATGGAAAATTACGAAGTATACAAACCGGACTTACAATCAGTACAAACCATACAAGCATACGAACAGTACAAACTAGAGCGACAAAACATACAAACAGATTTACAAACATTACAAACATATGAACTGTACAAAAAATGCAAACTAGACCGACAAACAATACAAACCATACAAAAAGAAAAAAAACAACCAGGTTGACTTTGGAGGCTACATCCCTATATGGAGGGGCTCCTTCTCAAAGTCAACCAGGGTATTTTTTAGACATACAAACATTACAAACATGGTGGACAAAAATGACAAACTAGACCAAAAATTCATACAAACTAGAAAAACACCAGGGTTGACTTTGGAGGCTTCATCCCTATATAGAGGGCTCCGTCTCAAAGTCAACCCGGTTGTTTTTTAGACATACAAACATTACGAACATGGTGGACAAAAATGACAAACTAGACCGACAATCCATACAAACTAGAAAAACACCTGGGTTGACTTTGGAAGCTTCATCCCTATATAAAGGAGTTCCATCCAAAAGTCAACCAGATTGTTTTTTAGACATAAAAAACATTACAAACATGGTTGACAAAAATGATAAACATGGTGCACAAAAATAACAAAGTTTACAAACATTACAAAAAAAAAGGCGACAAACATTACAAAATAACAAAGCGTACAAACATTACAAAATAAATCGACAAACAGTACAAAGCATACTAACCGTACAAAATGTCACTAAAAATGACAAACAATACAAACCGAATCTATACAAACATCACAAAATAGGTCAGTAAACATCACAAATTCATCTCTCTCTCTCCCCGCGCGCCAACATCCCAAATAATTTCCAACAGCACTCACTCTCTCTCTCTCTACCTAAAATCCCCAAGCCACTTATTATTCCCAGGGCCATAAAGGGACCGCCGTCGGGGAGGGAATTAGTCCCAAGCCACCGGAAAAATTCCCGAGGCAGTCGGCGGCAAGTCCCGGGAAACAGGCGGCCCGCGGGAGGAACAACAAATTCGCCGCACAGTTTTTTTAATTTTAATTGTTAAATAATTATTTTATATAATTACTATTTTGTCCTTCATTAAATGAGATTAATCTGGACCATTGGGTTTTAATGAAGTGTAAGGATGGAGATTCACTTAGTCATATGACTAAGGGACCCCCTATCCACCAGATTTTAGCCCTTATGGATTAACTCCGAAAACAATTCTCACAAGCCATTAAACAAGTCGATTAACATTTATAATAAATTCCTCATGAGTTAGAAAGACAATATCAATTATGAAATTTCCTAGTGTGTCTCGTGAGGATAAGTCTAGTTTTATGATATTTAAAGTCGTTTAATGGGCATACCAACTTTCATTCCGCCACTTTAATGAAGTATTTTCTTGACAAAGAAAACAAAGTTACTAAGGGGATCTCCGAGCTTGGGGTGGGGAAGTGGGGTATTAAACTTGGAGAATTAGGTGGAAGGCTTTGTTACGATCCAAACCTCGAAGGCTGTTATTGTAAAAGAGAGGTATAAGATCAACAATTAACTTTCTGCCAACAACTCGAATTATTATGATCAACTTGTTTATGACAATGATATACAGCTGGTTTGACAAAGTGGTTATGTGTTTGAATCTTCCCGACTCCTAATTATATTAAGACTTAAGAGTCTATTCAAGTACATGGTATGGTGGACATGTACAAACTTCCAGTTCGTGAGTTGACTTTATTCTCAGTTGACGAGCAAGAAAGTTGTATAAAATCAATAATTCACCTTCTCTCAAAAACTCAAGTTATTGAAACTTATTAATAGTAGCTAGGATCATATTCAGATTGCACCATTTGTTCGTTCATTCATTGTTGTTATCATCTTGCTTTCCAAATTTTGTTTTTGTTGTTGTTTGCATAGATGACAACTCGGCCAGCACCAACAAAAACTAAGATCTCAACATTCAGGAGTGTTTGGCTTTACTGATAATACAAGTTTGTAGATCGATATCACCAAAGGAAAGCCTCTAGAATGGCAGTAAAAGCAGAGGAGGACAAATGTTTTTCTTGTCCATAATGGAATGTTTGGTGGTAAGTATGCTTTCAGGAAAGTCCATTTCAGCAACTTTTGTCACAAACGCACCCTTTTGACCACCATCTTTCTACTTGAAAGCAAACCGCATCTGGATCAAGCTCCAGCAACAACCCCAATGTTGTTTTTCTCGCACTACCATGGGATGGAAAGCTCTGTTCAAAGCACACCACAGTTATTTGTTTGAAATGATGCATGTACCTACACTTTGCGTAGTTATCAGACTCGTAGTAAGGTAGCTGTAACGTGCGCAGAACCAACAAAATTACCTCATAGTCGCTCACCTTTCATCGCGCCCGGCATGTAACAAGACCTTGCTATCACGAATTGAACGTCTGAGGAGACATGACAAAGGTCGTGCTTCCAATTCGATTGAAAGCATTCTCCACTTTGCTTTTGGTATTCTGCATTATTAGAGGTTCCAAAAGCAGTCAAGCAGAATCGTGGGTTAGACCGTAGCTTTACCTGTTGGACTGAACTGATGATGGATCTGCTTTTCAGTACTTTGCTCTATCACCTGACACTCGTTCTAAGCTGCCTGGGGTAGTGTTTACGACAAAGGCAAAAATAAGCCATCCCATGCACGTTGGTTTCACCAATCAATTACTTCCCTTTCCGCATTTGAAAAACACGCTAGCCTTTATTTCTGTTTCTTTCTGCTTAAAAAAAGGCAGAAAGTTGAATGAACAGCAGCATCACGAATCAAGATTTCTTCCACTGTAGCACACACATAGATGAACCAATGAATTGAAGGCCATCCGCCGCATCAGGAAGCAAATGCACTTTGTCCCATGGTAGTTCAGAGGGGCACTAAAATGAACTGAACTGACAAATTCATCACTATGGAAAAATAGTATCATGCATCATCACAAAGCTAAAGAAAACAGAAGATGACACTACTTAGCCATCATCCAACCACTAGTTCCACCACTGAGAAAGTTCATCAGAAGAACAAGAAAGCAAGGTGAACTGCAAACAAATGTACCAGTAACTCATGATAGAGTAACTAGAATTTCTTCTGCAACTAAACGATGGAGGGGAGAAAGGGCTAGCTAGGAGTCATGAGGACGCGGAAGCAAACCCAACTTAAAGTTATTGCCTTTCCTTTGGGAATTGCTAGACGGAAAGGTGTCTTGGCAATGTCACAGTGAGGATACAACATTCGATTCAAGCCATGATCTTGGCTGACCTCACAAAAAGACTGTCGACAACCTTCCCCATGTTGGCAATGGTTTCTAGTGTGTCTGGATATATAGCATCGGTCTTGGGATCATCAAAGATGACGAGGCAGCCAGCACCTTGATCCAAGGTCCCGGCAAACTTCTTGTCCAGAATCATTTGTGAGAGCTTCTTCTCCACATGATCGGTAGGCAGCTCAATAAGCTCGGCAATGTTTCCAATCTCAACCCTGGAGAAGGGCTCAATCAGCCTGCACAAGTTTTGCTCCAACAATGTGTCGTACAGAGAAGACAGATGCCGATGAACAATGGGGTCTTCTTCCAGTTGGGCCTTGTAATCACGCAGTGCAGTCTCAAACGACATCAATGATCTCTTGGAGTGAGCATCAGCAACAGCTTTCATGGCATCCAGCTCCGGCCCCACATACTGGAGTCCAGCTTTAGAGGAAATTATCCCGGCGACATCGTCAGCCTGGCTCACCATGATCTTGCATAGCAACATGTACTTAAGACTGAAAACCGCCCGGGGGTCCTCGAGGGCATTGAAAGACTCGAAGGCCTCAAAGAAGTAGCTGTAGGCAGTCTTGTAATCCTTCTCCTCGGCATGAAGAATCCCACTCTGCAAATCGATCGTGCCTTGCTGGGCCGGAGGTACATATATGGCATTTGCAGCGGTTCTTGCAGCTGTGAGTGCAGCTTTTGCCTTAGGCAGGTTCCTCAGTGAAAAGTGAAGCTTGCTCTCCAGCAGGTCTATTTCCACAAGGAGTAGCTTGTCATCCAACCTCCTTACCTCTTTTACCAAGTCCGTAAGAAGGGCTAATGCTTCCGTATACTCCTTGTTTTCCATCAGAAGTGCTGCAAGCCTTGATTCGACTCGCTGCCTGAGGAATGTCCTCTTCTCTGCACGGGTCCACTGCACCATTTCCTTGCACAGGGAAATTTGCAGATTGGACGTGCCGGGTATTTTGGCAACAGCATCAATCACTCCTCTGACAATTTTTGCAGTTTTAGCCTTGGGAATTACAGAAAAGAAGGGTCGCAGCTGAGTCAGAAGGCTGCGAAGATCCTCAGCCCTATTCTCTTGCCTAAGCAGATCAGTGAGATCTGTAATGGCTTGTTCTTTTATCCGCAGTGCTTCTGGGGATGAGGAAGGATTTTCAAGTACACGGTAGAGCATGGAGATGGCGTCTGATGGAGCTTCAGCTTCCAAAGCCTGAGCAATAGACTCTTTCGTCGCGGGAAGGTAAGAGGTAGACATGTCTGCAGTTCCTTATTAAAGTCCTGAAACATAAGAGTTCCAAAATGTGTCACGCCAACTGTCTCGCACATCAGCTGGTGAAGGGGTGAACACAAGCACAAATGCTAAAATGTCGACTACAAAACAGAGACTACAAATAAGAAAGACGCAGAATACTTATATTTAACCGGTAGCACTGTTGGATCCACACAAGTTCGTAAAGTACCAAAACTGAACCCCACCACCAGCACTAAGCCAAGTCAACAACAAGGATAATCAATTCTTAAAAATCCATTTGCATGCATCGGAATCTGGCAAAGAACCTCAAACGGAGCACTAAGCACTCTGGAAACTGAAACAGAAAGCACGCCACAAATATCAATGGACTGAACACACAAAAGTAGCTGCAAAAGAAGCATTACGAGACCATTGTTGTTGCAGCGGCAATCAACCAATTCCATATTATCCAACTTCAACTGACATTTCCTTAGCAAAGTAACAATATGATGACCGAGCTACGGCATCAGCAGCCTTTCAAGCATAGAGTTAACATCACAAGTCCATTGTATCAGAACAAAGGGACATTCATTTCCACAGACACCCATCAAATTCGAAGCCATTAAGAACCCTAGACAAGCTCAATTGCAGATAAAGACTTCTGCTTTTTTATTCGACAAAACTTTCAAACTAAGCTCTTAGACTTACCAATCCTCCGAAGTCCAAACCCTAGACAGAGAGGTTAAATTCAGGACAATCAAGCTACGGTCAGGACTCAGAACAGGCAAAACCCTTCTCCAATTTTCTCTTTCCAGCAAGTAAGTGCGACGAGCAATGCGAGAATAACTGGCCTATAGAATTTGATAAAGATCTAATTTGATACTGAAATTGAAGAGATTTCTTACTTGATCAACACCAAGCAAGCCAAGAATCAGGATACGGTTCCCCTGCCTTCGATTTAGTACACTGTCAAAGCTACTACTTTCTCCGCGATGGTCTCAACTCGTCGAGGTTAGATCTCGCCTGGACGGCTCTGGTGCACGGTCTTTGCCTCTAGCTTTTGCCCAAATCTGAACTCCACAGACAGCCGAGCCGATGCTCCTCGTTAGGGGAAAACCTAGAAATGTGGAGGGTTACCCCTTTAGCCCCTAAACTATGCGCTCTCTTCAAACAGACTCTCCTATTATGAATTTTGCATTTTTGGTCCTTATCAAATGCTTTTTTTCCCTTCTCGAACAATGTTTCAATTTCTTTCTCCATCCAACATATGTTATTTTATACACTTGCTAATGTGAAATAATTAGATGTCATCTAAAGAGAATAGGGCAGTGAAAATATGAATTCAGAGCAAAAATCATCTACAAATTTCGTAATTGCCGCCCTCTTCAAGAAATACAAGGAAAAAAACATCATCAAGTTAAGATATCCAACCGTATGTATGATCCAGTATGGACTGCACCGCTTCCCATCCCTAAGCCGAATAGGATGAGAGGAGGGTCTTGTCAATGAGAGAGATAAAAAGAGAAATATATTATACCATAATAATTTTATGGTTAGTGATGCGACTCCGCTCACCCCGCATGACGTCACTCGAGCTCAAACTAGATATCTACATGGAACATGGTTCAAGAGACGATTTAAGAGGTTTAAAGAGAGCTTGGAAGCCTTCCAGGTGGAAGAAAAGGTATTTGCAAGCAAGGCCTACGAGTTTGTTGATGTGAAATCAATTGGCAGAATATATAATTCTCGTGGTCCAAAGATGAAGGTCCGAGTACGACGATACAAGGATCAAATGGGATCATTCTTGATGGACGTGGACTTGCTAGAAGGAAAGTCTATCACATTGCTACGATTTATGGACTAGAATGAAGAGAAGATGGGTTTGGTAGAAGGAAAGAAGATCTCCCATGGTGTGAACACAAGGTGTGAAAGGAATATCAGGTGTAACACAAGCCATGTGAGGGAGGATTTCAAGGCTAGAATCTAGGGAGTTGTTGACCAAGTCTTTTACTTGTCTTTTAAGGATTGTGTTTTCCTCTTACTTGTCTTTTAAGGATTGTGTTTTTACCTTTTACTTGTAGGATTTGTTTTTCATTTTAAGATTTGGATTTGTGTTAGCTAGTCTATAAATAAGAGGCTGAGTTCCTCATTGTAACTCATTCAATTATCAATCAACTTTCAAGTTACAAGTTCATACGAACTAGTTCTTTGTGCAAGCTTCTGTTGAGAGTGCTCCAGGAGTTTCACGTGTCTCTTATCAACTAGAGAACACGTCTAGTTGTGGCGAGCTTCTACCCAATAGCGATTGGCTTTATTCACGAGTGGGTGAGGGGATCGGATTTTTCTGACTCTATCTCTAAAATCATCGACTTCTCTCTCTAAGATATTTCTCTCTCAATTCTCTTTGTAATCTCCTCAGTTCTTCCATCGACGATTATTCTCTCATTGCTTACTCTCCTTGACCCATTTTCCCGAGTCTCCCTCCTACACCCAGTTAGGCTCAAACAGTTTCATATACCAATTGGCCTTTCACACGAGTTGGAATCTGTTTGATCGTGTTCCATCATTATCTTTTGTTCGAGTTCTTGTTCGTTGAAGAAAAGCTTCGAAAAGCCATAAAAAGTAGGAAAGTTGCGTACTTTGGTCATATCAAGTGGTATCAGAGCCCGGTTCAAACTCAGTGGCAAATTTGAAGATTACCGGTTCAAACTCAGCGGCAAAAAAAGAGGTATTTTAATTTCAGTACTTTTTTTATTGTAAGAGGTATTTCCAGAAAAGCCAAAAAAAAAACATTGAAAAAGGCAGATTGAGAAAAAAAAAAGAAATACAAATCAGAAAAAAAACACAAAAAAAGAATTATTGTTTTTTTTTCTTTTCGTTTACGTCAAGCATTCTTGAGGTAGAATTGTGTTTTGTCTTACGTGAGCTTGTCATTGGAACAAAAAAAAAAGGTAACGAGAAAAAAAAATCTTTCTTTAGTTTACGTGAGTAGATAGAGTAATAAAAAAGAGTTGTGTTTTTTTTTTTCGTGTACTGTTAGTGAAAAAAAAAACAAAATTTTTTTTTGTCTTACAGCCACAAAGCTGTACGTGTGGGAAGAAAAAAAAATTTGTTTGTTTTTTTGTTTTTGTTAGCTCTTGAAAGGCAACAATGGAGCAAAATCAATGATTCACGGAGATGATGAAGCAAATGCTCCAGACGACGGAAGTTATTCTTCAAGGTTAAAGGGGAATAATGTGCCAGCAACAATAATCCAACCTGAAGCTCATTTGACGATAGGGAGTCCAAAGTCAAAGCAAGATCTCGAGCAAAGGGAGAATAAATTTCAAACGAGATGCTTAGTGGATGGTAAACTACTATCGGTTTTGATTGGTGGAAAGAGTTGCACTAATTTGGTGAGTGAATATTCGGTGAAGAAATTGGGTTTAAACACATTGAAACATCCAAAACCCTACACTCTTCAATGGCTTAATGAAGATGGATCAATTGAGGTCACCAAGCAAGCCATATTGAAGTTTGAGATTGGACGCTATAAAGATGAAGTCCTTTGTGATGCGGTGCCAATGGAAGAGGCTCATGTTTTGCTTGGAAGACCATGGCAGTTTGATCGAAATGGACAACAAGATGAAGTCACCAAGAAGTACAAGTGCTCGCATAGAGGTCAGAAGTTCGTATTGAAGCCTTTATCTCCCAAAGAAATCTATGAGGATCAACTTCAAATGCAACAGAATTTGAAGAAGGAGAAAGAGTTTCAATCCAAAGTCGAAGAGGAAGTCAAAGAAGACGTTGAAGAGAAAGAAGAGGTTCTTGTTGATGGACTTACTATAGTCACTTGTGAAGAGGATTCACAAGCTTTGATTTCATCTCGAGAAGAACCAAAACTTGAAGTAGAAGAGAAAGTCGAAGAAGAGGCAGAAGAGGTGAAAGAAGAAATTCTTGTTGATATTCCAGATTTGAGTGCGCAAGAAGTTAAACAGTACATTAAGGAGTCAGAATTCAAGGGCGGAGATGAATGCTTGAAAATTATGGAGCATTCACCAATAGTTCTCGAAGTTGCTCATATTGATTTTGTGATTGGTGATGCAATGTTAGAAGAGGCAGCTCGCCGGGAGAATCAACAAGAAATTCAGCGTTACGCAGAGAGCTTTCATCACAATGGTATCTATGCAATTCGTGGACCAATTGTTCTTAAGAAGGGGGGAATAATACGATCCTCACCAATACAATTTCGTTGGAAGAGCAAGAAGAGTGGTGCTGGTTGGAGATCAAAGTTCTATAAAGATTCGAGGTCGAATCTTCTTCAAGAGAGAGGGAATGATGCGACTCCGCTCACCCCGCATGACGTCACTCGAGCTCAAACTAGATATCTACATGGAACATGGTTCAAGAGACGATTTAAGAGGTTTAAAGAGAGCTTGGAAGCATTCCAGGTGGAAGAAAAGGTATTTGCAAGCAAGGCCTACGAGTTTGTTGATGTGAAATCAATTGGCAGAATATATAATTCTCGTGGTCCAAAGATGAAGGTCCGAGTACGACGATACAAGGATCAAATGGGATCATTCTTGATGGACGTGGACTTGCTAGAAGGAAAGTCTATCACATTCATACGATTTATGGACTAGAATGAAGAGAATATGGGCTTGGTAGAAGGAAAGAAGATCTCCCATGGTGTGAACACAAGGTGTGAAAGGAATATCAGGTGTGAACACAAGCCATGTGAGGGAGGATTTCAAGGCTAGAATCTAGGGAGTTGTTGACCAAGTCTTTTACTTGTCTTTTAAGGATTGTGTTTTCCTTTTACTTGTCTTTTAAGGATTGTGTTTTTTCCTTTTACTTGTAGGATTTGTTTTTCATTTTAAGATTTGGATTTGTGTTAGCTAGTCTATAAATAAGAGGCTGAGTTCCTCATTGTAACTCATTCAATTATCAATCAACTTTCAAGTTACAAGTTCATACGAACTAGTTCTTTGTGCAAGCTTCTGTTGAGAGTGCTCCAGGAGTTTCACGTGTCTCTTATCAACTAGAGAACGCGTCTAGTTGTGGCGAGCTTCTACCCAATAGCGATTGGCCTTATTCACGAGTGGGTGATTGTTTGATTGGTTTCATATACCAATTGGCCTTTCACACGAGTTGGAATCTGTTTGATCGTGTTCCATCATTATCTTTTGTTCGAGTTCTTGTTCGTTGAAGAAAAGCTTCGAAAAGCCATAAAAAGTAGGAAAGCTGCGCACTTTGGTCATATCAGTTAGTTACAAAATCATCTCTCGAGTAGGGATGACAATGGGCCGGGTTGGGTCGGGTTTTGTCAAACCCAAACCCAAATCCATGGGTTTGTCCGCCAAAAAAAACCCGGGGTAAAACCCGTTGGGTTTGAAAAACTCAAACCCAACCCAACCCGCTAGGTATCCGCGGGTTCATGGGTACCCGTGGGTTTTTGTGGTAAAAATTTACAATAACAAGTTTCTTTCAAAATAAAAGTTTAACATCAATTTTCTCATACAAATTAAACATACAAAAAACACCAATCTAGAGCATACAAGCAAAGCGCAAATGATCAATACAAATTATTCAAAATTAAAGATAAACATATATAAACAATAAGATTAATTGAAAGCTTCTTCCTCGTCAACTAAGTTTCTTCATTCTCCACTTCATAATATCAACTTCATTCTAAACAATTAGAAAGAACAAATTATACATGTCTCCACATACATATAGAATATTAGTTGTTTAAGAAAGATATATTATTTAGAATATTAAATATATCAGGAAAGTAATTATATGTGTGGGCGGGTACCCATGGGGCGGGTTTACCTAAACCCAAACCCAACCCGACCCGGTAAATAGTGTAGTGGGTTTAAACCCGAACCCGGCCCAAAATCCGTCAACACGGGTTTTACCCGCGTTGACCGAATTGAGTCGGGTGGGTACCCGTGGGTTCGGATTTTGTTGCCATCCCTACTCTCGAGACTGTTTATAATAATATACATAGTCCAACATCACCTTACAATTTCTCTAATTCAACCTTATCGCCAAACTACCTCAGTTTCCCAAAGGTTCCTATAAATTAAACAATAATCTAATATAACCGAGATAGACAAATAACTCGAGGTTACATCCTTACAAAACAAACTCAAAATCTCTATCTAGTCAAAATCCTATTAGCTCAGTAAACTTTAGTCCTTTATATTATGCATGTACCATATTCAAAATATCATTCTTTCAACCCAACAAATTTGTATTCGAAGTGATTGATGAAACGCTAAACTCGCTCTTCAACCAAAACATCTCCAATTCAAATCGAGTGATCACCTCTCATCAAAACTCCTTGAGAGGGCACCTTTAACCCCTCCCACTCAATCATATAAAAAAAGAGCTAGCTCTCATTTCCTTAGACTATAACTTCAGTCGACAGACAATGAAATCGATATCAATTTATCCATTATAGTTTTGTTCATGGATGGTGTTGGGGGTATTATTAAAGGGGCTCGAAAGAAAGCCCAAGGAAGAGAATTGTTGGGGGTATCACTAAAAGGAGCCCAAAAGAGGGCCCATGAAAGAGCTCATTCGATCGGCGGAAGCCCAAAGCAGCGGGCCAGGAGAGGAAGCTCATGAGGCCCATTTCATACCAGGTAACATAGGTTTGGAGACAGGGCACTAAAGGCCAAAGAAGCCTAGGCTGGCAAGTGGTCCCCCGTCTGTGGGTGCCTGCCAACCGTTAGAAGCCTGACAAGGTGGTTGAGGCTTCTGACAGGAGTGAAGGTACAAAGCATTTATTGTGACGATGACGTGGAGGAGATCCACCTCGAGTTCGGTGAGTATAAATAGAAGTAGTTGGTAGCATTTACACAGGTTAGACTCTCTCACTAAAAATCTTGCTCGGGAAACACTTCTCTCTCTAAGAAACTGACTTGATCGTCGGAGGGCTAACGGGCCCAGGCGTCTCCCTCTGTGCTCGTGTGTGTAGGCAGGCGCCAGTCAGGAGGAACGTGGGCGCATTGACAAGGCGTCGAGGCTCAAACAGATGGTTTAGGGCATGATAATCCATTTAAGCACACTTACTTTTCGAATGGGAAAAAAGAGGGCTCGTGGTTTACATTGTACCAAGCATTAAAACCAGCAATACGATATTGCGGGTAGTCGAATTTTCACTGCCGGTTTCCACCACCATGGAAATGGACAACTGAGCCTTTTACCAAACAAGAGGGCACTTGACTTTGGTTTTTATCTTTATCTCATGTTTGTTCACCTGACGTTGTATGTGTCTCCACCCTTTTGCTTTGAAAATGGCATCCAAGTCGGATCACCACTAAGCACACGTACATGTCTTCTTTCCCATGGTTATCAGCTACCGCCACTACAAACAAACAACTCGGTAGGGCAACTATGGATTATGTTAGGTGACTAATTAAACATACATAGACAAAATGGGGGGCAAAACAAAAATAATAGTTGCTCTTAATTGGCTCCCTAAAAAGTTAGCCATGCCCCGTTGTAGTCATTGTTATCAACTCAATGGTATATGATCTACCGTTAAACTTTTTCTAACAAATCGAGTTATTAGAATCAACTGATTCTTGCATAAGATAAACAAGCCACTACAAACCATTTGTAAACAAAATATACAAATCATGATACTTTAATTGTGGCTGTGGAATTTTATACACACTAATTAATTATTGTGGAGATCCAAAAGTAGCAAGAAACTGAAAGGAAAATGGCACATGAAGTGGCAAACAAAGACAAATTTCCCAAAGGGGACGAGATACGGTGACAACCCCTAAGTAGGTTGTCAGATTCACAACCCACTTCATAGCCCTTGGATATGCTCTCTCTCCTGTCTCTTTCTTCTTTTTTTAAATTAACGGTTAAGATTAAAGAAATGATATTTTTGGAAGGGTAAAAATTTACCACACCCAATCATTCACCCTACCATATAAAAAGAACAAAAACCCTAACTCCTCCATCCTCCCTCTCTCCCGTAGACATCACCGTCTCTCCTCCCCCTCTCTCCGCCGCCACAGCCCTCCCACCACCGCAGCTCCCTCTTCCTCTCCCATGCCCACCGCCACTCCCTCTTCCTCTCCCATGCCCACCGCCACTCCTCACCGCCCTGCCGCGCCGCTGTCCTCCCCCCTCTCTCCCCCCTGTCGCGCCGCTGTCCCCTGCCGCGCCGCTGTCCTCCTCTCTCCGCCCTGCCGCGCCTACCGTCGTGCCACGCTGACCCCGCCACCATTTTTATGCCGCCGCCTAACGTCGTGCCGCGAGGTGAAGACTCATTTTTTTTTCAGATCTGATAGTCTCTACTAGGGCTGGGAATTTAGACCAAACCGTATGACAAACCGCGGTTTAGACCGTACCGTACGGTTTGGTCCGGACCGTTAGACCATGAATACAATTTGGTCTGGTCCATGGTTTGCCTCTTTCACTTGCGGTCTGGAACGGTTTGGTCTGGTCTAGACCGTGGTTAACCGTCCAGACCGTGGCCAAAATTAAGTATGGGCTGAGCCCAACTAGGCAGCTTCAAACCTCCATATTTCAATGGGCCAAGCCCAATTTCTTCTCTCACTCGGTTGTTGCGTGCTTCCCCATCGGCCGTTCCTAATCGCGTTGGACGCTGAAAGTCTGCAATGCTGGGAGAGGCGAGAAGGAAAACCTACATATTCGTTGTCGTTGTTGCCTTCAGCCGTCGACCTCCACCATCTTTGTTGCCTCGCCTCGCCTTCAGTCATCCAGCAACTCCGTCGCAACTCACACGACTTCCACCATCGAACTCCACCATCGCCATCGACCTCCGCCATCAACGTCCGCCATCAACCTCGACCTTTGCCTGCCTGCCATCGACTCTGTCATTGCCGACTGACCCCTGCAACCGAGAATCCCCCATTCACGACCAGCTTCCCCTGTCTTTGTTCTCAATGGTAATGTTGGCAGATGGCTCGTTGGTAGTAGTGTTATAGTTTGTTAGTTGTTGCTTGAAGCTAGAAACATGGGATATAGGATTGTTTGTTGTGCCGAAACATGGGGTAAAAGGAATTAGGGTTTGTTGTGCTCTGCCATTCAAATCGCACGGCCAACATTTCCTAAAACTTTGATTTTGCATTGTATACAAGGTTATGTTATGTTGTTGATTATTAATCTCATGTTATGTAGGGTTGTAGATTTGAAATTGTTGGTGTTATGTTGATATTTAACAATATTGGATAATATAGGTTTTGTTGAACATGGTCTACTCGGTCCAGACCGTACCGGACCGCACCGCACAGGCGTGGTCTGGTCTGGACCGTATAGGTTATGGTCTGGTCCATGGTCTCTATTCTACCCTCTCGGTCTGGACCACAGACCGTGTATATGGTCTGGTCTGGACCAGACCGCACTGTTTCCCAGCCCTAGTCTCTACTGGTACCAATACCACTGGTAGCACTATTGGTACGCTACCAGTACTCACTGGTACCAATACCAGTGGCTCCCCTATCATCTGGTACCACTATCATCTTTTTTTTTTTTGTTATTCTCTACTGGTACCGCTACCAATGCTAGTGGTAGCGCTACCAGTGCTACTAGCGTTGTGTTATTCTCTACTGGTAGCGTACCACTAGTACTGGTACATTTTTTATTGGTACCGCTAGTACTGGTACATTTTTTAACGTACTGGTAGCATACCACTAGCACTGGTATATTAATTACCAGTAGACTAATAGATTGGTACACTTTTTAACGCATTGGTACATTTTTTCAGGTTGCCGGAGGGAGTCTGCCGGAGAGAATTCGTCGGAGAAAAAGTTTGTTGGTCGATGCGGAGTGGCCGCTGGAGAAAGGAAGAGAGAGAGAGAGATAGAGATATTAATGTATAGAATTTAAATTTCAAAAAAAAAATTGTATTTAATATGGATTTTTAATTCCCAATATCCCGCCCCTCCCAAGAGGTTGTCACCATATCCCGCCCCTCCCAAAAGTCATAAGCAATGCGTCAAATTAAACAATCAACCTTGTTAAGGGGAAAAGCTTTGGGGTTGCATGATAGTTTCATTGGGCCTCATAAATAAATGCAGAAACCATGATGAAAAAGTCAGGATAAAAAAAAGGGAAACACACACTAACACGCTTAAGGTGATTGAAAGAAAAAAAAAGTAAGATTTCACATTCAGATAGACAAATTGATTGAGTCGATTTATAAACTTGAAGTTTGAATAAATCCATATAATTTACATATGATTTATTAATGTCATAAATCAATTTATCTCGAAAATTTGAGTTGTAGGAAGAGGTATATAATGTAGATTTTAATCATTTTCTTACACGCACTTTCAAAAGAAAGTCAACTCATGACTTGAAAATTGTACTAGTCCTCTATACCACATGCTTTGAGACAATGAGTAATATTAGGAGGTCGTGAGAATTTGAATATGCATAACTTAGAAATATCTCAGATAGATATTCTTTGGGGGGTTTTATTGTTATTTGGATGTTTATGTTATGTTGGATATTCTGTGGACTATTGGGGTTAAATCGGTTAGGTTAAGTATTTGGGTAGTTATAGGGAATTAGTTGGATTATATATATTTAATATTTTGTGTTAGGAGAAGGATAGGGTTAAGCAATAACAACATAATTATTCCCTAAACTCTCCTCTCTCTCTCTCTCTCTCTCTCTCTCTCTCTCTCCTCTCATCCGCCGACCCCCTTCCTCCTCTCTCTAGCCGTCGGCCACCATCTTGATGACCTGACATCTCATCCTCCCAACCCTAATTCTAATTCTATCTCAACCAAATCCCCAATTCCCATATCAATCCAATCGCTAAATCGCACACCTAGGGCCGTGCTCTTTCAGTGGTATCAGAGCCTGGATGGTGTGCCGATTTTCTGAAGAGTACTGAAATCCATGAAGATGACAAACCCTACGGACAGACCGTAGCCGTTGCGCGAGAACAAGGAGATCGTGACGATCAAGGATGTGACGACAAACAAGTATGACGCGATGGCGTCGTCGATTGAGAGTCTGACGGAAGTTACTGAGAGGGCAGCTGAGGTCTCGAAGGGTTCGATCGGTGCAATTGAAGCGATGGGGGACCAGATCAAGGCATCAATCGAAGAGATGGGCAAGAGCGTAGCTGAAAATATTTGCAGGTCCCTCGCAACAACAATGAAGGAGGTTTTGACCCAGGTTCTCAGGAGCCGCGAGCAACCGGCAACCGTAACCCCGACAGTGACGCTGGCGCCGACCGGGGAGAAGGCGCCAGGGCCGGGAGGCGGTGAGGAAGCAGAGGCGGCGAGGAGGGTGGCGGCCAGGGAGAAGCTGCCGAGCTGCGGCAATGGCGGCTGCCGCGGGGCTCGTCGCGGCAAACTCGGCCGGGAAAGGAGGCGCGTCGGGGAGCTCCACTGGGCCGCGCGGCCGCGTCAGCGAGGAGGGTGACCAGGGCGCGATAAGCGCGCCAGAGCCAGTGTTCAGCGGACCAGGCCTACTGCCGATACCAACGGTCCAGGGAAAGAAAAAGATGGTCAGGTACGAAGGTGAGCATTGGCCGCCTGGGCCCGAGGGAGATGAACCATGGCCGATTGGGTCCGGGAAAGAGGACGAGTTGAGCTTCGCGGGCCTGGAAGGGTGGGTGGACCTAGGACTAGATGGGGCTAGACTGGGTTGGGTGTCGGGCCCCAAGTCGAGCAAAATCGGGCCGACCACCGGGTGACCGACCGGTCGAACCGGGTTGGGTCAACGGCCGGCAAACAGCATCTGGGGCCCGCCGGGCAGGGGCTTCGGAAGAGGCCCGGAGTATGGGTATCCCCCGTGGGGTACCCCGTGAATAGGTGGAGGGCGAGGTCGAGGCTGTCGAGAAGTTGGGCAAGGGTCTGGGACCAAACTAGGAGATGGCGGGTGACTGGCCCTACTCTCATTAGCAGCCCTACTCTCATCAGCAGTAAATCAAGGGGAGCTACCACCACAACAGCATGATGCATCGACAGTCTCCATCAAATATAGGCAGGTATGGGTACAATAATCCTCTATATGATTGCGAGTATGCACTGGTGTTTAGAGCTAAACGGCCGGTTATAGAGTTTCCCAAGTTCGATGGGACGGGAGATGTTGGGCTATGGCTTTATGCAGCAAAGAGGTGGTTCAAGAACCATCCGATCAGGGAGGAGCGGAAGGCGCATCTGGCGTCCTTCTATCTGGAAGGGGATGCTCTCGAGTGGTGGGAGTGGACCGACAGAGCGTATGCTGCGGTCGGGGAGGACATCTCTTGGGCGAGATTCCAGGACGAGCTACGTTATCAGTTTGGCAAGGCGGAGGGGTGGGCTCCAGAGTAGTTAGCCAAGCTCAGACAGACGGGATCAGTGGCCGAGTATGGCGCTGAGTTCCTCAAGCTGGGAAACCAGTGCAAGGAAATGACAGAAGAAACTCTAGTAGGCTTGTGCATGACGGGGTTGCGCCCGAGCTGGCAACGGCCGTTAAGGTCTTTGAACCTGATTCACTTCGAGTTGCTTTTAGAATTGCAGGTCGCAAGGAGGAGGAGTTGGCTAGTTGGAGATCAATCGGGCGCATCCAGAAGGCCAGTGGAGGCACGGGAATGGGCGCCGCGGGGACCACACCGCCACTGGGAAATGCAAGCTCGGTAGCTACAGGGGCTTCTCCAGAGGCGGGTTCCCAGCAAGGTTGCCACCGGAGGGGTTCGTCAGGTTGACACAGGCGGAGATGGACCAGAAGCGCAGGGATGGTCGTTGTTTCAACTGTGATGAGAGGTATACGGTGGGACATCAGTGCGCCAAAGGACATCTGATGTTGTTGGTCGGCAATTGGGAAGACGAGGGCGAGGAAATGGAGTCGGGCGAGGCAGAAGAAAAGAAGGAAGAGAAGAAAGAAGGTCCACCTTGAGGGCAAGGTGGGTTTCATGGAGGATGGAATGTCAGATAGATATTCTTTGGGGGTTTTATTGTTATTTGGATGTTTATGTTATGTTGTATATTCTGTGGACTATTGGGGTTAAATCGGTAAGGTTAAGTATTTGGGTAGTTATAGGGAATTAGTCGGATTATATATATTCTGTATTAGGAGAAGGATAGGGTTAAGCAATAACAACAGAATTATTCTCTAAACTCTCCTCTCTCTCTCCTCTCATCCGCCGACCCCCTTCCTCCTCTCTCTAGCCGTCGGCCACCATCTTGGTGACCCGACCTCTCATCCTCTCAACCCTAATTCTAATTCTATCTCACCCAAATCCCCAATTCCCATATCAATCCAATCCCTAAATCGCACACCTAGGTCCGTGCTCTTTCAAAATAAACCACCTCCGATACCATATTATAAACCAACTAATTACAATAATCCGAAATGTTAAGAAAGATCCAAGTACGGATCTTAGCCACCTCCGATCCTCACAGCTAACATTCAAAATCATGGAACCTCAGATACAATTCTTCTCGATGAAAAATTCTGATACCATGATCCACGAGAACCGATTCCTCACAAGTTGCGGATGCCCCTAAATCTCATGAACATTCTTTTTCCCACCCCATCTGTTAATAAAAAGAATAACAAAGGAATAAAAAGAGAGGAAACTGTTGCCTTTCTTTTTTTGCTGTTGTAGTGGTATGAATGTTGGAATTGTAACAAGTCCAAATGCATTATCTGGGCCCTGCGCATGGATCCTCGTGGCCACTACCATGAGCTAAGGCCCACTCTCTCTCTCTCTCCTCGATCTATATATAAACACAGTGCCAAACTCGTTTGTACAAATTCCCTCAAGTAACTCCAACCCAACAACACACAACAGAAAGAGAGTTACTTACACGAGCCCCCTCACCCCCTACCAAAAACACCCTCTTCTCACAGGCGACAAAAAAACAACTAGCTAGCTCCCTCAAAACCCGAAGCAACAAACCTCGGCGATCGAGCGTTCGATCGGGATATAATCAGTTTATACACGTAGTTAGCTAGGGATTGATACATCTTCATCGCCACGATGAAGTGGAGCGAAAGCGATCTCGATGTAATCCTCGTCCCGCTCGCCTTCATGGTGATCGCCGGCTACCACGCCTGGCTCTGGCACAAGGTCCGCACCCAGCCCTTCTCCACCACGCTCGGCACCAACGCCGCCGGCCGCCGCTACTGGGTCGCCGCCATGATGAAGGTACACTACACACGCAGATAGTCCGAATCAACATTCTCTCGCGACAACGTCGTCGTTTTCTCTCTCTCTCCTAACTAGAATCCATTGATGTGCTCTGTTGGAATCAACAGAGCACATACATATGCCAAAATTTTAAAAAAAAGAGACACAATCAAGAGAGCATTGCTGAGAGAAATTTTCATTTACCTTGATTTTACTCTCTTTTTTTTTTTCGTGTAACGATTCAAATTCAATATTTTAAACTACGCGCACATACTCCAATGATGTCACCACGTGTTGTCATACGTTTTTCAGGACAACGAGAAGAAGAACATACTGGCGGTGCAGACGCTGAGGAACCTGATCATGGGGTCGACGCTGATGGCGACGACGTCGATCCTCCTCTCGGCGGGGCTGGCGGCGATCATCAGCAGCACGTACAGCGTGAAGCGGCCGTTAAACGACTCCGTTTTCGGGGCCCACGGTGACTTCATGGTGGCGCTGAAGTACGTCACCATCCTGACCATCTTCCTCTTCTCCTTCTTCTGCCACTCCCTCTCCATCCGCTTCGTCAACCAGGTCAACCTCCTCATCAACTCGCCTCAAAACCCCGCCGCCGACGAAGAAGGGGCCGTCGCCGGCGTCATCACACCCGAGTACGTCGGCGACCTCCTGGAGAAGGGTTTCGTCCTCAACACGGTAGGTAACCGCCTCTTCTACGCCGCGCTGCCGCTTCTGCTCTGGATCTTCGGCCCGGTGCTCGTGTTCCTCTGCTCCGTCGCCATGGTGCCGATTCTCTACAACCTCGACTTCCTGTTCGCCGACGCCGCCGGTGAGAAGAAGAAGAAACCCGCCGTCGACCACCATCGTCGGTCGAATTTGGTGTAGAAAAGTTTTATCCTTTCTGGTGGACACATAATGGTGGATGACAATGCAAGTTTTTTATTTTGAAAAAAAAAATCCCATGAAATCATAATTGTATTCCAACGGTGGTGGTTATGTGTTATATGTATCATTTTGATAATTAGATGTATTTTGATTTGGGCTTAATTGACGATTGGCTTGTACTTAATTAGTTAATAAAGAAGAAAACACAACAACAACATAGTACATGCCATTTTTTTGTTTTAATAAAGAGGGGAGAGTATTTATGACTTTATGTCATCATGGGATCAAAGATTAACGCGTTGGAAGACTCAGATGTCGTTGTCCATCATCTTCAAGCGTGAATTGCTCATGACAAAAAATTTATAACACGATATTATGACGAGGTCGCATTTAACGGGTGAAAATAGTAACTTTAGAGGGTGCCGGTAGCGTTGTACATGAAAAGACACTATCTTTGTTTGCAACAGAGAGTAGGAGGTTTTGGACTTTGTTGATCAAACGAGAGTTAGATGATACTTCATACCTAACATTTATCTCTTGATACGTTTATCTACGACGAGAAGAAAAATAAATTACGTAATGGGTTTTCGTTTTTTTTTTTTTTTTCTTATTTAAAATTTTCAGATTTTTCGAATTATTTGGTGGGATGATGTGCATGGTGGCATCGTCCTACCTACTTTAGGTTCCACCAAAAAGAGAAATGATGGGGAAGAAAAGAGAGGAAAAGACCTAAGGGCAAGAAACTGTAGTCTAATGGGGAGCCGCCAAGCAAAGCCTAGGAACACGATTTTTGGCGATATTATTATTTGTGTTATCTTAGGTGTTCCACTTACTTCCACCTAAGCACGCACAATACCATAATTATGTGCGGTTTTTGGAGGGTAGTGATTCTGGGATTCTTAGAATACACAGAAAGAGGGGATTAGGTTTGGCGGTTTCGTGCAATTGTAACATATTCTCTAACTGATACTCGATCGTGACAATGCTATAGGTTATAGCTTATAACAACTTAGCCAAATTTGTTCCATTTTCCTTACCTTCCTAGCTAGTGATTCGTATTCCAATTCGTTCACGTCAATGCTTGGGGGAGATAGAGTTGTCTTATTCGGATTCTAGTATGGTTGGTATTCGGTTGGTGTAGTTTGTTGGCCATGAGGTCGGCAGAAACAAAGTATGTGAGATGAGGATCACTTTGATTGTTACAAAAGGAGGGGAGTGGGATCACAGGAAATTGTGTGGGTTATCCGCGATGGCATGTTAATTTTAGGTGAAAATTCATGAGTGGCATTCGTTTGAGTCCAGGTTTAGATCGCATGTTGTTCACGTGACACAGATGGTGGGAAACGAGGGGAAAGTGAATGATGATCTCGAGTGTGGTGGAGGGCTCGATTGAATTTTGAAATCACGAGGTGGATACTTTGGATTGCTGGTGATGATGCATTGATGAAGAACCTCGCCTATTGTGACCTCTGCATAATAGGTAAACAGTATGTGTTGTGTCATACAAGATATGATAGTGAACTTTTCGCTGCGCATAATTCTTTTCATTAAAGTATAATGGAGACGACGAGATAAACGTTATCAATCAAATTTCATCGTACACGAGTGAAGAAGGGAAGGGAATGGAAGGGGAGACAGAAATATTTATGAAATAAGAACAACAACGGTGAAAATTTCGTGGTACTCAAGAATTTTATGAAAAGAGTATTCATTAATAAAATAAATTTGTCAAACAAATTTATTTTATCCTTTGGTGACACCTTTGTCCTTTGGTGACACTCTAGAGCCAAAGGCGTGTGTGTTTATGCCCCCTTCGGGCGAATGGGCCAATGGGTTAGTGGAGTCCTATTGGGCCTGGATCATTCCGTTGGCAGAGGTAAATTTGGGCTTCTAGAAAACAACAATTCTCTTGGGCCCAATTTCTCCTAATCTAAAGATTGTGAGGTTGTAATATGACAAACAGACAAACCAAGATCCACATATAGGTTGTTCGAGAAATTCCACTTGTTTATATGTTATAAATTATAATCATGTTGAGTTTTTTGTACGAGGGATTTTACCATACTTTATAGTATTGGTGCTATATGTTTTTGATTTTATGGTACAATTTGAAGTTGTATCTTTAATGTTATGGTACAACTTCATATTGTACCTATACTATTTTGTACAAATTCTTTTATGGTACAATTCAAATTGTACATTTATGTGATGGTACGACTTTAAGTTGTAAAGTTGTACCATAACATAAGGGTATTTATTCCTTTATGGTACAACCTAAACTTATACATTTAAAGTTATGGTACAACTTCAAGTTGTACTTTAAAGTACCAATACTTTATAGCATAGTAAAAGTGCTCGTTTGATATATAGTAAAAATTTTATTAACATTTTTCAATATAAATTGAATTTTTTTAAACTATCATTTAGAGAATAGAAGGATATCGATGAATAATTCCGTTCAGAGATATAAATATAATTGCATGTTGAGCGATACGAATGACCAAAATGATAAAGCGCAGAGGTCTGTAGCATGCTAGCAGAATATATACAATTGGGTGATTTTGATGCGGATATTTAACATACCAAACTCACATTAAAGCCACTGCTGCATTATGGAAAAGGGTTTGGGGCTTCAATATTCCTTCGAAACTCAAGGTTTTCATGTGGCAAGTTATGCGCCGTGTGTTGCCGACGATGGAAGCGCTGCGAGAGAAGGGATGTGTTGTACCCTCGCAATGCCCGGTGTGCTGTTATGAATGTGAATCCATTGAGCACTTGTTCCTCCAATGTCGTGTGGCTCGAGAGTTGTGGGAAGTTTCGGGTTTAATGCAGTCAAGGATAGGAGTCCCCGAGTTCAACATTGCCATGTTTGTTGTGTCGATGGTTTGAGTAGAATGCTGCTCCAGACTTATCATGGCTTTTGTTTCCCTCCTTTGGCGAATATGGAAGTCCCGCAACTGAGCTGCTTTTGATGACATCCAATATACAATCCCAGTTCTTTTGCGCCAATACACTTTGCAGGTTCAGGAATGGCGGAGTGTGAACGATGGGATTCAAGTTTGCAACCCTCCTGCCCAGATGCTAGCCTCGCCGGTCCTGCCTTCTTCTCCTTTTCGGTGTTTTGTAGATGGTGTTGTGTGTGCCGAGTCTCATGGCGCGGCGGGAGTGGTGATAGTGGATAGTGCAGGTTCAATTGTTTTTGCGCTGGGCTTTCGGTATGAGGGTATGGTGGATCATTACCTGGTGGAACTCCTAGTGTTTAGGGATGCTATTCGATGGTGTGCAATGCATGGTATTCAGGGTGTAGAGTTCCTTGGGGATGCGCAGGTCGTTGTGAATCAGATTCATCGTGGTGATATGATGGATGCTAGAGGCAGTGCAATTCTCTAGGAGATTAATGGTTGGAAATGGCAGATGTTTGGTTTCGCAATTCGATAAATAGGTAGGCGTAGCAATCGGGTGGCCCATTTGGTGGCTAAGAAAGCCTTTTCATTGTGTCCTATCGTTATTTTGGGGTTTGATTTTCGCTAATGGGCGAGTTCTGTGCTGTAAACATTCTATCTTATCTTGGTAATGCAAGTTAGCTATTGGAAAAAAGAAAAATAATAATAAAGCCACTGCTTTATCGAAACCAAGGTTGTCAACTCGCGGGTTGACCCACTTTGACCCTCGCCCGGTGAGAAAAACATGTCGCACGCACTCGTCGGGTCGACCGCTACAAGGTACCAGGTTGGAGGTCAAATTGTGTCATTTTTTTCTTTGGTTTGCGAAATGCGCCTATTTTTCGATTTTTCTTTTCGCCTAACTCAATCTTTGGAATCCTAAGTTGAACATTCACTATATGTTTTGGTGGAAGATTTTATGTTATAACTCATATGTTAGATGAAATTTGATATAATTTATCTGGATAAGTACAATATAATAACTACTTCCATATTTCCGAGCCAAAACGGATGACCCATTAACCTTTGACCCACTAGCTCGACCAGGTCCGGATCAACCCGCGGGTTGACAACCTTGATCGAAACCGAAGGATACCCACCTCAATATCACATCGATCCAATTTTCTCCTAAAATCAAATTTTCGTTGCGTACCGGTTATTTATTTCCCATGCCACGTATGCTGTCTGACATTCAAAGAATCGAAGCCGTTTAAATTCTGCAAGTGGGATTTGACTGGCACCGGCCTGATAATTAAACATAATAAACTATTTTCTGGAGATTGGGAACGAAAACACCATTAAAGGATGAGAAGAAGAAGAAGGTCACGAGAGAAAGAAGGCGATGGTAACGGTCTCACATGGGTCTGGCCTTTTCTAAATTGTCAGTTCCTTGAAATTTAAGGTACCCTTCCTTTCCTTCGTCAGAGGCCGAAAAAGAAAGAAGAGAAAGCTGCTGCGGAAGCCATTAAAAGGGAATCTAGGAAGAGTACGGAGCCGGAGCTTCTCTCCTTCATTTCGCTCTTTAATTTTTGAGGGGCGGGGGGTTGGATTATTGGATTGTTAATCACAATTTTGAAGGTACAATTAGAAGTTTATGATAATGTGCCACATGGGTTAGTTTCATATCCACACTAACTCGTGTTGTGTGTATTTGAGATTAGCTTGATGCATAAATTGGTGTAAAGCTACTCGATTTCGAAAAATAAAGTGAATGAAGTCTAAATTTTCGAGAATTCGAAAGTCACGCTTAGTCGTAGCTACATTAAATTATTAGAATATAAGAAAGATTTATGCCCCGTCAGTTGTTCTCTTTGTCCATGTAATACCCAAACGAGTTGATTATGTCAATCTTTTCCTAGTTAAGATGGATGAGTATATTAGATGTGTATATTTTAAAATAAATAATTTATGAAATAGTGGATAATTTTTAAAAATGCATGGCAAAAATAAGTGTCAAATGGACAATGAATTTGAAATTACAAAACAGTCTATGAATTTGTTGATTTTCTTCACTCACATTTTTAAATCCATCACCACAACAATCTATCACTAAAATGACTATGGTGCACAATGACGGTTTTTAGTGTAATTGGTTGATAGTATGTACAATTTATATACGAATCCACCAGATAGATGATGTATTATCGTGGATACACATTCTTTATCGTGGATACACATTCTTTATAATATCAACATACTCGACGGATGAATGTATTATAAGTAGAAGGTTGAAATTCTTAATGTAAATGCGAATTTAGTTCTTGTGAAATCATAATCAATTAGGCACGCGTGATGAGGAAAACAAGTAGCTCTAACAGCATTGAATGTTGAACGTACTTCATTGCATTTGTCTTTTCTAAGCAAGTATTTATAATTACAATCAAAGTAATTACATGTGACGGTGCATATATAAGGAGAATAATATTCCTCAAAATACAATACCATCTAAAATCATTTACATAGCTTGAGAATCCCACCACAATTATTTAATCATCTTGGTAAGACATTATCAATAATTATTAGGACCATACCCGCTAATTTTCTTCACAAACTCAGTTCCCTTGGATTTTCCTAAAATGTTCACTACAATTTGTGAGAATTACGGGTTAACAGTTGTCGAATTCACAATTTTATGAATAAACATCACCACACTCGCTCAACGACAACGTAGCATCTGATGCACAATTCAACTATTTACGAGCACATTCTCACAAATATCTTACGAGCACCATAACCCAAAGTTGCCTTCCCTTTCTGAACAAATGTACCTTTTAAGTACACCTTTGAGCATCGGAATGCTAGCTAGTCGTTGCGAGAGTTGGTAAAACAAATTAAAATAAAAATAAACTTATTACTGGATTTGCTCGTAAATACTGCAACTCTTTTCGGTGCCCAAAACAAAGGAAAGAACTGAAAAAACTGCAAACTGCAATTCCTCATTTCCCATGAATGATTAATGTAATTTAATAAATTCCTCACCACCTCATAGGTTATGACTCATGATGGAAAAACCCTATCCACTACTGCTCCATGTCCTTGGGAACCAGCAATCACAAACCCTAACCCCCCTGAATTCATTGATATTCTTTCATACCATGGATTTTTAATTTTTATAACAGGATCACCATTGATACGAGTGATTCGATAGTTACATATGCTACTCCGATCGCATGAATATTCAGCAAATTTATAACAGTCGACGAAACGGGCTTTATAATTATACTTATGGACAGTGAAAAATTGAACTCGAAAACACATAATACCAATCCCTGCCGTACCCGGTATATACTCTTCAGAGATTGTTATTTATAAATTCCTTCACCCTCCCCAGGTTTTCTTCACCAAATAAAAAAACCCAACCCTACAGCCAGCCTTCTCTCTGGCAGTGGGTGATGACTTCTTCAAGCCTGTATATTATAATGAGCTATACAGATGGTATCAAAAAATATTTATTATCCATGAGATTTTCTTAAAAAAAGAACAAATTAGAATTCTGAGCCCCACCTCCATGCCTATAAGTTCACAGCTCCCATTGTTGCACCAAACCCTAAAAAAAAAGAAAGAAAGCAGCTCCCTTTCCCCCCACCAGCAAGCCTTCTTCTTCTTCACCAACCTGAAGAAAAAATGGAGTGCAAGAAGTCCAACAAGATCACAGAAATCGTCAGGCTGCAACAAATCCTCAAGAAATGGAGAAAGGCAGCCAACTCATCCAAGCCTCCCACCACCACCAACACCGCCACCACCTGTTCCACTACAACCGGGACTGCCACCACCACCAACAACAACAACAGCAGCGGCGGCGGCAGCAAGAGCATAAAGTTTCTGAAGAGGACTCTGTCACTGTCAGAGAGCAGCAGCAGCAGCAATGCTAGCAGCGACAATGGCACGGTGCCAAAGGGTTACCTGGCGATCAGCGTCGGGCTGGAGCAGAAGCGGTTCACCATCCCGACGGAGTACCTGAGCCACCCTGCATTCCACATCCTGCTCAGGGAGGCGGAGGAGGAGTTCGGGTTCCAGCAGGCTGGAGTCCTGAGGATCCCCTGCGAGGTCCCGGTGTTCGAGAGCGTGGTGAAGATCGTTGAGGAGAAGAAAGATGGTGCTCTCTGCTTCATGCAGCAGCAGCAGGATTGCAGGTTCGACTTTGAAGATGGTGCAGCAGCAGCAGGAGCAGGGTATGGCTACTGTTCATTGCCGGGGCAGCAGTGTAGTACTCCTGCTCATCACCCTCAAAGCCCTATGTGCAGATGATTTGCTGTTAATGCACTGTCATTCTTCTTCTTCTTCTTCTTCCCCTTTTCTTGTGTGACCCTTCCACTTTTTTCTTCTTGTTGGATGAGGTCATGTAATAGGTAGAGAGAGAGAGAGAGATCCTGCGGGAGGTAGTTCAATAACTTTAATTCTTCAATGTCTTAGGAGAGAGAGGATGAGATATCCTTGTAAAAGAGATCACTGTTCTGAAAAATCTGCAGAAACAGCCCAGATAATATATCCATCTGTTGTTATTCACATATCGGTTTCTGCTCTATTACTAGTTGTTATGGCTAATATGATATATCAGAGACTCAGGGCAGGTCACCAAACAAACATGCAAGACTCTCCAAGTAACTTCGTTTCAGGCTGATGGTAATGTACGAATGATAACATCCACCATCGCTACTTTGTGCTCGAGCCAAGCCAACAATTACCTGTAAAAAAACTAAGCATTTTCTATTAAATAGAGGGTAAAATCTGAACAAAGGTAATCCATCAAAAGATTCCTACTTCCTAGCATTCAACAACCTGACTCTAGATTTTTCAGACTGCCAAGTTGAGAACCCTGAAAACCTAGGGAAAACCCCACCTCCCAATTGTTAAATCACTCTTCATCAGAAATTCCGTGCCACCGACATCTTCGTAATAAACCGACTTTATGCAGTTCCAGACACTTTCAATCTGATACTGGGGAGATGGGGTAAATGCAGCAAGAACAACCAAAATGCTACATGACATTGAGATCTAATTCCACATAACCAACCATATTAAACCGCAGGGTTCGCAAGTTTCGATTCCATTGTTGGAGTAGTAAGGATGTCATTACGCCCTGTGATTACAACCTTTGGATGCATACATGAAAATAATCTAACGTCTATGAACTGCAGGACGTCGATCCATCCAGCGACCGCCCAGTTCTGCAAAATTTGAACTAAAGTTCTGGAATTCTTTAGGGCACGGATTGTTTTGAAAAACACACGTTACTGCACTTGGATCATAAACATTTCTTATTTTGAGGTGGTCAACCATTGGTACCGATGATAAGTGGGAGTACAGTACAGCATCCAATGCAATTTGAATACGGAAACCTGTACAGCAGCAAGATGCATAATTACAGCAGCTACACTAGCTTAGTGCACAAATCAAGCTCGTGCCTAGAATAATCATCCATTTGCAGAGCATTCACATGTATAATCACATGGGGTGGGAGGGAGAGACCACGAAATGACACGCCGAATCCCTCTCAAGGTCTTCACCATGATTGGCCCCAAATGAAAGAAAGAAAGAAGTCTGTAGGACTCCATATGACTTTCTTCTTGGGCATGAAGAAAAATAATAATAGTCATAATTAGACTTGTACTACAAAGGGAAATGGTGATGAGATCCATTAAAAAAGGGGAACTCACATGTTATCATTTTACACTACACCATTTTCTCCTGACAAATCTCGATGCCTCAACCCTAAATCAATCATCATGCCAAATGGGACATTAGTTATTAGCCTAATAATATATGATTACAATAAAGTAGACTTGCAGCCACAGCCCACAGATAACTAAATTCATGCCAGAGCTGTACATACCAACTTCGGATATAGAATGGAGTAACAGCTAATGGAGACAAATTCAATTGGCATTTGCTTACCAAAATCCAAATTGTTAGCATAGTTTATATTTTTTAGTGATCATTAGATCAACATCCTCATCGGTCAATGGCATAACGAGAAGGGCGCGAAAATAGAGTCAAAGGATTCATACATAGGTCTCTTTTGGGACATTCGATGAAATTGGAACGATATAGAGAACATTAGCATGGTCCTGCATAAAGAATACACGCATAAATCGGCTTAATCAGATAATGTCACCAGCTATCATTATAATGCAATGCAGCTGAGCTACAGAGAACCCCTGAAGAAAAATGTAAAAGGGGTTGAAATAGACTCTGAAGTCTGCAGCCCAAAATGTCAGTCTGTAACTAATTCACTAACGAATTATTCAACTAGCGGGGCCACCACCTTGATTAAGGTAAAAGATTGGCCAATAAAGCAGCCAAGCAGGCAAAAGTTAGTCATTGACAAGTAAAAGCTAAGCAACTGCAAGCCTGAAGAAAATAAACAGAGGAAAAATAGCACCAAAGCGTGTTGAATTAACCAACCAGCTGAGTACTTTGGTTTTTCGATGAATATGCCACTTCTTTAATCAAAGTCCAAGGTAGGTGGTGCTAGTTTGCAGATGAGATGCTACAACAAGCCAGAAAGTACAGCTGTGAAATTTACTAAGTGCAATCACCAAAGTAATTCCTTACATAATCCTGTGAGGTCCCGTGCAACTGTGGAAGGACAACATAGACAAACAGAAGCCTCAAACTGAAGGTTAAACTGCTTCTTGTACATTACATGCGTATAGATTATACTCTTTTTAAGTATTAAATTGGTCACTGTTATAGTATACACATTAGGCGAAAATCCCTTCGTGGTTACCGACAGACAGGACTGTAAGCCAAATCGTCAGCTCCCATGAGTTATCCGCGCATTTAAGGGGCCGGCAGTAGCCTCAGATGTATGTGTCGAGGTCCCCCGTCATCAGAGTAGTGTACAAGTTAGGTATCTAAGGTTAGCCGTAGTTCGAACCAATGAGATGTGCAGATAAGGTAGCACATGCAAATCAATGTATAGCAAGGCAATCTAAGAAAAATGGTTTACTCTGCTAACTGAACGTGCCAACAATCTCGTCCAATTCAACCAGACATGGGCCTATCATGGAAATTGAGACAACTGTATCACATTTTAGAAGCATATTATTGGCAGATGAGAGTGGTTATGCGTAGATATAACAATGCATGATTGTCCTTCAGCTACTTCAACCACTTGGTTACGATGAGTTGGTATTTTTTCAGAGTGTGTCAGGACATTGCTTGATATAACTATGCAAACATAAGGAAGAACTGCAGTTCTGAGAAGCTATGAACATGATAGACATCCGGAAAAATGAGACGTCTTTCACAATCAAATAAGAAACAATTGAATTCTTGATTCGTCGTTGAATTCAATTTACATCAATAACAATATGGACAGATGAGGAAAATGACTGCAATCTTCAAATCAAGATTCCTAGAAACCTCAATAAATTAACAGTATTTTGCATCATTCCATCACTCACAAGGATCATACTTGGCCATGGCAATAGAGGGGAGGGGGGTTGATTAGAAGGATAGCTCCTCTCCGTCACTGTAATTTGGGAATGTAACACACTTGAACACTTTGCACTTTGAACACAAGAGGTACCCAACCTGCATTACCATTTAAGCAAACACCATTCATTGACCATGAACAAGAAAAGTAGGCATGACAGAAATTCATAGCTAAGAATTCAATTGCCTTGACGTTTTACTTACAGCTTTGCAAGATGGACATCGGCGATAGACCCGTTTGTTTTCGGCCTTCACATTGGTTTTCTGCCCTTTGCAGAAATCACAAACTAGCCATCCTTGGCCATTGCAAGGTTCGCACATTATCCCTGAATCAACCTTCAATAAACCCACTTATCTCATGAGGAAACAGCTTCTTCTTCTCCAAATGACAGAAATTGGGTAACGATGAAGGAAACCAGTTACCTGCTTCTGTTGTTGTTCTTGGACTTGCTCAACAGAAGCAGAGGAAGAAGAAGAAGCACAATTTGCAGGCTTCAAAAATTGCTTTCCCCAGCTTCTACTCAACGGAAACGACGAAAACTTCTCTCTACTCCAGCAATTCACACTCGCCGTCGCCGGAGCTAAAATTGCCAGCGCCATCGCTCTTTCCGTTAGCTACCTTCAGTTAGTTCTCCCTCCCGCCACCCACTATCCGATAACCCGTGTCTATGAAAGGATAATTTGCAAAACAGCCCCTGTCCTTTCTTCTAATTACGCAAACATCCCCGCAGGTTTTACTTTTTTTCTCGCTATCCTTTTTAAAAGGAAAAAGTTCTGAAAAGTACTGTTCTGCTCCGCCGCCCTTCACCGACCACCGTCCACTAAATCTTCTTCATATCAGCAGAACGAAATTCTAAGCTCATTATATACGAAACGATTTCTCAGCTCAGCTTCCCTCAGGAGAACTCGTTCGCTCAATTAGAAATCCCACGGCGATTCAAGAAGGAGGAGCATGATCCCAGCATTTCTCTCCTTCTCAGTTTTCTTCTTCCTCCTATCGTCGTCGGCGATATTGCCGGTTTTCTCGAGGAGCACGCTCCCCTCAGATCCCTGCGATGCGGCGAATCAGCCGGACCGGCGAACTCTCCGGGCGGATCAAATCACCGTGCTGATCAACGGCTACTCGGAGTTCCGCATTCCACTCCTCCAGCTGATCGCCGCCACGTACTCCGCCTCTCCGCTGGTCTCATCCGTCGTCGTCCTCTGGGGAAACCCGGCCACACCGGCCCAAACTCTGGCCCAATTAGCCCACAACCTCACCCTGTCCTCCTTCGGCCCATCTACCATCTCCCTCCACCGCCAACATTCAGACAGCCTGAATTCCCGCTTCCTCCCCTTGCCCTCAATCAACACTCGAGCCGTGCTCATCATCGACGACGACGTGGAGGTGGACGCCAGGTCCTTCGAGTTCGCGTTCCGGATATGGCAATCGAACGCCAAACGCCTGATCGGATTCTTCGTCAGGTCGCACGACATCGATCTGTCGACGAAGAAGTGGATCTACACCGTGCACCCGGAGAGGTACTCGATCGTGCTGACCAAGTTCATGATTCTCGACCGGCGGTACTTGTTCGACTACAGCTGCAGCAGCGGGGAAGCAATGCACCGGATGAGGGGGATCGTCGACGAAATGCGCAACTGCGAGGACATACTGATGAACTTCGTGGTGGCTGACAGGACAAATGCGGCTCCTTTGCTGGTGGGTGCGCAGAAGGTGAGGGACTGGGGAGATGCTCGTAATGATGCGAGCAGTATCGATGGACGATGGTCGTCGGGATTGAATGCGGGCAAGGCTCGGAGTATGGTGAGGAAGGTGGGGTTGAGTAGTAGGGGAGTGGAGCATAGGAAGAGGAGAGGAGAGTGCATAACACGGTTTCATAAAGTTCTGGGGAGAATGCCGTTGAGGTATGGGTATGGGAAGTTGGTTAATTCAGTTGGGGAGCAAGGCTTGTGCATGAAAGGTGGTAGATTAGTGTTCTGTGACCAGCAGTAGTTGTTGATTGTATCTGTTTGTGACGAATAGCTCTGCCAAGAGAAATGATATCATGGCCAAATTGTGCAAGCATTTTCGTAACCATTTGCTTCGATCTTCCATACACCAAGCAAATCCAGAACTGGTTCAGACTTCAGACCTCATCATCAGCATCTGATGCTACAATGATTAACTCATTTAGTGGTGATATTTTTGTCCCTTCAGAATGGTCCATGACCTGCAAAGTCAAACAACAACATGTGAACTTTAGTTAGGCTTTAATACACCGGGAATGGAGAGCTGCTGCACACCGTAATCAGATGTTCGCCAATCATCCGGTGAGGTACATAGTTAGAGTGACACAGACAATGAACTCGATCCTAATTCACATGTCACATGTGTTTCACAGTTGAATGACTATCCAAATTCAGTAAGCATCCTCTCTCTGCACATTTCATTATGAAGCAACCTAGAGCCAGACAAGTGGGGTTCCGAACAAGAGAATCGTAATACAAGCAAACACATTATTTAGCCTCACGACATCTCTTCACTGCCATTTTTCTGCGTGTTTCCATGTTCATCAAGCAACACTCACATCCAACAATATGCAGGTAACTTCCAAACCAGGTCGTCTGCTTATAAAGGCAACAGTAATATGGAAATTGAAAAGTTGAATTAGGTGACTACTAGTACTAAGCATCCTTTCCTATAGTCTTCCAACCATGTTATATACAACAACAAAAATGAACATTAACACAACCTGTTGCATTAGAATATAAAAGAATTCCATTTATGAATTCCTGAGCCTGCAAGACAAGCTACACAACTCATCTTGAGTTTCAATAGTGATCCATGACTAAACTGTAGGCATCGTTTACATAGCACAATGGTGAAGAAGAGAGGCTCACCGATAAAGTTGCTCCACGAGCACTAGCAATGCAATCTGATGATTCAAAACCATTGATGACAGTTTGATTGTTACATCAGCCCGTTTCCTCAACGCTTGCCCATGACCGTATGGTCCGCCGACGCAGAATGACAACCTTGAAGCTCCCTACAAGTAGAACACCAGAATGACATAGCTGGGGAAAAAAATCAACAACAGCATAACTCAGAGGCACTAGTTGGATAAGAGTGAATTTGTACACTATTGCCTGCATCTCCAACTAACTCAGCCATCTGCTCTGAATCAAGATCCTTTCCACGCTCATCCAACACCACTACCTATATAGATAAGAATGTAAATTCGAACTTTTATTGGCGTTGTGGTGGAGTATAAAATTCAAGATTAGAGCAATCAACTACGGAGGAAATTCAGTACATACCCAATCATCAGAGTTGATAATGTTCATCACCGCCATATCTTCGTCTTCAACCTGAGCCCTCGTATCGCTGAAATTGCATGCACCCAATGGACGTTTTAGCTACAGAAAGTTCGTAAGAATCGAATGCACACCAAAATTGATTATGAAATACGAGGGGTAGTACCGCGCATTCCTGGGGTTGGAGCGGATTTGAACGTCAGCCACGGTGCAATAGTGTTTGAGCTTGCCGATGTACTCATCTACTAGCAACTGCACGCCGGAATTCCTCTTCTTCCCCACTGTGATGATTCGCACCGGTAGAGCTCTCTGCCGCCAATCGCAAACAAGGGGATAATGAGTCGCGGCGCAGTCGGACATCGAGAACTTCAACGAGGAAATGAGTGTTTATCTTTTCTCCTTTACCACTGATTGGCCGGCGTATTTACATTTTCTACCTGAGAAAGATGGAAACGGGGAAACCCCACACATTCCAGAGTTTCAGTTCGGAATTCGGGGAAGAATAAGGAAAGCGAGAATCCTCACCTGGAAGGGATTGAGAGTCGCCGCGGCAGGCATGAACTTCAAATCTGAAGATGGAGGACGACGTCGCCATTCCCCTAGAATTGAGCACCACCGTCGGCCGCCGAGCACAGATGGTCTGTGAGAGACTGAGAGTTGATAGTTGAGACTTGAGACTTGAGACTTTAGACGCGAGGCGGAGATGCCTGAACTCTAGCAGACGGCGATTCGCCGTCACTAATCGTTAGACGTAAACGGCGTTGGAATTAAGGCCCAGTTTAGCTCGATATCAAGGCCCATTAGACACTCGGCCTGGTTTTAAGGTTCGATGTCCCGGTCCGACCTAGTATTTTAATGAACCGGTCGTTGGTCCACCCAGCCTTAATATCCACATCCAGAGCAGAAAAATAAAGTTAGGTGGGGTTCGGCAAAAAGGAAAACCCCGGGAAGGATACAAGAAACTACCAGAAGATACAGAGCGAAATAGGAATACCGACCACCGAGAAGGAGAACGGCTGATTTATTCGCGCAGGCGAACAATCCTGAACGTATCGGAGGTATTGCGACCTGATTGCCGGCGTCGGCAGCCTTTCCGGTGATCAATTTTGGGAGTCCGAGGCACCATCAGAGCATTTAGGGTTCTTTTTTTAACTTAAGCCTTCAGCTCCAAGTGTTCGACAGTAGTCGTCGCCAATGAAGCGCAAGGAGTTTCAGGAGGAAGATTTCTCTTCTCCTTTCAACTCTCACCCCGCAAAGTCCAGAAGACTGGTGCGCTCTCGTATCCTCTTGTTAGGTCTCCTCTTCAAGTGTAATTGAAATTCGTAGAGTAATTCCGCCCGTCCGACGAACCTCGTTTTTTAATCGGTTGTCGCTTGTGTTCCTATTTGTTCTGTGTGGAAAGGATGGAGATGTGCTACAGTCTCTGGAAGTGAACCCTAGGTTTCGTGGTGAAGAGCTGATGGAAGAATATTTGGAGTTCGGACCCCAGAATGCAGTCGATGAAGTGCTCCAGACGGCCGCTTCTGTGGCTGGTGACGCAATTCCTTTGGTCGGTGATTCGGATGAGAAGGCAATTGTGCTGTATCAGCCCCCGACGCTGCCACGGTCACCAAGCTCCCCTGAGTTTTCCATAGTGCTGGATTCCAATTTGATTCCAGGGCTGAGAGGCAAGTATTATTCCCACCGATCACTTGCTGCTTTACCATGTTCTGCTTGTTTCGTTGATTGTCAGGCTAAGTGACATTGCTTAGCCCTAGGATTGTTAGAGAAGAAACTAGATTAGCTTAACAAAGATCCTTCGAGCTTGATTTTGGTGCAGTAAATAAGTTTTGGACATGGATAGTATTCAATGAAGGACTGGTAGCTGCTAATTAGGTCAAGAACATCTTAAGTACAGATTCCAGAACCATACCTTAGGAATTGATCTTCTTCAAATGTTCGTAGTGTAAAGTCTATGATACTCTGTGATATGGCCATAATCCTGCACTAATAACCCAGTTTCTCTTTGCTTCCATCCTGAAGAGTGTGTCCAAATAAAGAGTTACCAACTGATGTTGAAATCAACTCGTGTAAAGGATAATTTGATGTGATTTCATGAGTTCAAAGGTTATATCTTTTTGTGAGAATTAGTTTCTGGATCAAGTAGGTGCATAATCACAAATGTGGAGTGTCAGATTAGTGCCTTGTGTGAGTCAATGTATCATATGTATGATCACCATATAGCTAATTCAGCTCATGCCACTTCCTGTTTGATATAGATCGTATCTGGTGGCCAGGAACTCGGAAGCAAGATGAATCTGTTGAGGAGAAATTGGCAGCAGAGAAAAATGTCAACAGATCCAACAACAGCATGGCTGTTATTCCGTGGGTTGCTCCCCAACTATTCATGAGCAATGTAGCAGATGGAGAAGCCATGGAGGCAGAAGATACTGACATGATGGATACAGATGAAACCCCCGCGAGCTACAATTGTACAGTGAGAGATGTTGGGGTTGGTGGAAAAACAGAACGAAAAGAGTCGCAATTCCAATGGCAACCTCAGCAGCAACAGTGGATGATGCTACCAGGAGTGATCCAAAACATACATACTCCGATTACTTGGTGAAAATGTCATGGATTATACATATTGGAGTATTTTGTGAATGCACTTGCAGTAACTAGAGCTTTTAACCAAGGAGAAACCATGTAATAGCTCAAACCTTAGGAACATTGTGCCATCATGACAGAGAAATGTTCTGTAATTGGAAATCTCTGTATTCGCCTAATGCCTATATACTGGGTCCCAAGTTTCCAACCCATTTATCATACAGTTTTGACATGATTTGTTTCAGTCCTGTCATGGTTTGGCCAAAATTGAATTTAGCTAAATCTCAAGTTGTTTCGAAAAAAGATTCGATAGGTCCCATCGGGATTCGAACCCAGGTCGCTGGATTCAAAGTCCAGAGTGCTCACCACTACACCATGGAACCAGTCGGTGCTGCCAAGTTCAGTTCTTCCCTTTGAGATGTTTAACCAGGTCAGATCTACAACAGTCCACGAATTTGGGATGTGCTTAAGCTTACTAGACCAGCTTCATAGAGAGAATTCTCAGCAAGTCTGAAGAGTCAAAAGACATTAATTTACGAGCAGTTAAACACCTTCTTAGCCATCTGTTCATTGGCTAAGAGGCTGCCTGAATTACCACTCGAATGCAAACACAGACAAAGAAAGGAAGAAAAAAAAAACACAGATAGGCAATGGAAGGAGATGTATCAACCCTTCCATCCCCGAGATATCAACCCAGAAATCAGACTGAGAAGAAAAAGGGAGAAACGATTGAGCTCGATATTGGGTAGCTGTATTCAACTCTAGGGCATTAAAACATGAGCCAAAGAGTTAAACTTCAGCCCCGTTTTGGTTTAAAACAACCTATCTTCCCGAAACCTAAAGGATAAAAAAGAATGAAAACAGAGACAAACATCGCGGGGGATGAAGCTAAAGAAGAGTATACGCTATGCGGCGAACCAACGAAACCCTAATTCCTGAAGCTCTAGATCGTAGGATTTGGAGAAGATGATTTCTCTTTGTAGCTGTAGAAGAGATGTATATATACGCACATCTGGGCAGAGTATCGGCGCAAGCGCAAGTGCGCACCCTTTTCCGGATTTCATAGTACAATGACGAATTAGCCCTCAACTTACCTTCATTTCCATGTCACAGCTTTCCTCAAGTAAAAAAATATCAATTTACCTCTTATTTTCTCTAACTTTATCGTTCTGCTACATAATTTTTTTTATTTGCAATACTTGTTTGTTTCTGTTAAGATGAAAAACACGTGTATCCAAGCCTTTTCAATTTGTGAGAAAAATGAGTGGTTATATTAAAAAAAAAACGAATGCTAATTATTTCTGAGACCATCCACATCTATGAAATACCATTTCTATTTCATATGTAGCCCCCACTGCCACATCAATAGATTTTCCATTTCACTACATATAACTTCCATTTCCTCTGCATTCATGAAATCCACTATCTATTTCATATGGTGGGTCCAACTTACTTTTTAATAAATCTACATTTATATCTAACCTATATGATTTTACCAATTTAAGACGTATCAAATAATTAAAATAATATATTGTAATTATTTAATTATCAATGATGAAATAAATCTACCAATTCATTTAAAAATGTATTATAGCTTTATTCATTGATTAAAAAATAAACTATGTAATTTAAAATGGGTAGACTTTAATAAAAATACATGAAACTTTTATTAAAGTCACAAGTACAATATTCAAATGACAAATTACAACAAAATCACAATTCAAATAAACACACGTACATAACACAATTACTATTGCAAATAAACACAATTAATACAAATACATAGAAATGATGCTAGATTAATCATCGTACTCCTTGTCTCTGAATCGATTTCATATCTCTTCTATCAAATTGGATTGAAGTTGATTATTTGTTGACCTATTACGAATCCTTGTGTGGTTCCGAAGATACTCATCATACTCCGGGAGATGATTTTGAGAAACTATAGGCATCGAGACTTCAAAGTTCACGTCCTCATCTGTGTAATCAAACTGACGAATATATGTATCTCGTTCATCTTCAACAATCATGTTGTGCATAATTATACATGCTCTCATAATCTCAGCGATTATGTCCTTACACCACATGCGTGATGGTCCACTAATGATAGCAAAACGTGCTTGGAGCACCCCAAATGCTCCCTCGACATCTTTTCTAGCCGCCTCTTGCTTCATCGCAAACAACTTGTGTTTGGATCCTTGGGGCAGTGGAATTGACTTGACGAAAGTGGCCCAATTGGGATAAATACCATCAGTTAGGTAATACCCAAAATTGTGGTTTCTTCCATTAACATAAAATCGAACCTTTGGTACTTTCCCTTCTAACACTTCATGGAAGATAGGGGAGATGGAACACCAAAGAAAGCATGTCATATCCACAAATCTTGTGAAGCAACAACTTCAAGCATAATGGTTGGAGTTTTATGGTCCCCCCCCCCCCCCCCCCCCCCCCCCCCCCCCAGCATATTGCCAATAGCACAATTTTTCCATTCCTAGTGCATGCCTCCCATCGAAGATTGTGAGGTCGTATCTCATTCTCGTCCTCCAGGAAGAAAAGCTTCAAAGGATAAAGGAAAAAAACCATCTATATCATCTTATTCGGCGGAGAGTATGCAAGCAGTAGTGCAACAAAAAAAAATCATTATTGAAGTAGGAAAGGTAGAGGCGATGAAAGAGTTCACGACTGCAAAGGTAAGACTAGAGGAAGAACGAGAGAGGAACGAGAGAGGAAGAAAGAAGCATACAAGAGAGATAAGTTAATGGTGAAATTGATGGAACTGGATCTATCAACAATGACAGACGCACAAAAATGTTATATGAGAAGAAAATCCAAAAGTTATTGGGCAATCAGTGATTTAATTTTATGGTTTGAATAATTTATGTAGTACGTGTATTTGTTTTGTGTGACAGTCTAGACTTTAAAGTGTGTATCAGTTAATTTGTGTGTAATGACTTTTTATTAAGTATTGTTGATTTGCCATGTAATTTGTATTTGGATGTAGTTGAGACATCTTTATATCTATATAAGCGTACGTGAACTTTTTTTCTTCAGTATAACACTTTCAAAATTTACAAAATTAATTGATCATAAGTTTAATGAATTTACTTAATCTAATAAGTTTGTTTATCTTAAATTATAACTACCAACACAAATATAATTTCTCACAACTCACACAAAAGAGAATGAAAAAAAAAAATAGAAAGCACATAAAGTGGAGTGGGACCCAATCGGTACCCATTGTCCATTCCATTTGCTCTTCCATTAAATGGAAGCTGTCATTATATGGAAGAGGGGTTGCAACCATGAAATAGGCAGCACCCCATGCCACGTCAGAATGGAAGAAGGGAATGACAGGCGTTGCGGTTGCTCTTAGAGTGCTTGTGTCGGGTAGATCGATCTTTGAAAATAGTATTGGGGGCTTTGAATGTTTTACAGAAATGAAGCTCAAGAAGCGAGAGAAGGCTTCTTTGCAGCAAAACTATATATGGTTTAAGCTAAAGCATATGACCGCGTGGAATGGAGCTTCCTGATGAAGGTGATGAAAAATGGAGTTCGAGTAGCAATGGATGAATCTAGACACGAGTTGATTTTCAACGCTATCCTATTCAATCTTGTTGAACAACACAAAAGAGAATCTGTCTTTCTTAATATATGGCTAAGCCAAGGTGATCCAATCTCTAGGTATCTCTTTCTATCGTGTGTGCAGAAGGCCTTTCCTTTATGATACAAGAAGTCGAACATAAAAGAGGATATTCATGTGATTTCAATATTGAAGAATGCTCCAATACCTTCTCATCTCCTGTTTATGGACGATAGCATCTTATTGCTAGAACAAGCCTCTAAAATAAAATAAATTGAAGAAAATTCTACACATTATGAAGTTGAACTAACATTTAGACATAAAACAGACAAGTCTTTGAGGAGATCAACATAAAATCGTGTATAAAAGATTAAAAGTATCAAAACACAACAGGTATCTTGAATTACTGACTATATTGGTTGATCAAAGAAGGTGGTCTTTACATTCATCAAACAAAAGATCAAAGCCAGAATCATTGGGTGGAAAGAAAAATTGGTTTTGAATAGCAGGAAAAGTTGTTCGGATTAAACTGTGGCTCTTGCATAGGGCAATTTTGTCTATGTTAGTCTTTCTACTACCAAAGGGTCTTGTTCATGAAATTAACATGGTAATTGCAGATTACTGGTGGGGTCACCGGATGAAATGTAGGAGTCAATGTCAAGAATTATAGGCTGCAAACGAGCCGAGTCGAATCGAGTTTTTGCTTAGTTGGAGCTTGGGTCGTTTATAAAATTTTCAGCTCAAACTCGAATTTTGATCATCCAGCTCGAGCTCGACTCGATTATAAATAATCCAGCTCGAGCTCGGCTCGATAGAGCTCGATAAATGCTCATTAACACAGTTTGTCAAACTAAGTCCAAGCTCAGCTCAGGATGAGCTCGATTTGAAACCATTCTTTGCTGAAAAATGTGTACAAATAATAACATTAGAAACTAAAAATGAGAAAAAGAAAACTAGAAACTAAAAATAACATCTAACTTCCATACACATCCTTATTAACAAGATAATTTTCATGTTCAAAAGAGTAATTAATCCTTCCACAAACTCTAAACAAGCCAGCTCGCGAGCTTAGCTCAACAAGCCACCGATTCAAGCTAGCTCACGAGCTTATCATGTTGAGCATGGTATAGCTCAAGTTTGGCTTGTTTACTAACAAGTCGGCTCGCGAGCTGGCTTGTTAAACAACGAGTCGAGTGTCGAACGAGTTTTTTTCCGATTCGAACGCAGAGCAACTCGGCTCATTTGTAGCCCTAGTCAAGACTAAAGTGGAAGAAGAAGGCGGTGTATAATCTAGCTCCTTGAAATACATATATGATCATCATAATACGTACATGTTTATGTACATAGGAGACAAGTCTGATTGAGCTGCCAAAATATAGAATTCTCTGTCGTTTGCTCTTCCAAGGATCGTTATTGTTTTCCGGAGGGAAATCTTTCCAAGGATCATCGTAACAGAACTTGTATTTATCATCGAAACAGAGGTACGGCACGGCACGAGTTGGGGGGCCGAGTTAGAGTTCCGGTTCATCTGATCACACAAACCAGATGGATTTCACCGTACGTATTACCTAACCGATAACTCCTCCTCCCCTGCGCTTTGCACATAATCTTTTTTTCCCCCGATTCTGCAAATCAAAATCCTTTCCAATTCCGGTACTAAATGCCTCGTCACCCTTCTTATCCGTTCTTCAATTCCCCCACATTTAAAGTCCCCTCCTTTCCTTCCCTTTTCAGGACCCATCGTCGCCCCTTCAGTCAAAATCTCTTCCTCCTGTTTTCACCCCCTGTCGTCGTCGTCCTGCATTCCCCACGTTATCGTGCAGGAGTGTGGCGTGTTGAGCTGAGAAGAAAGAGTCGTGAAGGGAAAGGAAAGATATGCGGATAGAAGAGAGCGAAGGCGTCTCGGCGTCGAGGAAGCACCTCGTCTTCGCTTACTACGTCACCGGCCATGGCTTCGGCCACGCCACTCGTGTTGTCGAGGTACCCTTATATTTCTCTTTCACTCCCTCAATCTTTCCCCCTCGATTATACAGGATGGTTTTGTTTCCTTAGTTGAGTTTCCTAATCGGATTGATCAATGATAGTGTTTGGATTTTTGGAGCTGTGCTAACGGTAGAATTATGGGTGTGATCACGCCAGTGATCGAAGTATTGTTGCCAGAAAAAAAACCCCACTTTGTAACTGGCGAGTGATCGTCTGGGAAAATTGACGATCGATCATGTTTCGTGCGCGCCGTGTGTGTGGCAGGTGGTAAGGAATCTGATTCTGGCTGGGCATGACGTCCACGTGGTTACGGGTGCTCCTGATTTTGTGTTCACTTCAGAGATACAGTCTCCCCGGCTCTTCATCCGCAAGGTAATGGCTATTTCCTGGTTTCCCCTTTTGTTGTTCTTGTGAAAGATTGCTGCTTTGGAAGTTTCGACTTGGGTGGTGTGGGGAAGAAGTAATTGGAAGTTTTGAGTTTTTCAGGTACTTCTGGACTGCGGTGCAGTCCAAGCGGATGCATTGACAGTTGATCGGCTTGCTTCCTTGGAGAAGGTACTCACTTCACACAACATAGATTTGTCTATTAGCTGATTCGATTGGGGACAAGGGTTCCTTATTGTGTAATTTATGATGCTTTCTTGTTTGTTCCCTTGTTTGATTATTTAGTCTTCTTGTTTGGACCCTTTTGGTGTCTTTTGAATGTTATTTTAGTACTCAGAGACGGCAGTTATACCCCGGGAATCCATTCTGGCAACTGAGGTAGAGTGGCTCAATAGCATCAAAGTTGACTTAGTGGTACGTTATATACTGGTCTCTCAACTGTTTCTTCTAGCGCAGCCACTAATATGATGAGGAGTTCTTCAAATAGTTGAAGTTCTGGCATAAGGTAAAATAGGGTGCCTGATGTTTGTTTGGGTTGGTACTGCAGGTTTCAGATGTTGTTCCAGTTGCTTGCCGTGCTGCAGCTGAAGCTGGCATTCGATCCGTTTGTGTCACCAACTTTAGGTAGTTGTCGTCACTGTTTACTATTTTTGGTAGATTGATAGTTCTTTGAATTCCCTATCTGGGTGAGGAATGGTGTTGGCAAGCCAAACCCTTTTGGTCATAGATTATGAAATTGAATCACCCTGAGTCACACTCGTATTGCACTGTTACATGCAGTTCTGTTATTGTGTTAGGGTCTTTACTGTATATCAGTACTCCCTGGCGGCTTTTGAAAGTCATATGCAATAATTCTTCATGATTTAAATCACTTTTCATGTTGAACTTATCCTGACATATGATGAGTCTGTATATGCTGAAGTTGTCAATCCTACTCTTACCCTGTCATTCTGTAATCTTTGGTGACGACTCTTTGAAAATTTGCTCAAGCTTTGCTATGGCTGCAGTTGGGATTTCATATATGCAGAGTATGTAATGGCGGCTGGGAATCATCACCGTTCAATAGTTTGGCAGGTGGTTTCTTTTTCCTACGTGAGATTGCTGCTATGATTTACTGTTAGGCAGCTTACTCGGCGAGGCCATTAGTATATTGCATCATTCATTCTAAATTTTGGCCATTGAATTATCCCCAGTGTTCACAGCATGACCAACTATGTTGCAACTTTGATGTTAGCTGATAGAAGTCCTTGTAAACCTTCCCTGTATGCATGTTGAACTTTCATTTTGGAGTTTTCTGTTCGTGCTGCTCTGTGATATCAGGGGCAGAAATTTAAGTTAACTATTTAATCCTTTGCCATTATCATGTAGATTGCAGAGGACTATTCTCATTGCGAGTTCCTTATCCGTCTCCCTGGATATTGCCCCAGTATGTTACTTCTTGTTCAACATCAAGTGGAAGACTTAGAAAAGGTTATCTTTGGTTGTAAAAATTGCTAACTTCATGTTGTCCCTCTTTGCAGTGCCGGCATTCCGTGATGTCATCGATGTACCCCTAGTTGTCAGGAGGTTGCATAAGTCCCGCAAAGAGGTATGTACTGTGCCAATGCCCAATGATAAAGTTCTTCCATCTTATATTTAAAGATTTATGCAAAACCTTTGTGGTTTTCTTACAGATAAGAAAGGAACTTGCCATTGAAGAAGATGTGAAGGTTGTTATCCTTAACTTTGGTGGACAGGTGAGGATACTAAAATTATACAACATTGATTGGTTGATTTCTATTTTTACTGCCTCTCTGTTCCCCTGATTAGCACCAACACCAGAAGAATTATCCCCCAAGACATGTAATTATCCTGAATTACCTTGCTTTGCTATTGTTTGTAACTTCAAAGTACTTTTGCTGATTTGCAGCCGTCTGGCTGGAAGCTGAAGGAGGAGTTTCTGCCCCCTGGTTGGTTGTGCCTGGTAACTTCCATAGCACTGTCTATGTGATAAATGGATTTTGTTTCATATATCTTGGCAGCATGCTTCACTGACGCCACTTTCTCCACCTTTTCTCCCCTTGGTTGAGCTAGGTGTGTGGTGCATCTGATACACAAGAGCTTCCACCAAATTTCATAAAACTAGCGAAAGATGCCTACACACCTGATGTTATGGCAGCATCGGACTGCATGCTAGGTATGTATGAGATACTTTGATTACTGAACTATATTAAGTGATCTTGATTCTCACTTCTCAGTGATTATGTTTCCATTTCAGGAAAGATTGGGTATGGGACTGTTAGTGAAGCCTTGGCGTACAAATTACCATTTGTGTTTGTACGGAGAGATTATTTTAATGAAGAGCCATTCTTACGGAATATGCTTGAGGTTTGTTTCTGTGTGTTTCCATAATATTATCCTGTCTATCCTTTCATTGCTTCTCTGTATCTTTTCTTCTTGTACTCCGTTCTTTGTATGGTTTTAATTCAAGCAAATTATGTGAACAGTATTATCAAGGTGGTGTCGAGATGATTCGAAGAGATTTACTAACTGGGCACTGGAAACCTTACCTTGAACGTGCAATCAGCTTAAAACCATGTTATGAGGGTGGGATTAATGGTGGTGAGGTATTGTGCTCTTTTCCTCTGCTTTGCCAAAATAATATATCAAACTACTACTTTACTGGCTGCTTCTGTTCAAAATTTGAGAACTGTCTTTAGAGAAAAAATAGACCCAAAGAAGAGAATGGGGTATCTGATTTATTTTTCCATACTGAAATTAGTAGACAGTTTCTGCATCGTTTTCCTTTCGCAAGTGGTACACATGCACAACATAGAGGTTTCAATAAATTTGAGGTTCTTAGAATTAAATTAGTATACACAGTTTATGCAAACATGGATAGATTGCTTGGTGACACTTACCATCTAAAACTTGCAGGTCGCAGCTCATATTATACAAGAGACAGCTATTGGGAAGAACTATGCCTCGGATAAGGTACATTGCAGACTGGCTTAATTTTTGAAATGAAAGTTGATCTTATTATCAGTCCTTTCAATGCATTTCAAACAAGTTGTGAACAAATTTAAGAGCCTATTGATTTATCCCAAGCATGAGAAAAAAAATTATGAAATGAGAGAGTAGTGGGCTGGTGAGGGTGATGATTAAATTCTGGAGGATTCTGATTGCTTTCTGAATTTTTGAACCTCTGTTGTGCTAAGGGATATATTGACTGGACTGTGGTGACTCATTCCAGTTTGTAGTTAAATGCTCATCAAGTATTGAACTATTCTGGAAGGCAAATGTGGAGATGATATTCGTGTTATGCTATGTTCTATAATCCGTTTTTGCATACATTCAAACTGATGTTATATTAAGGCTTCTTTAGTGCGTTTCACAAAATAACCTGGTTATTGTCCCATTCTCGCATGTCAAACTAGATGTACCACCATGCATGAACTCAAAATGTCTGTTTCTAGCATTTCAACATTTTTTTATGTACTGTTCTGTGATTTTCCCACATGGTTATGTAGTTGAGTGGCGCAAGAAGATTACGGGATGCAATAGTTCTAGGATATCAACTACAAAGGGCCCCTGGAAGGGATATACTCGTCCCAGAATGGTATGCAAATGCTGCAAATGAACTTAGTAAGTCTACAGGGTCATCAACTGTGTCAGCAGCTGAGGGTGGACACCTAATGAGCTCGTGAGTTAGCCTACTTCCTTATAACTTATTTAAGCTTTATGCAGTTCATAATTGATATATATTTCTTCCGTTTGCTCAGATATATAGAAGATTTTGAAATTCTTCATGGTGACCTTCAAGGCCTACCAGATACAATGAGCTTCTTGAAGAGCATGGCAGAGCTAGATGCTATAAATGAATATGAAAATAATTCAGAGAAGCGTCAAATGCGGGAGCGTAAAGCTGCTGCAGGACTTTTCAATTGGGAGGTCAGTTTTCATATAATACTTACATTCCTGTTATCTCACCTCTTTCTGGAGTGTCGGCTATATTGTACTGTATCTCTATGAAAGGATCAATTTCTTTCATCCCCTCATGCACGTCAAACTTCAACAAGTTGGTGGTTGGAAGTTCTTTTTCAGTGGATTAACAAGCGTTTGTTTTTGTTCCGTTGTTTTTGGAGCAGGAAGATATCTATGTGGCTAGAGCGCCCGGTAGGTTGGATGTGATGGGAGGCATAGCTGACTATTCAGGAAGCCTTGTATTACAGGTCGGATTTCTAGTTCACAGTTTAACCTTTCTAAATATTGAAATACTCCTAGTTATTGTATTCTTGTTTGGCATTTGACACTTGTGCATTCTTTAGCCTCTATGCACATATATACTTTGTCATGCTGTTCTTGGTGCCAACTATCTGGTGCAACTTTTAGAATGATTGGATTATTTCTACCAACATTCTGGTGCAACTTTTAGAATGTTTGGCATTTGACACTTGTGCATTCTTTAGCCTCTATGCACATATATACTTTGTCATGCTGTTCTTGGTGCCAACTATCTGGTGCAACTTTTAGAATGATTGGATTACTATCATAGTCTTCTACCAACAAGGGTTATTTGATAGGAAAGCGTAAACTTCTTGTTCTTCTGGCTGACTGTATTCCTAGTGTCTGATGCTTCTTGTCAAGTGGTTTTCCTGACTTGATTCTTTTACTGATTATTCGTTCCTACAGTTGCCTACAAGAGAAGCTTGTCATGTTGCCGTGCAGAGGAATGATCCTAACAAACATAAGCTCTGGAAACATGCCCAGGAAAGGCAAAATACAAAGGGCCAACAACCTACCCCTGTTCTTCAGATTGTAAGTTGGGGCTTAAAGCTCTACTCTTCTATGTTTCTCAAGCCATCCTTCCTCAGACAATCCTCTGAGGAGCAATGGCTAACAGTTTTGCTGTTTCATACCCAAAGGAGAAGTTTCATAGCAGTGGACTAACTTCGACTTATTATTAACTTATGCTGAAGACTGTCCAATCAAACTGAAGACCAAAGATAAACAAGAACTCATTATAGGAGTACATTAGTTTAGACATGCTCTTTTATATACCACTCTTATGCTTCTTCCTTTTATCAGGTGTCTTATGGGTCTGAGTTAAGCAATCGTGGCCCGACTTTTGACATGGATTTATCTGATTTCATTGAAGATGGGCAGCCAATACCATATGAGAAGGCAAAGAAATACTTTGCTCAAGATCCATCACAAAAGTGAGTTGCTCTTTTGTATTTTTGGTGCTTGTTTATGATTATACATCTTATGCATCATGTTCCTTTTCAGGTGGGCAGCATATGTTGCAGGGACCATTTTGGTTTTGATGAAAGAACTAGGTGTGCGATTTGAAGATAGCATCAGCATGCTGGTATAATCGAAGCTCTGACTTGGTGATTGTTTTCATGTTTGTATCGCTGTGGTAACTTTTAGTTGCAACATTGTCTAATTCTAAGCTTTTGCTTCTTCGTTATTCGCACTGAAAGTTAGTATGATGAGTGGTCTGAAGCACTCCACAACTCCCTTCTAATAGGCTATAAGTTGATGACTTTCACTCCTGTTTCCGCCACAAGGAATGACTTATGGAATACTCAATGATCAAATGAGTCACATTTAGATTTAAAATCGTTTGGCTACAGTACACACTCATTGTTTCATCTACTGTTGTACATTTCATTAATTATGAAATTCATAAAAGCAAGTTTTCCATGTACCAATCTGTAGGTTTCTTCTGCTGTCCCTGAAGGCAAAGGCGTGTCTTCTTCAGCCTCTGTGGAAGTCGCAAGCATGTCTGCTATTGCTGCTGCTCATGGTAATTTTGTTATTCTGATCGTCTTCGTGTACATGTTATTTTTTTCTGGGCTGAAGTGCTTGCATATGTTTTCTTTTTCTAGTTATTACTCCCCAAGTGTTTGACAGACTTAGGAGCATTACTAAGACAATTCAACTTGTAAATTTGCAGGATTGAGCATCAGCCCAAGAGATATTGCGTTGCTCAGCCAAAAGGTAACTATTATGCATTCACATAAATCCTTGTTCCACAGAGTCATTTATCCTTGGGTTATTTAGGTTCAAAATCCTTTAACAGGTGGAGAACCACATCGTTGGAGCCCCTTGTGGTGTAATGGATCAGATGACTTCAGCATGTGGTGAAGCTAACAAGCTTCTGGCTATGGTTTGCCAGGTATGTTAACCCCTTCATGAGCTTGCTTTCTGGAATCTGGACTGCAAAACTAATCATTTTTGTTGTTGCAGCCTGCTGAGGTAATTGGGCTAGTTGAAATCCCTAACCATATTCGTTTCTGGGGCATTGATTCCGGGATACGTCACAGGTAAATTGTCTTGCTCACTACCATCAGATATGTGTCAAATACTCAAATAGCTCCCCTTGCTTTATCTTTGTTTTTGAATCTTTCTATTCAGTATTCACACTGTAGTTCCATCCCCCCTTAAAACCTTAATTGAGTAGAAAATGCTCAATGTTAACTTGATATTTTGGAATCAATCCCTGATTCAGCCTTCATATTCCTATGGAAATAAAACTTGGCTTCTCTTATTTTGGCAGTGTTGGTGGTGCGGACTATGGATCTGTGAGAATTGGAGCCTTCATGGGTCGGAAGATCATAAAATCCTTAGCATCTGACGTGGTGTCTAAATCATCTGACTTCAGTAATGGTTTCGTCCATGATGAACTGGAAGATGATGGTGTGGCACTACTAGAAGCTGAAGCATCATTAGATTACTTGTGCAACTTGGCACCACACAGGTCTGTGGACAGATTTGTCCTTACCACTTAGCATTTTAAGACAGGGAACAGAACTATTGCCTTTTCATTATTCTGGGGAGTCCTTATATGGTTTCTCCTTCTTGACTCTTCAGATATGAAGCCCTATATGCAAAGATGCTTCCTGAGACACTGCTGGGTCAGGAATTCCTGAATAGGTACATTGATCACAGCGATCCCGTTACATCGATTGATACAAACCGGAAATATGTGGTTAGAGCGCCGGCTAAACATCCCATCTATGAGAATTTCCGAGTGAAGGTCTGTTATTAGCTGGCTCTAACATTTTCCCATACATTTGTGAGAAATTTCTGACACTACAGTCTACTGTTTTTTTAACCCCGAAATAATTTCCTATCACAGAACTTCAAAGCATTGCTTACTTCTACAACGTCGGATGATCAACTCACAGCTCTAGGAGAATTACTGTATCAGGTATTTGATTTCTCAACAGTGGCTGTCACATGGATAACGGATGTCCAGAAAGAAGAGACAAAATCAGTTAAACCCTAACGGCATGTGGAACTTTGAACTGTTTGCAGTGTCATTACAGCTACAGTGCGTGCGGGCTAGGCACAGACGGAACAGATAGGCTTGTAAGGATGGTCCAGGAAATGCAGCATAGTTCCAAGTCGAAATCTGAAGGTGGGACGTTATACGGAGCCAAAATAACCGGTGGAGGCTCTGGTGGCACTGTTTGTGTTATTGGTAGGAACTCCTTGTGCAGCAGCCAACAAATTCTAGAGGTATGCATTCATGTGTCCAATACAAGAGTAGTAAATCCGTTAGAGTGCTTTTTGGATCCCTTTCTCCATGGAGGAACTGAGTTATTACCACCTGATGGATTCTCTCTCACATTTGTCTCATCAGGTTCAGCAGAAGTACAAAGTAGCAACTGGGTATTTGCCATTTATCTTTGAGGGGTCTTCTCCTGGAGCTGGGAAGTTTGGATACTTGAGAATTCGTCGACGGTAGCCCACCACCTTTCCCACTGATCACCTGTTTATGTCAGCTGCTCCTTATAGTTAGCTGCCTTCAGACTTCAGTCACTCTCGCAACTTCTTCACACACGATGACCTCGAAATGACATTCTGGTCAATAGATATAGCATAGTTAAGCTCAGTTAGTTTTGGAAATAAGATTACTTGGCAGCAATTAAGCCCTGTGTTAAAGTATTCATTAAATTGAGAAGGATGAACAAACCCTCGTTATACAAGTTTTTTGCTTTTAATGTTAAAGCGTGTTTGGCGTTGGTCGATCAAGCGTATAGTACAGTATTGCGACATCTTGTGCGAATGATTGATAATTCCATACCGGCTTGATCACCTGTTATGTAGTTTAACTGGTGCTGTGTTACAATACAAATGCTGGTAGTTTCCACTTAACCGAAAGGGATGTAGCTGTAAAAATGATACAACTTACGGTCAATGATAGAGGATTCACAAAATGTTAAAAGTTTTTTCCCTAGTTGTTTCAAAGCGATGTAGTTCATATGTAGAGGCCAAGGATTGAGCCACAAATGTACAGAATTTTTTAGGGGAAATCAATCGTGTTAAAATAGTGTAATTGAGTCAAGGATTTGGATTCAATATGAATGAAGAGAGTGACGAGCTTGTGTTTGTGATCCAAACGATCCCATAGAAGACATCCTTCATATCAACAATCCAAGCACGAAATTACCAGGGTGAAAGACAGAGATGATAGATTGGAGCTTTAAGCAGGTTCAAACAATCTGAAAGAAAAAGAAGATATCCACCAGAAGAATTTAGCCATTTACATAGCCTCAAGCATCATTTTAACCACAAATGTGCAGACTTTCTCTTCCATTTTACCTTCAATTTTATTCAAACATCTTATTGAACTCCAAGCTTGATTCAATCAAAGGGAAATCACATATGCAGCACATGCAATTGCATGCTTTTGAAGATCAGGCCACTCATAACACCACTACATTTTGGACATTCAATATGAAGCATATCTTGTCATGAGGGCTTCCACACACACTTTACACCTATCTAAACATCATGGACTGTCTGATTGCCAAACAACCAAGTAGTTGAACCCAGTCACAAGTGATAGTTCAGAAAGGAATCGAATTATTTAACTAGATTGATCTCGCAATGGCGGGAATTCATTGTTGTTCATCCATCCAACAGAGCTAGTTAGAAGAAGAAGGATTGGTGCCACCATCTGCTGCATTGTAGAAAGATTCATAGGTAGCCACTCTGGTTTTAGAATCAGGCTGCTGGATTTCTTCCATGAATTCTGCCGTCATCTTCACAAAATCACTCATGTGTGATTTCTTCCACTCCTTCCCACCCATCAAAACAAGCAAACATGACATAAGTTCAGCCACAGGAAATTGAAACCCATCTCCTATTTCAGTAAGCATCTTGCTTCTCATCATAACTCTGAATCATAAAAGGCCTTTTTTATTCAAGCGCCACATGAAATCAGAGAAAGGAACGAGTAAGTACCTCAAAATCCCACTCTCCATACAAGTCAGGATCGTCTTTGTTCACCCAGACATAGGCATTCACTTGTAGCTTCCTCTCCACCTGCAAAAAAAAAAAAAAATTACATAAAGACTCCATTTTTAAGGAAGGGTAAATGATCCCAAGTGGCAGATGGGTAAAAAATAAAACTCCGGGAAAAAGTTTCGCAGTGCTTTACCGGGAGTGAAACTTCAACAGTGTGACGCTCGTACTCAACATCCTCGAACGTATCGAGGATTTCAAGCTCAGGATGGGTGAGCCCAAACAGGACTCTACCAGAAACGCTCTTGTTCTCGATTGGTAGAATTGCCGGATAAACCCGCCCTTTGATGCTGAACCTGTGACTGTCACAGGCATATCATCAAACAGTAGGTCTGCAATACGATCTGAATTTGGAGAAAAGGGAAGAAAAGGAACGCGGAAAGAGAGAGAGAGAAACATACTAGTTATTGAGGATGGCGGCTGAGGATTGAGGGGCGCGGTTCAGCAGGACGTGAACAACTTCATCGGCCATGAGGCTGCCGTAGACGAACACCTTGTGACCATCCATGGCTGCTGCTGCCGAACCCATCCTTCCTTCAGTACTCTGTCTCTCCTATTTGCTTCGATTACTCGCCGACGTCGCCCTTCGCCGTCGTTTTTTTCTGCTAATTTACGGTATTGCTTCGGCCGGTCTACCTTCTAGTATGGCCTTGCAATTAGGTGGACTACGACTACGTTTTGGATGTTACGAACTTTTAGTGGCCATAATTGAGAGTCTGATGATATTAAATAGTCGAAATCTAAACAAGCCAGAAAAAATATTTTGTGCGTCGGTACAGTTCAACATTATATAGGCAGTTCGATTGATGATCATGAAGATTGTGACGAACTCGATACCGTCATCTGGAGAAGACATCAATTGAAGGCAACCATGAACCACTGAGCCATCGATTGCCTCCCGATCAGGGCTTGATTTAAGCTAACGAATCACAACCCTACGTGAGGGACCGAACTCGATTGGAATTTGGAAGCGGTTCGTGCAATCGAACACTAACATGAACCGCCCAAAGTACATCGAACTCAGGGGAGTACAGCCACCAACGATCACACGTCGAACTGAAAGGGAGAACAGCGGCATCAAGGTTGAGCTTTAGCCGACTAGCAAGAGTGGAACAGGCTAGCAGTCGAGGAAGCATACAGGGTCGAACAGGGAGCTGAAACAACCTCGGAACTTGATGGGAAAATCGAGCAGCAATCAGGGGCTAAACATGCTCATAAATCACTACATTATTTTGCGACTTCCACATCCTCCACAGACCACAAACAAAGTGTGCTCACTGCTCACATACCGTATCATTGCACCACCGTTTACATCCAGGGATGTTAACGGACCAGTTGTTCTGTGGTTTAGGATACAGATGTGACGGTGGACGAAGGAAAACGATATACAGGCAGCCAGACAACATAGGAACCCGGTGAAGTGTGGTCAATGGTCACGCAGATTTAAACAGAACATCTTAAGTAATGCACTAAAAAAGATCCAAACACAGTACATTACAAATGCAGCAGCTCACCAGGTAATTCATAAACCCAGAACTTTTTTGAAATGGAAGGTGTACATAGAACCAAACCAACTGATACTGAAAAGGGGTTTTCCCAGCATAACTAGGAAAACCCAACACCATCTACCATCCCCATACCTTCCTTCATATGTTCATTGGCTCAGGGCTTTGTCCCTGTGCATTGAGTATATCCAACAACGAGTTATGCGGCTCCAACTCTTCATGCCACAGAGGTAGAGTATCACCAGGGTAGAAGTTTCTCGTCACTCCATCAGAGTTAATCTAGCCAAGAAAGGAAAATCAAAGGGGTTTTTGAGTTTGCATTCTCATAAACAAACTCAAAATTGTAAACAGATGTGGAAGCGAGATACTTACAACTACAGTACGAACGACACCACCGCTAGCACCATCTCTTGCTATGGCAAGGGAAACGGCCTTCACCACTAATTGCTGCATGCACCAAGGCAGAAGGAAAATTAAAACACTGCTGAAATAATTGTTTCGTCTCAATTTTTGGTTGACAGGAGGAAACAGTGGTGTTAACAGTCTCTCACCTCTGCTTCCTCTTTGGTCATGCCTTCTTTCCAAACTTGATCAAAGAACCCGTATAAGTAACTGGAGCCAGATCCTGCAAAACATCATTCATTTTGTTCACATTGCGTACTCTACCATTATGAAGAAATTTCCTACTTCTTTACTATGACAACATGAATGAAACCTGGCAACCATGGTTGTGGGAGGTTTCATCCATCCTGGGTTCACTACTCCATTCTAGACTAGGTTTCCCCACTTACTCAAACCATTATTCATAACTTTAGCAGGATAGCTTCTTATCATGTATGACAACACCCAAAATAATTAAGTGGTGGAGGTCAAGTGAAGATGAAGAAATGAACATACACAGAGAAAAGCTCGGAAAATGGTACTTCGGCTACGATTTAATAAACCTACTTATGCATCCCGTGAAACATCTTCACGGACCATTTAGAATCGGATCATGAATAGAAGCAGAAACAAGAACATGTGTACATGCAAATGAATACAAAAATAAGTACCTCCAATCGCAAAGGGTGCCTCTACCAATGTTCCACCAAGAGGAACTCCATAAATTTTCCCACCTTCATACTTGTCCCACCCACCAACTATGATACCAGTTTGTAGCATGTTCTGGAAGCTCACAGACAACATGAAGACAAAGTTAGTACAGAAAGCAAGATAGATATAGAACAAGCAGCTCTCTACCTACCAACACACTCTACTTCCATAACAAAATTTTCTCCTATCTCCTATCTGGCAACCTTTTTTGTCAACTAAATGCAGCCTGTAGATTGCAGTGGACAGTATGCAGTATCAATGGAGTGAGATAGATACTTTAGCACAGGAAAGAGAGTTTGGAGAGAACCTTATTGCCATAAGATAATAAGCGGACAAGGTTTGCAGCCACTTTCACGGTTGAAGGCTGTCCCAATTGAATGCTGCAAAAAGAACAGAACATAGTAAATGAGAATTTTGAAACATAAGCTTAACAAGGCTGTAAGCTGCCTGCCTCAATAACCAAAAACAGAAACAACTATGCATGGAACAAAATCACAGAAGACCATCACGTATAAACATCCAACAGAAAATCTGTCCATAACTATGATGAGAAGAATCTAATAAAGCTTAAACCTGTTAAATATGAACCACCATCCTGGTGTCAACAATGCAGTGTTACAATACCAATCAGTGGCTAGCTACTCTCGAACCCCAATTTAGAACGCTTGGGTTTTTTCTTGAGCTAAAAAAAATTGTCAATACCAGATTAATGGTTGGTTCTAGGAAGCTTACTGCAGAACCGAAGAGACGGATATTTTCAAGAGGGTAGTTTCCATATAGCATTAGTTTCTAACTCCTACTATTTTTCCTAAAACGTAGTCTTGTGCATATCATGGAGGAGAAACTCGATCACAAATAGAGAATTCGAACACAAGAATAGATGAAGGCACAAGAATATAAGTAAAGCGTCATAAGGCAGGCCAACTCACGTGTGTTGATGTAAGAAGTATCGAACATAGTCAGAAACAATCTGGGAATCAGCAGCCTGCAATATAGAAGAACATGTATCGTAAATTCAGAAGCCCACAAACAGCTTAGAGATTATCAATAGAGTAATGCATGCAATTGATGCTTGAGCTGAAATTGGAGAGCCAATGACCCAGAACAAACTATTCCAACCATCTTCGACAAAGTTCAAAAGGCCCTAGTGTTCACAATAATTTCAAAGCTGGGATTCGTACCGATCCCGAGCGACAGACGTAGACGTTATCTGTGAGCTGGGTGATCTTGTCCGAAGCCCTGTTAGCGACGTACATTCCTACAAATCGCAGGAACCGGAATTCGTCAGAACAAAACCCTAAACGTACATAATTCTTCGATTGAGTCCATACCCAACAAAAATGTCCTCTCTTTCAAGAATCAAATCAACACCAGCGACCTCCTCAATGAATGAAAGACCTAACGGTGATAAATTTATCAGGAAGAACTCCGGGAAGGGCTAACAACGTACCGGTGCTGGTACGGGAATCTGCACCGAGGATGACCCCGCCATTGTAAGTGACGCCGATGATGGTGGTGCCCATCGAGTGGGGAGCATTCAGATCCTGAAGAGTAGTATCCATGGTAGAGAATCCTAGCGACGATCCTAGCGGGAGGAGCAGCGGCAAAGAAGAAGTTCGATTGATAGAAGTAAATAAGCTTTAGGCCTTCACTGATCCAGTGCTATCTGATTTATATTTTCAGAAGACCTAATGCTTCTTAGGGAACAAGTAAGAAATTTCCGGTTACCAATTTCCTTTTTGTTTTAGGGCCAAAATGTCAAATTTGATCCTCAAGTTTACCACTGTCTCAAAGATGGCCCTTTAACTACGATATAACCTGTCCTGGCTCTTGAACTTGTTGACGATTCCTGAACGAGCCTATTACCGTTAGTTTTAATTTATGGATAAATTATGTCGATTGATCATCAAAGATTGAAAATTATAAAATCACCTTCATTAAACTAGACAAAGGTCAACAACTAATACCTCATCATCACGCTAAGATCAGGTGACTAAGGGAGTCTCTTAGTCACTTGTCTAAATCGATCTCAACCCTTCAAACTCATTAAAATCCAATAGCTCCAATTAATTCAATTTAATGAAGGGTAATATAGTAATTGCATGGTTTATTGTTATTTTATTTTTTAATAATTAATAATAAAAAGAGATTCCGCAGGAAGGCCTGTCCTCCCCGCCGCAGAAATTTCCCGCCGTCCAGGATGCCCGCCGCAGCCGACCGTCCTCTCCGCCGTCCGTCCATGATTTTCCAGCGGCACCTTTTTCTGCATTCCAACCATTTTTTAGTCCCAGGGAGCCACCATTTCCATTTTTGGTGCGTCCGAGAGAGACCGAGAGAGAGAGACACACACACACAGAGAGAGAGAGAGAGAGAGAGAGAGAGAGAGAGAGAGAGAGAGAGAGAGAGAGAGAGAGAGAGAATACTTTTCCAGCGATCGGAGGAGACTTTCCGGTGACAGTGCTGGATTTGTGATGTTTGTGGACCTATTTTGTAATGTTTGTATAGATTCGGTTTGTATTGTTTAGCATTCTTGTTTGTCATTTTAGTGATATTTTGTACGGTTAGTATGCTTCGTACTGTTTGTCGGTTTATTTTGTAATGTTTGTACGCTTTGTTATTTTGTAATGTCTGTCGGTTTCTTTTGTAATGTTTGTAAACTTTGTTATTTTTGTGCACCATGTTTATCATTTTTGTCAACCATGTTTGTAATGCTTTTTATGTCTAAAAAACAACCTGGTTGACTTTTGGATGGAACTCCTCTATATAGGGATGGAGCCTCCCAAGTCAACTGGGTGTTTTTTCCAGTTTGTATGAATTGTCGGTCTAGTTTGTCATTTTTGCCCACCATATTCGTAATGTTTGTATGTCTAAAAAACAACCGGGTTGACTTTGAGATGAAGCCCTCTATATAGGGATGGAGCCTCCAAAGTCAACCCGGTTTTTTTACTTTTTTTGTATGGTTTGTATTGTTTGTCGGTCTAGTTTGTATTGTTTGTACAGTTCATACGTCTGTAATGTTTGTAAATCTGTTTGTATGTTTTGTTGTTGTAGTTTGTACTGTTTGTATGGTTTGTACTGATTGTAAGTCTTGTTTGTATACTTCGTAATTTTCCATAATACCCAAACTACCCTGTCATTAATTAAATAGCCCTTCCATTTTTTAACCATCAGATTGTTGTGTCCAGATCTAAGGGCTGGGAGGGGCTTAGCCAAGTGACTAAGCACCCCCCTTAGTCATGGGATCCGCACTCTCTCATCATCCCTTTCCTCTCAATTTGCATCTTGAAACGCTACTTTAAACGCTACCCTGTCATTAATTAAATAGCCCTTCCATTTTTTAACCATCAGATTGTTGTGTCCCGATCTAAGGGCTGGGAGGGGCTTAGCCAAGTGACTAAGCACCCCCTTAGTCATGGGATCCGCACTCTCTCATCATCCCTTTCCTCTCAATTTGCATCTTGAAACGCTACTTTAAAGATTTTGATATATTGTTGATGTTTGTAATTAATATTTGTAGTTTTTTTAGGAATAACGCGACTAAAACATATATACTATATAATGACAATCCTCTATCCACAAAACAAAGACGAAAATAGAGATAACATTGTTATTAGAATTTACACAATTCGTTGAACTAGAGAAGAAACTTATTGTGTAATTTCGGTGTCTAGAAAGACTGTTAGGTGATGCTCTATGAGAATTTCATGAAAACCCAACCTCACACAGGTTTCCAAGCAATAACTTGAACTACTAACAAAGCTAACATCATTGGTTGTGATCTTATTCCCTATGGAAGACATTGTTAGAGATGGTATTAGTGCCCTAAGATCACAAGTCTTGATTGTTGAAATATGAATAAACCTCATAAATCAGTAAATATATTAATGGCGAATCCAATAAAATGACTTGTTTCTATCAATCTGTGTCGTAAACATGATTTTAGAACCGATAGATACAGAGCTTCGTTCCTAACTATGTGAACTGTGAAGCAAGATTAAGAATTCAATATATCAAATGACGAAGAAGGAAGTTGCAAGACTTCCTCTGTTCTCTACTACCAAAATCGATGGAAGAACTCTTCTGCCTTGAAAAGAAGTGTATTCACTTCAGTCAGATGGTCCTATCATCTTCTCAGGTACAACCAGCTGATCAAACTCATCGCTGGTCAGAACTGCCAATTTCAGTGCCGCTTCCTACATACATAATTATGGCCATTCCCAGTTGTTAATAACATAAAGATGGTAAAGAATGGATGAAGCACGATGAATCAGTTGGTGGAAGGAGTAGAGTCACCTTCAGAGTAAGTCCTTCCTTGTGAGCAAGCTTAGCAAGTGCAGCAGCATTGTCATACCCAATTTTCTATGCAAAATCAACAATGCCACGAGATCAGTAATTATAACGTCAAGAAACTGAAGGTTGAGTTTTGATTGATAGTATTACTGGAATGAATCAAGGGAACTTACGGGATTCAGTGATGTAACAAGCATGAGTGACTGAAAAGAGCCCAGAAAAGAGACAATCCGTAAAGATTTCTTAGCCATTGCATTCCAATACAAATCGTAGTTTCTGTGATAAGTTCCAATTACTGACCTCATGCAGCAACTTGGAAATTCTTTCCTTGTTAGCTTGGATTCCCTTCACGCAGTTCTTTTCAAAAGAAGCAGATGCATCTCCAAGCAATCTCACTGACTGTTTCACAGGTTATTAAATAAGACAATGCAGTCATTATGAAATACAATTTGATTTTATAGATGGGGAGAAATTCAAAGCAAAGAAATTTTGAAGAACTACTTCGAAACACTAGGAAGTTATAGAAACATTCCATACATGAAGGAGATCACTTGCAATCATAGGCTTGAATACATTCAACTCAAAATGACCATTTGATCCACCAATAGTTATTGCCACATGGTTTCCCATAACCTGTAAAATACATAATGGAAACAATAATCATGAGAATATAGTCACATAAACTCATCACAGTTGCTTCAGAGGGCATTCTCCAGCCTTGTATAACAAGAGAACAAACATTTATTAACCAAAATATTTTCAGAAGTAGGAAGACGAAGAACGGTTAAGGAAGAAGTCTGCAGCTAGAAAATGAAAAAGAAAACCAAAACAGAATGTACCTGAGCACAAACCATAGTAAGCGCCTCACATTGAGTGGGATTAACCTTCCCCTGGAATATGGCGAGCCATAATGAGTGAAAATCATAAGCCAGCATCATCAGCCAACAAAAACATATTTAAGGACTAGAAGATGTTCATCTATGCATGAAAAGAACTAAAAAAACAATACCGGCATGATACTGCTACCAGGCTCATTTTCTGGAAGAACAAGTTCGCCAAGCCCACATCTTGGACCACTGATCAAATCAGAAGTTCAAAGAACGTCATACAATATACAAACATGGAAGGAACTTCAGGGATAGATAAGTTGGAGTTTATTCGATACAAGTATATTCACCTTCCTAGGAAGCGTATGTCATTGGCGATCTTCATCAAAGAAGTAGCAATGGTGTTGAGAGCTCCACTACATTCAACAAAAGCATCATGTGCAGCCTAACAATTTCAAGTCTTTTTAGTAAGCATAATGGTTTCCTCCCCATTTTAATATTAACAGAAAAATTAACCAAATGAAATAAAAAACTATAACATCCTCAAGTAAACAAAAAACTAACCAGAGCTTCAAACTTGTTCTCTGCTGTAACAAATGGTAGCTTTGTTTCTTCAGCTATTGCTTGAGCAATCTTTGCATCAAACCTATAGGTGCGTAAAGAATAGATCAATGAAAAGGATGATACATACCCTCTGAATCTTTTAGATGCATCAATGAAAAAGCTAACACAACCCGAGGGAAGTCAACAACAAATGAGGTATTGCGCAAAATAAAATAGTGCACTCCCGAACCATGATTGCATTAAAAGATAACAAAAAAAATTGCACTAAGAGCATCAGACATCATTGACCTTAACCTTCTTTTGGTGTTCTTTTAATCTAATAAGGTCTATGTAGTAGTAATGTGAAACTACATGCAAAAAGAGGTCTAGTGATGAAAACAGTCAAGAAACATGCAAACACAAGCAATAGAGCACTTGCAGGAGCCCAAAAACCTAGAGAAAATATATCTTACCCTCTCTTGGTGTTCAAGCCAGTTCCAACTGCAGTTCCACCTTGAGCAAGCTGCATTCAACATCCCAAAATGACAAAACTTCTCTGGAACAGGGGGGTGGGAAAAATAGAATTGTGAATTACAGATGTGGAACAGTCTAGTCAACCTTATACATGCGCGGTAGAGAGCAAGTGATGCGATCAATTCCATATTGCAACTGGAAACAATACACAAATATGAGGAAAGGACAACCTATCAACAAAAAGTTGAAGACAAAATGAATCGCGATGAAGGATCTCACTTGGGTGCTATAGCCACTAAACTCTTGACCAAGCGTCAATGGGGTTGCATCTTGAGTATGAGTACGCCCAATCTTAACGATATCCTTGAATTCAATAGACTAAGGAAGAAGAAGATACACAACATGACTCAAAAGTGAGTAGTAGCCATAACATTCATATTGAAATCATAAAGACCGTACTACAGTGAATGCAGCTTATGAAGTTGAAACAAACACAAGGAGACCAGGAATATTTTTCACATGGGGAAATCAGGGATAATGCAGGAAAACTAAGATATAGGAAGCTACAACAATTAAACTTGATGACAACAGTCACCTTTGTATGTACAGTAGCGTACAAAGTCTTCAAATTTGGTAACAATCTTGAGTTTATTTCCATAGCAGCTGCGATGTGCATCACCTACAAGTATAAAAGATGACCAATATGAAAAAAGGAACAATTTTAATTTGGACATGGAAAATACACATAAAGACAAAAAGTAACATCATATTAGGGAGTTACGTAGAAGATTAGATAGCAAATTGTGCTTACAGTTGGAAAAGTGTCATTGGAAGATTGTGATCTATTAACATGGTCATTTGGATGCACATACTTTTCACCACGCTTATGGCCAAGGATTTCAGCAGCTCTATTGGCAATAACCTGGAAATTTTGTAACAAACACGATCAACTAACAGGAAATAAACTTGAAGAGATCAACTAACTTATAATGATAATAGACATTTAAACATCTTCAGAAGAATAAACATGGTGGAGCTATATGTTTTGGTTTAGAAGCATCATATTCCCTTCACATTTTGGAACTTTCAACCGATGGCCACTGAACTTAATCATAGTCAAAATGTTGAAAGATGAAGTGAATTGAATTTCCCCATTGTGTTAGAAATTCCTATCAAGCGCAATTATCAAATGCTTCCCCTAAATTGGGCGTTCCTCATCCAAAATCAATAAAACACAGATCATAACCCTGACCTCATTGGCATTCATGTTGCTTTGAGTGCCACTGCCAGTCTGCCAAATGACGAGTGGAAAATGTTCATTTAGCATTCCATCAGCAACCTCTTGAGCAGCCTGCATGATGGCCTTAGCAATGGCTGGATCAAGCCCATATTCCATGTTCACCTGCAACCAATACATACACACCACAGAAGAATTCCCATTTCAGAACTACAATTGAATCATGGAAGCAATTGGTTGGGTTCAAAGCAAAGAGAAGAGAAAGAATTCGAGACCTTTGCCGCACATTTTTTGAGGATGCCGAATGCACGAATTATGGGCTCCGGCATCCGCTCGCGCTCCCCGCCAATTTCAAAATTCTGCAATGATCTTTGAGTTTGCGCGCCCCACAACCTACAAAAGTGAAGGGAGTTGTTGCAACGAATCAGGGAGAAATTGATTATGAAACAAGGCATTCGTAAAGGTAATCGAGGATCAACCAAACTTACTTATCAGCGGAAACTTGAATTGGCCCAAATGTGTCTCGCTCTTCTCTAAAGCCATTTGAAGGCTGCTGCAACAACGTATGTAATGATCAGGGTGCGATAACGGCGGTCGCGATAGATGGAACTGAAAACGTGTATCACCAACTATCAGGTACTAAATGATAACAACTCCTATTAGTCCTTATGGAGGGATCTCTCTCTATCTCTTTCCCTCTCTCAATTCCGGCATCGATTCTTCTGTGTTTATCTTATTCTGCATCAGCATCGGCGGTGGCAGAGGATGAATACTGCAAAGACGACGTCGAAGGACTCCGATGCGTCAAACCTGGATACGGTGAAGTCCCGCTGTCGCCAGCAGTGACAAACAGAGAGGGATATCATTTCCTTCTAAGTTCTAACACAGTAACACTCACTATAACGTCGTCGTTCGAGTACCAGCTATAGGTTGGTACTGGGCCCCGACCCCCGACGCCTGGTAGTACCCGTTCCGTTTGTACTGAAGATTATGTATGGGCTTCGGGTCCATTTATCTCGTCTAGAGGACCTAGTAATACAAAGTTACTAGGCCTAACATCTGGCCGAACCCTTAATTCTCATTCATTTTGCTTGAACACCCTTAGTATTTTCATTTTTATCGTAATTAGTTCATAATCTCTTCATTTCCCATGATTTCTGATTCAAATTAATACTTTCTACTCTAGAGGAAAGATAGTAAAAAACTCATCTTTTATACACTAAAATAGTTTTAAAAAGTCATAAAATTTCTCTAAGTTGTAAAATTATCGAAGGAATTGGTGTAATGTTTCTTTATTGAATTATTGTTACGTTTTATTTGATTTTCCTCTTTTGTTTGCCCGCAAGTTTTTTTTTTCATTTGCTAGTTACTCGTTATTTAACTCTTGCTTATCATTCAATTTAGATAACTTGTCAATTTGAACAAAGATGTATAAATCTAACCCAATTGATTCATACACATCCAATCTCCAGACCTCGCATTAATAGTAGTATATGTACATGATTTGTGATATCTAAGTATCGACTAATAACAAACTATATGGTACAAGAATGTCTAAAGATAAGCACAACTTGCACTCTATTACATTGAGATCACACGAATATATGAAGACTCAACGGAAACACGAGACTAGAAGTAAGAAGCAAGAAGAAGACTGACTGACCTGTTGAGAAATATAGGCCATGATTATAAGGAAAATGTGACGCCCAAATGAGATGAAAGTGAAACGATGGAGACAGAGAGTGGTGATCAATGGGGAAGAATGAAATTGATCAAGAAAGAAAGAAGAAAATGCTTACGTATTTGCCCAAATGTAGATTTAGTATTGTTGTATACAAATCTGCCATAATACTATGACTCATAAGCCCCGTAATGATTGCTCGTCCATTGCATAGTTTTGAGACTTGTCTCGGGTGAGAGGGCGTAGGAACCGGAGAAGGAAAGAGCGATGATTATTTTGTAGCTTCTAAAAATCGGTTGTCTATTGGCATTTGGCACCCTTTTAAGAAACACGGTAGAAAAGAAAATAAGAGAAGATAAGACGCGTTGAATAGGTATTTATTAATTTTTGGGAAAATATTTTGTAAATATTGTAAGAGTAAACTAGGATAGGCTTTAGGATTTATGTAACATTTGCTTAGTTTATGTTTTTTGTAATTAGGATAATCAAGGCATATATATTGTAATTTTTTTTATGGTAAGGTACCTGAATTTTATTAAGAAATTAAAGCCTCCTTAGCCAAGAGGCTTTGGAGAAAATAAGGGGGTCCTGAAACCATTCTTCCTGGGCTTCCCAATCACACAAAATGTGGGCCAAACAGTGGGTCATTTCATTTCCTGTTCGTCTAGTGAAGCTCCATCTGATCGACTCAAACCTCTGAGCTTCCTCCTGGATTTCTTTCACAACCTGACCTGCTTCCAATCTCGATCTATCCTCCTTCTGTAGAGCAAAGGAGACCATCTGACAGTCCATTTCCACCACCGCTCGGTGATGACCGCTCCGCTCCAGCTGTTGTAGGCCGAATTCCACCGCCTTCAACTCCGCTATCTCTGGTGGCCAGCAATTCCACCGCCTTCAACTCCGCAAAACCATCCCCACCCCCGTCCCTTCATTCATCACCGTCGCGTCAACATTTACTTTCACCCAACCTTGTGGGGGCACTTTCCAGGTAACTTCTTCCGCTTTTCTGACCTGCTGCTCTTTAGTGTGATAGGATTGGAACTCATCCCAGTAGTCTAGAGCCTTCCCAACCACTTCTCATTTCTCCGCCTTTTTCCTATTGAACATTTGGTTGTTCCGTTCATTCCACATCATCCAGAGAATTAGCCCAAATTGTTCTAGGGTTGCATCATCCACCCTCCCCACTACCTCACACATCCAACTGCCTGGCGATAGATTTGGTTCCATCTCACACAGGGGTTGAAAAGTCGAAGGCTTCCACACACGAATCCCCCACTGGCACTCCAGAAAAATATGGTTTTGAGTTTCTTCTAGATGGCAAAAGGGGCATTTCGTGGCTGTTTCTTCTTTTCTGATCTCAATGTTCTTCCCTGTAGGTAATATGTTACGCACTAACTTCCATAGAATTTTTTTTTACCTTTGTTGGGATCGTGAGTCTCCACAGTCGCTTCCAGTTCATGGGATCATACAATTCCACCCCTTGCCCTATCTCCTCTGGCCCTCCCTCCTCATTCTGTTGGTCTACTTCTGCAGTGTTGTTCTTGATTCTATAGGCCAGTCTGTAAGTCGTTTTAACCGAGTAAACACATGTTCTTTCGTGGCTCCAAACTCTCTCATCCACAGCAGGCTGACGTGGAATGGGAATTCCAGTAATTCTTCCCCTATCAATCGGATTGAAATAGAGCTGCAGAACATTACTTCTCCGTATCCTGTTTTCATGATCAATAAGATCGGAAACTATTCTCACCTCTTCTGATTCCACTTCGCGTGATAATACCTGAGAATCATGCTCTTCTGACACTGGTAACCATTTTTCCATGGTAAATTAAACCGGATCGGACCGGCCGGTTGGACCGGTAAAACCGGGTTTTGGTGCCTGACCGGTACGATAGAAGGGCTGGAGGGAAAAAATCGTTCCGGTCGGTTTGACCGGCACAACCGGTTCAACTGATAAAACCGCCCGGTTTTGGTCTAACCGGGTGTTTGATAGAAGCGGCGACGTTTTGCATTATGGAAAAAAAAAAAAAAAACGGCCGAAGCCTAAAACCAAATCGGCAAAACCCTAAAATGAATCACGCTCTGCGATTCATCTTCTTTTCGAGACCCTGCCTCCTCTCCTCTGCCCGTCTGCCTGCCGCTGCGTTCCTCCTCTCCTCGACGCTCTCGACTACCGGCGGTCCGCATCCTCTGCTCGACGACCGGCGGTCCCTCCTCTGCTCGACGACCGGCGACCGCCTCCTCTGCTCGACGACCGGCGGTCCCTCCCTCCTCTGCTCGACCTGTAAGTTGATTCCTTTATTTTCTGAATTCCTGCTCGGCCCCTACTGTTGTCAACCGCCGCCTGCTTTTGAGAAAGCCGCCGACCGCCTATTGATTCTAACATGTACGGGCTCAACCAAACCTGGGCAGGTTGGATATCCGCCCACAACTAGGCTCGGGCGCGCCGAGAACCTGCATGCACCAACCCGTCGCCGGGCGCTAGGAATAGGTGAGGAACCTATCCCGAGCTCGCCGCCAACGCGTTTTCAACCCGTCTTGGAAACCCAAAAAAATTTTCTCTTCCACAAATTCCCCTTAATGCCAACTCCCGATCTCTTCTCTCCCTCTAAATCGGTCTGCCGCTTTTGAATTGATAGTAGTTGGAGGTTAGTTGGATTCGGCAGGGAGCATGATGTATTGACGGAATGAGTAAAAAACTAAAAATTGAAGATAAGGAGGTGGCCGGCGGGGGATTCTCTCTCTTCTGGCCCTCGTCGGCGCAGTAGCAGAGGTGTTGGAGCAGAGCAAGGGGATTTAGGGCGATAGTTTTTTCTTCCTTCTTTATGGTTAGGGCGATGGTAGTTTTGGATAGGGGCAAATGTGTATTTTCAGGTTTGTTATCCGGTATATTTCGGTTTTATTCCGGTATTATTCCGAGACGGTATCACAAATCTGCCGGTACGGTTTTTTCACAAAAAAATATTATTTATTTACAAAAACGGTATTTTGCCGGTACACAACGATTGAACCACGGTAGTACCACAAAATACCCTACCACTGGCGGAGCCGGTATGACTTCCGGTACGGTTTCCTTTACCATGCATTTTTCTCCCCATATCTTCAAATTAGAACCATTTCCTATCCTCCATCTTAGATCACTTTTTACCAAGTCTAGGGCAGCCATGATACTCCGCCAAGTATAGCTCGGGTTGGGGCCTATTCTTGCCTGTAAAATGTCAGTATTTGGGTAGTATTTGGCTTTCAGAATGCATGCTACTAGGGATTCTGGATTGACAAGAAGATTCCAGATTTGCTTCCCCAGTAGTGCGACATTGAAAGCCTGTAGGTTACGAAACCCCATACCACCCTCTTCCTTAGGCTTATACACCTCCTTCCATGCCTTCCAATGAATCCAGCGCTCTTCCTTCTGCTGGCCCCACCAAAAACTTGAAATTGCTCTTCTGATTTCATTTAGGACACCTTGCGAAATCAGAAAGACTGACATCATATATGTGGTCTGAGATTGCGCCACAGCCTTGATCAGAACATCTTTTGCAGCTATTGATAGAGTAAGCCCTTTCCAGCGTTTGATTTTTTTACGCACCCTATTGACAAGGAATCGAAGACAACCTTCTTTTCTCTTCAAATTACAGTGGGTAGACCCAAATACTTGGTGTAATGTTCCACCTGTTTCATCCCCAATATGGCAGCCAAGCCATTTCTTGTATCTGAATTCACACTCGGACTGAAGATTAGTTCTGACTTTTGTATGTTCACCATTTGTCCCGATTCAGCCTCATAGCACTTAAGAATTTCTTTTAGCTGGTAGCATTCCTGAAGTGTAGCTCTTAAGAAGAAAATGCTATCGGCCGCAAAAAGCAAATGTGACACAGAGGGGCCACGAATTGAAACTTTCATACCATGCATTTTTCCTTCGTCCACAGCTTTTGATGTTAGAGCTGATAATCCCTCCACACACATGAGGAAAAGGTAAGGGGAGATTGGATCTCCCTGCCCGAGTCCTCTCTCTGGCTTGAACGTTTCAGACTGGTGACCATTCACCAAAATCGAGTAGGACATAGTAGTTATGCAGTGCGTAATAACTTTTACCCATCTTTCCCCAAAACCAAGTTTTCTCATCACAGCCTCGAGAAAACCCCATTCCACTCTGTCATACACTTTAGATATGTCAAGCTTGGTTGCTAGTAGTCCTTTCTTAGCCTTTTTCTTTTGCTTCATTGCGTGAAAACATTCAAACCCAATGAGTACATTATCAGTAATGTACCTACCTGGAACGAAAGCACTCTGCTGCTCACCAATCACATGATCCAGTACTCTTTTCAATCTATTCGCCAGCACCTTGGACATAATTTTGTATAGAACCTTGCAAAGGTTTATTGGCCTGAACTCTAGTGGTGTCTTTGGCTTTTTTGTCTTCGGTAGTAGAGCTATAAGTGTGTGATTAAGCTGCTGCGGGAATTCACCTAGCTCCAGATAACCCCTTAACTCCTCTTTTACTGCTTGGCCAACCACATTCCAATGCTTTTGGAAAAACCTGGCTGGCATACCATCTGCACCTGGTGCCTTGTTCGGCCACATTGTACATTTTTAATTGTGTAACCTTTTGTTGAAATAAAATTTGAAATCATTTCCCCTCGTCATGGTATCAAATATACTTCCTCTCGAAAATAGTCCGAATTTTTCAAAAAATTAAATAAAATTAGCACATATATTAACTTTAAATATTCTGTCAATCATACAAAATCTCGTTTTAAAGCATCGTCCACATGCTCAGTCACAGTAAACAAACAGGAAGAGGCTGCCCCTAGCAATGGACCAAGTTCTTTACATCGTGCACATTACCATACAAATAGAGCTTACATAGAGACACTTATTGTAACATTAAGTACATTACATACACGCCAGATTGCACTAAGCAAAAGTGAGAACAAGACTATAGATCACATGACGGCTAGCTAGCTCAGTAATTTAATTAAGGCCAGATTACACTAGACACACAACTTACACCAGTCTCACTAACCACATCATTGTTGAGACTTGCACTACCAACTGGAACTCCTCCTGCGCCGCCGCCGCCACCACCACCACCATACGACACCTCCTCTCCTCCTTGCACCGTGATGCTCGGCGACACGTTGGCAGCCATCCGATGATGATGGTGGTGATGGAGATTAACGTGATTGTTCATAACCTGAGGAGGTGCTACTGTTACTGCAGGTTGAATGTTGTTGTTGTTGTTGTTGTTCTGCAGCAGCATGTTCATGTTGCAGGTGAATGATCCACGAGCCACCATGTCTTCAGCCAGCTTGACCTTGGCTCGCAAGGCCTCGACGCCCGATTTCAGCACCCTGTGGTTCGTGCCAGCCTCGCGGTACTGCTGGGCTGCGTCCGAGAGCTGCTTGTACATCGTTGCATTCTCTCCTGTCAGCTGCTCAACCTTGAAAAAAACAAGAACAAAAACCGCTGCAAAATGAATCAAACAGAATTGGCACCATGGTTGGCTAATGTCGCGTTACGTTGGAACATAATGTTTGATCAATCAAACATAATGCAGCAGTAAAATACCTGCAATTCCAGTTCAGCCAGATGAGCTTGCTTCCTTCTTCGAGATCGTCTAGCAGACTCCCGATTCGATACCATCCTAAACGAGAGAAAGCAATGCAAGAGAGGAATTAAGGCCAAATTTGGATCAGCTACACACATTTGTTACGACATTGGGGATCGTTAATCGATCACCTTCTGACGCGCTTGACATCAACAGCAGGGTTGGTGCTCTGCTCGCAGGGCCCTGCTTCTATCTCAGCATCTTCTTCATCCTCATTTGATGGCTCTGGCGACGAACCGCTCCATGTGACTTTCGGTTCGATCTCTCGCACGTTCGGCTTAGCTGATGTCGGGCTCCCAACTGAACAATGAAATCAAAATTACCCATTACTAAAATGTGAATTGGATTCACCAGAGAAACTCAAGCAAGAGCACAGTTCTGAGTTCTAAACCACAGATGGATGACTGGGCGTCAATGGAAACTGAATGGCTGTATTGCTTGAGGTTGACATTATTACTACAGCTATGTGACCATAGGAATGAATCTGTTAGGCCACCATCACAAGCTGCAAATCCCTCCATGGAGTGCTGTAAATTCACAAAGAAACGAAATCAGACTGGGAAAGAAGAATGTGTGTGATTGAGAAAGCCGTCTAAAATAAATGTCGATATCATGGCCACGTAGTAAAGTTGGATCCAGAAAGTGGGCTTGTTGTCTGTTCTGCTTTTGAAGCAGTGTATTGCAACTCCACCTCGCCATCTCCTGTCACAAAGCGTACTTTTTGCTTTGGCTTTCGGCAAGAATCTACTCAAAAGTTGGCTTTGAGTATAAGGATTTTCCATACGTTAGTGGAGTGTTTTAAACTTTTATATGTTACTTTGGTTGTTATTAGAGGTCAGAATGGCAATACCAAACATTATGAGATGTTTGAATATGTAGGAGTGTACGTTGATCGAGTGGGTCGGTTTTAGACATTTATAGTAAAAAACGACACGATTTGGATAACAAAGTACTCCTATCCAGAATCCAACCATGAAAATGAAAATCCTATTAGTGCAGCAGGCTTTGGGTTGGTCCAGGAGAAAGAAACAATCCGTGTGGAACACTAATATTCAAGATCTTTGTCATTTATTTATATTGCTTAAAATTTTAATATACAAGTTATAAGTGTTTAATGGGACGTAAATAAAAGAACAAGCCATTAACTTCTATGCATTTTTCTTTCAAATTATAAAGTAATTGCAATCTAATATCATCGACATATTAAGCCCTACCTGCTAATAGTTTGGATGACCTCATCTTCATTCTTCAATATGTTAAGAAACATGACTTGGAGATGAGAAAGACTTTCACTATAACATCTTTAACAACAAATATGTTGTGCTCAAACAATAGTTAAAGTTGGAATGGCATTTTATATTGAGTATATAGTGGGCTGTACAAGAACTATATAGGTAAAAAATACATGTTCAGTTTCTCCAACTCCAAAATCGCATCCACCCAACAAAATTAACAAATGATAATAAATAAAACCTAACCCACTCATACATTTTGTAACCTTCGAATCTCACGATTTATTAAGTCTGGATTAACAGGTTGGCCGATTTCTGGATTTATATGTTCACGATATATGTAATTATGTATTACAAATGCCTATTATATTGAGAGTACCCATAATAATATATATAAGAAAAACACATGCATGTATAGTAAGTAAATTTAGTTGGATAATGAAAACATCATACCTACTCATGTCTCATAACGTTTGATTCGATTTTAACTCCTACTTACGAGTAGTACAACCAATTCGTGTCGGGTTGGATTCGAACCGGATTCACACTTCCCTCTCCTTCCATGGTTGTGGCAGTGGCCGGATGAACGGTTCAACCCAAGCCCAACGCAATTGAAACTTTTTCCCCCTCCAAAGCCCAAACTCTTGCCACATGGGCTTATCAGAATGAGTTGGGCCCGGGACTGACCCGGATCCAAACGGAAAATGAATCGGAAAAAAACCAGAGGATGAGGTGTGAGACTGAGACTTTTGACTGACCGGAGTTTTGAAGGTAAAGCAAGTGAGATCGTCGGGGTAAATGTCGCCGAAGAAGCCCTCGATTTCGCTGGCGAAACAGGACGCCTCTCTGTGGAGACCCTGCACCATCCCCCCGATTTTCTCGTCTCGCAGTAAATAATCGGCGGCGGCGGCGGTGGTCGGGTAACGAGGTGGAGCTGGTTGAGGGGAAGCTGATTGATCGAAACTCTCTTCTTTGCCGATCATTCCACCGGCGCTCTGATTCATGCCTCCTGGTTTCTGTTCCTCCATGTTTTTTTCTCTTCTGTTACAGCAAGGGGAGAGTGAGTGCGATCGAGTAGAAAGGAAATCGGAAGAGATGATGGATGGTTTGTTTATATATTAGTGGCTAACTTGCCTTTTTGACTTTTGTTGGGATTGTCCACTAGTATGGTAATCTAATTAAGGTTTAATTTTTTTTATTTCTTTTATTCTTTTTAGCACCGACCAATGACCAAATGATCCACAAAAAAGTATAGATATGATGCAAATTAAGTAATTGTCATTTCTCTCTACATGACTTAATAATGTGACATAAGTTAGTTATGTTTGAGCGAAACTCTAAATTGATTTTCGTTATCTTGCTGTATAATAAATTTCAATTTATTTGGATGATAATTCGTTAATCAATCTACTAAAGATGTTAATTTCGAGCCGGGTTGGAAATGGTTTGGTCCTCTCATTGTATTAACAAAAAAGACTATTTTATGTCTCTGTTCTTTAGCCTTGAACCGAATATTTGAAATAGATGCCACAATAGAGGCTCCGTCTCTCTCTAAGGCGCCACAGCAGATCTCTCATCTCTCTCTCTCTCTCTCTCTCTCTCTCTCTCACACACACACACACACACACACACACCCCTCCTCTCCTCTTGTCTGGGTATTCCTTCTCTCGTGTCTCGTCACTTCTAAATCTTTTATCCTTCACATTCCGTTTTCTCTCCATCCCCTGTTATATAATTCGCAGTCAGACTGCGTGCGAAAAATGCAGAAATTCAGACGTAATTAATCAGTTTCTTGCATCTCTTTTATGTTTGCTAGTAGACAGTAGCTCTCCTATACGACTTTGATAACTTTTGATAAGAAATCTTATCCTACGCTCTCTCTTTCCTTTTCTCACTAATTGCGCACACAGTCCTCGATAGAAAGGAAACCAGAAGTGTCATAATCTTTCTTTCTCTTTATGTTGTTCTCGTTAAACAATAACCTTTTTAGATTTATCTTCTTTCATGTATTTTTTTGGGCAATGAAGAGTTAAAGATGGAGGGGTAAAGAGACTAGCTCATTGAACTCCCGTTGGAGCTTAAATTAGAAGTCTAGAGTATAATAGATACATTTAGCATGGTAAGAGATATGACCTTTTCTATCTAGTGGATGGATGTGTGGAAACAATTCACTACATTTTCTTTATGCGATGAAGAGTGCAAAATCTTCTCCAAGTACAAGTCTGATCTGATTAACAATTGGTATGATTTGGTGAGTGTCGTTTGCAGCAAGGTGAAGTCTGATCTGATTAACAATTGGTATTAGTTTTATGATCACACCATCATAGAACTAATAGACGTGTCTAAAGATCAGGAAGAAAAGGAGCATCGTCAACTGAAACTGGGAGTTTGGGACAGGGATCAGACCACCCTATCCCCGCGGGAATTTTCTTAAAATAATTTCTAAAGAATCTGACCAATATCTCTCTGAGCAATATGCAATTTAATTACGGTGATATGGAGGTGTTTAGTTTCCCTCTGTTGAGGAGCTTGATGTAAGAGGCATGCACATTCTTGGATCTACGAGTGGACAAAGATCAATAAACAAAGCAAACCTATTTCAAAGATAAAATAATTGGACAGAAAAAACAAAATTTGTCGAGAAAAACCATCATTTCAAAAGAATCTTTCAGTAGCCCCTGAACCGTTAAGAGCCCCTTCTGCTTCTTCTATCAAATTTGCAGATTTCTTCACTCTACTGTGCATTGTCGTTACTTTTATCTTCGTTTTTTCCTTTATTCTATTCTCAATAAAGAATATCAGTCCCAATCATTCACTTCCTTTAGTATTTATAATAAATAGAAGCATATATAGTGAACCGAAGGCTTTTTGACTGTTATAATTTCTCTCTTGGACTCTTCTCACGAATTGGATTCGAACCACCACAACCAAGTATACTATCGTCCAACTTTCGATGCTCCCAGACTACACATTTTGAAGGTTGTTGACTATTGGTGGATCGGCTATTTGGGTTGACCATTGAGGGGGGAGACCTTCTGGACCTACAGACTGAGGACAAAATCAAGTTGGCCAACTCGCTAATGCATCTCCCAGCACCAAAACTGGAGGTGTTTTGTAACTTCTTACCACAATATGGATCTTTGATACCGGAGCCACCTATCACATTATGTGTTATATCATAGTAGTAGTTGAAGAACAGGCTCATGAGAATAGGAAAACGATATCGCATATAAATAGTTGTAGCATTCATATTGTGTGATATTTAGACTACTAACATAATACAACTAATGCATTCATAGCAAATAGATGATATATTCATTTATTGTATGAATATTCTAAGCGTGTATGTTATTTTTGAGAAAAAATAGCGCTCCACACGCTATATGTGCAGAATTAATACACAGTGTAGGCTTTGCAAATATGTCATTTTTGAGCAGGGTTGGAAAACGGTTGGTCCTCTTGAGACCAAACCTTGTGTGTTGTCTGTGATTTAAACTGAGGAATTGTAACACTAGACCTGACAATAGCACAAATGTATGGTATGGTTAAGACCGGACAAACAATCTTAACTATAAAATCAGTCGTTTATTTGGTTCGTGAAACAAAAAATAGGACCAAGGAGCAAAGAAAAAATCTTATTTTTTTTTTAAACCTAAATGTCTAATATGTGCATATATAATTGTTATTCCTCCAAACAAATAACAATAACACAAACTCACACACATCCCATATTCCAACATAATATCATAGTCACAAACTAATATTAATCAAATGAAAAATACCATACTTATTACGGAGGATTGTGAAACTGTACTGGAGGATATACTGAAAAATTCAATGATGCGTATTTTACACCGCACTCGTGTAATCGTGGTTGAACCATTTCATATCGCTAAAATCGTATACCATTTTGAGGCCAGTAATCGGCATTCCGCATTCCAGTAGACGTTAAGTTACGATCTCTTAAATGTTGCTTATTATTGGACCGAACCATTCTCCCTTTTTGTCTTTCACTCTTGCTTTCCAATGTGATTTTTCTATGATCCGAAGTCCTAACCAGACTAGACCAACGAATCCAAAAAATAAAAACATAAACCAAATTATTGCTATATAGTCTATACTCTAATATTATTCAGATGTTGTAAAATAGCAAGGAAGAGCAACAGACATAAGAGTAAGAGTAGAGACACAAGAAGAGTGGGGGAATAGAGCTTTCTTATTCATGTATTCCTTAGTACAAGGAGATCATATATTTATAGGCATACATCACATAACCCCTACATTCTTACAATCAATATACATGAATGTGAGAATGAATGTGAAATAGAAATGGGGTGGGGGGTTACATGTAACACCCAATTGTGCATCTAATGTGTCATATGAAGAAATAAATATAAGGAGATGAGTTACATAGAACTTGTAACATACCATGGAGCATCTAATGTTGGTCATCCATAATGATAATAATATTTTCATAACACTCCCCCTTGGATGACCATTAGACATGAATATGCCTCGTTAAAACCTTACTAGGAAAAACCCTGTGGGATAAAATCCTAGTGAAGGAAAAAGAGTACATAATCATCATAATACGCTATTTGAATCTGCCTCGTTAAAAACCTTACCAGGAAAACCCAGTGGGAAAAACCATGGTTAAGGAAAAAAGAGTGCAGTGCGTATATGCTCCCCCTCATGACAACATCAATAGTATTGTGAACAAATCTTTCAAATATTGTCATGGTAAGCTTCTTAGTGAACAAATCTTCTAGATTGTCACTTTATGCATGATCCATTAGGACCATTTTCTTCATACATGATCTTCAAGATCATTTTCTATGAATATAATCCGCAACCACAAGTCATTTAGACGTGTTGAATAACAAATCTTAACCAAACAATTCATAACAAGTCTCATGAATTGTTGACCATTGTTCATGATAAGATGATGTTGTTATTGTGATTTCTTTGGAATCTCCATGAGATACTTGTACGACCATGAGTAAACAAATTACTCATCTATGATCCTCATCGTTACCAATAGGTAACAAAGTATAACTTAATGAAGTATAGCAATATACATTTTTGCTCTAACGATATTGGCATATGGTACTTCAGGACCTAATAACTCGCTTCTATCTCAAAGCCTAAATTGATCTTTGTTCACTTCTAGTGACCTTATGATCATTTGGCTATTGAACGTATGCAATTTTTCCATACAAAATTGTTCTTTCACTTTTCCGACATTGTCGTCTTGATCCAAAAAGAATCTTCTCAAATCCTCCATGTTCAATTTTCTTTTAAGCTAACCATGCTTTATGAAGCTCTTCTGGAGTTCATATCAACTAAAACATATGAGATCATTATAAAATAATGTCTCGACTCTTTTCTTCCAAATAACTATAAAACTTAGTTAACACAATTGTATGCAAACAATTACTTCATAACACAAGGTCACAAGCAAAAGGCACGTCATACACACAACATCACTTAACCAAACCACATTCATAAATCAAACTCATAACTAAAATCACAATATCACGCACATAAGCCTATATGTCATTACACAATCACACATGCCAAATGCAAATGCTCTAATGCACTTTATTCGAATTTAATCACGCAAGGCTTATTCGACCACTTCCTTTAGTAGATATTCACTTAGATGAATATACCATATTCATCCATTTTATCTCAATCCATAAAAAGGATTGTTTTATCGATCGATATTGTTCTCGAGAACTTCACATGTTTGCTTCCGGCAAACTAATCCTTCGAGGAGTTTCGTATAAATATCATTATCAAGGGATCCATACAAATAGGCTATCACAATATCTACCAAATGTTCATGCTTTTTGAACTGCCAAACTATTTAAATTGCACAACATAGTTGCATCCACCACAAGAGAGTATGTCTCTTCATAATTGATGTCAGGTTTCTACCAGAAACCTCTCATGAGAAATTGTATTATATCTCTCGCAATTTCCATATGCATTCGCACAAAACCTATTTGTATCCCGTTAGTTTTACATCTTCAGGTGTAAGGACTTCTGGTCCAAAACTTATACCAAATAGTCTAATGCTTTCTTTTATATTGGCCAATATATATTCCTTTGCATGCATCAATAGACTTTTACTTTTGATCCTCTTTGTATCTATCATGTTCAGTGCTGCAGCATAATCAAAACCCTTGTCGACAATAAATAGACTTCGGTTCCAACTTTCTTCATACAAGCCAATTAATTGAGATCTCTTCATTTTAAAACTTTCAGGTACCTATTATTTTTCTGGAACTATGATCTCAATTTTATGACTGGACTCTTCTAGAGTTATTTTATCCTCGAGTTTACCATCTTAATTTATAGCTCCTTCCTTTCTCGAGGATTTTTATACTTGGAACCGATTGGTCTACCACGCTTCATGCGCTCGTTTAGACTCATTAGATTATCCAATATGGACATCAATTGTATTGGAGCATTCACAACTGGGCATGTGACATAATCACTCCTTTTAGTGAGTAAAAAGGCGTTTGGCAATCAATACATTTTTTTTCTCCATGAATCACCATATGAACTTCGGGTTCATGTTTCTTTGTTTGAGGATCAAAATGCGATAATGATTATTCCAACTCACATCTATGCCCAACTGTTTACTTTTCTCCCCCTTAACGTTCGAGAAGTAACTCATCAAAATGATGATATTAGCAAAAAGAGTCATGAACAAATCTCTCATTGCATTGGACACCATGTCCAACATAAGTTCTCATGGAACTCATAACGTGTTGTGGTGGAGCAATTGGGATGTATTATGCACACCCAAATTTTCTAGCAGTTTAAATGTTTGGTCCCTGACCAAAACCATTTGTATGAAAAGGGGGAACTTATGATAACTTGTTGGCTTCATGCGAATTAATGATATCATAAGCCTCGATAAGAGATCGATAGACTTAGTTTGTTCTCATAAGAGAAGTTCTGTTTGATTGGATAATCATCAAAATATATCCATCATTCGACAACTAATCTCGCAAACATCAGGTTGCGTTTAGATAACAGACATATATGACGATATAGTTGATGAATCAATCAAAATCATAAAATTCATATATGATTTGCACGTTGAGTGTATTTTTCTGCATACACTTTTATAAAATCTCAACAGATTCAATTATTTTCACGAGTATATTCTCCTCGAGACCATGTATCACATAATCAATCCTTTGATTGATGAATTCTCTGAACTCTCACTTAATTTCCATATGATATCTCAATCATTTTCACATCTGTATCCGGGATGGTATGACCGGACATGCCAAAATAAAAAAGTTATCCGATGTTGCAAACTTCTGGTTTACACTTTCATATGTACTAATAAACATGTAGTACAAATTTCTCCAGTTAAGTATATGTTCTCTTATAACACATTTCTTATGCAATATCAATTATGATATTCTTTTCTGCGAATATCTTCATAATTCGGTAATGCATCTTCAACAGACAGTTTAGTTCATTAACGTCTCAAAACATTAGCTCTTCTAGAGCCTTCACATACTCTTGTACTACATGTTGGCCATGAGACACCTTCTGATTCGGTAAACTATTGTAAGCGCATATACATAGTGATAATAATATTTACATACTATGAATATCACCAATATATTGTTTAGTTACTTCAAGTAACAAAACACAATCTCTTCCGGAGCTTTTCCTTACTTTCATACTATATGATATAATACCAGTATTGAATTTTGCAAATATTCATTCTATACAAAAACATACAAAATAACAACAACAACAACAACATATATGTGTTTCATAACACATTTCGGCATACGAAGGTTACAGTATATGATCATGACTTTTGCTACTTGAATTAGCATCCTCATTTATAATTATTTTATCTTTCACTTCCGGTGAAAAGATACATTTGCTGATTGTCATTATCCAAACACCAAATTATATTAATATAATGGTGTGTCTCGATCCATTCACTTTTAAGAATGGTTTGTTTTCATTCGCTTCCAGGAATGAAACAACAGCCTTCAGATCAAATTATATAATATTTCTCATCATCACAAGTCCAATACACTTTTCACCTTTAACAAACAAGAAATAACTTATGCTTTATAAACCCTCTTCCATAATATTGCTACTGCAGGAGCACATATAGATTTTCATTTTTCTTTCAAATGATTCTTGGACCAATAAAAATTCTTTTCATACATCAGGTACAAGATCAATGATTTTTCCCCATCGCAATGGTAACTCATATTCCAATATTCTAGTTACCAGATCCACTTCTTTCATTTGACACATTTTTTCTTCATTTTTTCCACTTCGAGGGAAATTGAGATCTTTAGACTTTCATTTCTCTATATGTCGAATGTAGCAATCGATAAGTCAACCCATAATGATTTTGCTACTACAGGAGCAATTTTCATTATCTGATAATGTCCAAGCACAAACTCCATGTTACGAGATCGACATATATAAAATAATATAAACAAATAACATGATCAAATAATCCCTCAAAGACAATGAGATAGATAAACTTACTAAAAAGAAACAACATGAAAAGTTGCATACCTTGATCGTGTTGTGATCTTACTCAAGTAAGTTTTGATTATGTAAAGAGACAATAACCAACCATGACTCTGGTAGAGCTTCGTGCTGATAACGTGTTGTAAAATAGCAAGGAAGAGCAACAGACATAAGAGTAAGAGTAGAGACACAAGAAGAGTGGGGGAATAGAGCTTTCTTATTCATGTATTCCTTAGTACAAGGAGATCATATATTTATAGGCATACATCACATAACCCCTACATTCTTACAATCAATATACATGAATGTGAGAATGAATGTGAAATAGAAATGGGGTGGGGGGTTACATGTAACACCCAATTGTGCATCTAATGTGTCATATGAAGAAATAAATATAAGGAGATGAGTTACATAGAACTTGTAACATACCATGGAGCATCTAATGTTGGTCATCCATAATGATAATAATATTTTCATAACAGTATATAGTATTATTTAATAGTCCCAAGTCCCAACCCTAGTTACCTAGCCATCCAATTCCAAATCATTCTCCATTTTGCTTTTGCCCTTTTCCAAGTCCTGAAATTAAAGGTTAGGTTGTGAGTTGATGGTAGCTTTATTTATTTTAGGGAAGTTGATCTCACAGCTTTACTTGGCTGACGATGCATGGCCTGCTTTTCATGACCTTTTCTTGTTTTGCAAAAGAAGAAGAAGGCCCATGTTGCGTCCACCAAACACCCTTTTGCAGTTTTGCCTAATTGCCTTTGTTTGTGTTGCATATATTGAGATTTCTTCCGCGGTAAGAATACATAAACTCTAATACCTGTTTCTGAATAAATTTTTCATTGAATGGTCATTCACGAGACGGTTGTCTTTTCTAATTTCAAATTTTGTTTACGACGTAACTCAAAATAGAAAAACATTTCTCAACATTACTGTAGTTATAATTAGTAAAAAAATCAGCAAGAAACATCCTTCGAAGCAAACAAACAACAAATACGATTATACACTATATATTCTTTCAATGGATCTTGGAAATCATGTATATACTGCGACGAAATTGTTGTGGTGTTCAATCCCAAGATTTGGACTTAGAATATTGTAAACTAGGATATGAAACTACAACTTTCAAACACAAGTAAATATTTAAACCAAAACTATGATCATCATAGATATTAATTAAATTTAAATGAAATGGATGGAATTTGATCGATGATCCATTGAGTAGTCGCACTTTATTCAAGATAGAGATTGAATATGGTGACAAGCTGATTTTTTTTTTTTACCAATAGATCACTTGTATTACCAAGGCAAACAGCTAGTACAGTTTACAACTCAAGAACAAACCAGCGAAAAAAATCAAATGTATCTACAACCGCAGGTAACAAAGAAAGGGTCTTCCTAGCCACCTCATGGGCCACCCGATTGTTACTCCTGCCAATAAAAGCCATCTCCAACTGCAGGTACCGTGGGCGCAGCTTCTGAATTTCTTCCAGGATCCGCCCGCCTTTCACATCCCTAGCATCCAAATTATGGATTTTCTCAATGACAACCTTCGCATCCCCACAGAATTGCACTTCAGCTAGTCCCTTCGAAGCGCACCACTGAATTGCATCACGAAACGCCACCAATTCCACCAGAAAAGGATCCACTAGACCTGCATACCAAAACCCTTGCACAAAACATACCCTCCCCAACCCATCATAAACCACCAAACCGCCAGCCCCATGCGAACCAGCACGAACAGCACCATCCACATAGCAACGATAAGGCATAGCAATCTGTGCTCTACAATCCACCCTACCCGTACCCCCTCCCTGTTGATCCCGATTCTCTCTAACCTGCCCAGCCCCAGCCAGACTCAACCACTCCCGGACCTGCTACTCAAATTGCCTCACCAGAGTATCCACCCCATACTGAACACGATCAAACGTCACCCAATTTCTACTCTTTCAAATTCTCCAAAGAGTTGCCACAAACCGAACTACCCTCTCAACACTGTCTTCCTGCTTAGAAAATCGGCGCAGGAATAAAGCAAAATTCAACGGAGGCTGCCTCACAAGCTCTTCACCCAAACCCGACCTCGCCCAAAGCACCCTTGCCATCCTGCAAGACAGAAACATATGCTCCAAAGTCTCCAGCGGCGCCCAACAAACCGGACACCTGGGATCAACCACCTCATCACTTGGATCAGGCTCCACTTCCCCCGGTAGTCTACCAGTCCGCTCAATTATCATTTCCATAGTCGGGAGGATCCGCTTCATGCTTTGCCAAAGGAAACACTTCAGCTTTGGCGGTATGGGAAGTCCCTAAAGCTTTTTCCAACACTTCATATCAAAAAAGGACACCTCAGCCTTCCAATTCTGAATCTGCCTAGCATATTGAAAGGCCAAATGGTACCCCGACTTCACTGTATATTCCCCATCCCCCTCACCTGTTCAGACTTGACTATCTTCCACCCCACCCCGCGGAAGTGGTAAAGATTGCATAGTCCGCACTATCGGTCGAGTTCACCGTTACTCCTGTGAGATTAGGTGCCGAGGCCTTCAATTCCAACTCCTCCGGTCTAATACCCGGGATTCAGTTATCCTCCCTAATTCTAACCTGCGAACCTTCCCCAATCTGCCACCGAAGACCCTTGACAAGCAAGTCCCTTCCATGCAAAATACTGATCCACCCCCATGAGGGCCTCGACCTACGAGTCGCTGTAAGAAGAGATGTCTGTGGGAAGTATTTCCCTTTCAACACCCTTGCCAGCAGCGTATCCTGCTCCTTCCAAATTCGCCAAGCGACCTTCGCCAGCAATGCCTGATTAAAGTTCTCGAATCGTCGATACCCCAGACCACCGTCAAATTTGCTCCTGCATAGGTTACGCCAAGATATCCAATGAGCTTTGTCCCTCTCTCCGGAAAATCCCCACCAGAACCGTGCCATGTACTTATCCAGCTTACGACAAAGGGTCACCGGAAGTAGAAAACACGACATGACATAGATCGGGAGGGCCGCAGCCACCGCCTTCAGCAGTACTTCCTTTGCTGCCCACGACAGTTTCTTCTGCTTCCATCCTTGGAGCTTAGCCAATAATTTCTCTTCAAGATATCGAAATGTTTCCAATTTCGATCTCTGAACCAAAGACGGAAGATCCAAGTACCTGTCCTGAACACCAATCGCTCTGACACCTAAGATGGCCGCCATCTCCTCTGCCTCCGAGGGATCCACATTCTTACTAAAACATTCTTACTAGAGCCCATGGTGACAAGCTGATTCGGACTATAATTAGTGGAAATTTATTTTAAGAGGGAATGTTGATTCCACGAATATTTAGAAAGTTCAGTGACAAATTTGTTAACAGTTAAAGTTGTATGGTCACTTTCGGGATTAACCCCAAAGATCTGTGGCCATTAGTGCAATTAACCCGAGAAAGAAGAGACCATGGGCTCTACGGGATAGAGACCATACGGCCCAATTCGTAATAACATAGCCCATTGGGCCTGAATAGTGAATACTGAATAGTATCCGACGATAGCCCGGATTTCAACTTCTATAAATTTCCCCTCCTCCTTCTCGCCTCAACCTATTGGTTCATTGTTTATCGAATCTCGGTCAGTGGAGTCTAACTTCGGGGACAAGCCAAAGGCAAATAAGTACTCCACTAGGGACGACCGGCGGCGAGAGTTCTAATTCCGCCGATCAGAGAGAGACCGCCGCTAGAGCAACGAGCAGCGTCGACGGCGTAGCGAATCAAAGGCTTTGTAAGAGACGCACTGATTCTTTGCTTCTTGTGTTTGATCAAGTAAGAAAAGTTTTGAAGTTAGGGTTCATAACTCTGCAATAGCTCCTTTATAAAGTTGCCTCGCAAAACATGAGTAGAAACTTATTAACTTCGTTTAGGGTTCTTCGTGTGGTATAATCCGGAGATTTTCTGATGTTGTCCTGAATGTTCGTTGTTGCTAGCCAAGTTCGTATAGCTTCTGTTTCAATTTCAGATACCTGGCAATAGCATTGATACGTTTTCGAATTCTTGTGCATCAGGAGTTTAATCAGGAACCGCAGACATGTCTACCTCTCACCTTCCAGCGACGGAAGAATCGCTTGCTCAGGCTTTGGAAGCTGAAGCTCCATCGGAGGCCATCTCCATCCTCTACCGTGTACTTGAGAATCCTTCCTCGTCTTCAGGAGCACTGCAGATAAAAGAAAAAGCCATTGCAGAACTCACTGATCTGCTAAGGCAAGAGAGTAGGGCGGAGGATCTTCGCAGCCTGCTGACTCAGCTGCGACCTTTCTTTGCCGTGATTCCCAAGGCTAAAACTGCGAAAATCGTCAGAGGAGTACTCGATACTGTTGCCAAAATACCCGGCACGTCCAATCTGCAAATCGCCCTGTGCAAGGAAATGGTCGAATGGTGCCGGGCAGAAAAGAGGATGTTCCTCAGGCAGCGTGTTGAGTCGAGGCTCGCAGCACTTCTGATGGAGAACAAAGAGTATACAGAAGCGTTGGCCCTTCTTACTGAGTTGTTAAAGGAAGTGAGGAGGTTCGATGACAAGTTACTTCTTGTGGAGATAGATTTGCTCGAGAGCAAGCTTCACTTTTCGTTGAGGAACCTGCCTAAGGCCAAAGCTGCCCTCACAGCTGCAAGAACCGCTGCAAATGCGATATATGTTCCTCCGGAGCAGCAAGGCATGGTCGATTTACAGAGTGGGATTCTTCACGCTGAGGAGAAGGATTACAAGACAGCCTACAGCTACTTCTTTGAAGCGTTCGAGTCTTTCAATGCTCTCGTGGACGACAGGGCAGTTTACAGTCTCAAGTACATGTTGCTGTGCAAGATCATGGTGAGCCAAGCTGATGATGTTGCCGGGATAATTTCCTCAAAGGCTGGACTCCAGTATGTGGGGCCAGAGCTGGATGCCATGAGAGCTGTTGCCGATGCTCACTCCAAGCGGTCGTTGAAGTTGTTCGAGACAGCACTTCGTGATTACAAGGTTCAGCTGGAAGAAGATCCCATTGTTCACCGGCACCTCTCTTCCCTGTATGACACATTGTTGGAGCAGAACTTGTGCAGGCTGATTGAGCCTTTCACCAGGGTTGAGATTGCACATATTGCGGAGCTTATCGAACTGCCTATTGATCATGTGGAGAAGAAGCTCTCGCAGATGATTCTGGACAAGAAGTTTTCCGGGACATTGGATCAAGGTGCTGGCTGCCTCGTCATATTCGATGATCCCAAGACGGATGCTATATATCCAGATACATTGGAGACCATTGCCAACATGGACAAGGTTGTCGACAGTCTTTTCGTCAGGTCTGCGAAGATCATGACATGAATGAAATGCTCGTGCTTCTGGTTACATTTGTTGCAGTTTGACCCTCCCAAGTCCCACCCCCTACATTCCCTTCATCCCCTTCGCTTTCTTGTTAGTTTCTTTCTTATTTCTTTTTTTTTCGAGGTATGAAACACACCAGAGTTTAATGCATGTTACTTTCAGCTAATGACATCGACTGCTCTTTAATTGCTCCTCGTATAATTTCTCTGCTAGTTGGAGCTATATGACGAACTCATTATATAATGCCAGTAATCGAATTAAACGTAGCAAATCAAAGGCTACTCTAAAAGCAAACACTTGCAAGAATTTTTTCTTTCCAACTTTTCTGGTGCAACAAATTCATGTCACATACTGTCAATGGCGAATACATCAAAAGTTCGTGTCAACTGCGAAAGGCCACCTGCGAATCCATAACATTTGTTACTACAACACAATTATCTCAAAGTAGGTTAGTACTCTGTCTCTCTAAGCCAAGTTTCCGGCTTGGCAGATGGTGGTCAAGAAAGAGGCATCGTCAAGCTATAGACTGCTACAAACAACACCGCAATGGTGATGTGGTTGGAAAAGAAAGCCAATAGAAGACTTGGCATCTTCTTCTCTGAGGCTGCCTTCTTTTGTAGCTTCCCATCGGTTACCACCGACCTCCGGTTGTCTTCCTCGGTGGTGGCTGCCTTTCGAGATGGTTTTACTGGTTTCCCGTCTATGGAAGCCCCATTTCCGAGAACCTTTCTCACTTCATTTGCCAACTCGATCACCATGTCCTCTTCATGACCTGTATCCACAAATTCATGTCCCAACTTTTGAGTGATTTGTTCCAAAACCTAGTTTCGAAGTAGAAAGAAGTGTATATATGTTATACCTATATCGGACATTGCCTTCTCAAGCAGAAAGAGATAGTCTCTGTTATTCCCACACGGGCCGAACGCGGTTGCGATTTGCAAAGCCATTTCCTCCAAAGGAGCAGGGCCAAGGTAGTACTTGTTTGATACTTTGTCTGGAGTGGAAGTAAAACTGCACACAAAGCAAACATTTACTTGAGAAACAACCCACATCGAATTTGCAGTAATGATTGGGTAGGGCATGTTACAAAACACAGAACAGCAATGGTGGATCACTAGGCAAAAAGAGCCGAGTACTTACACTATAACATCAGTTATAGCAGGTTGAGAGGGATCATCCTCCTGGATTAAGACAAAGCACAAACACATTAGATTGAGAACACTACAGGCATTGAACTAGAAGAAGGGTATCCACAATACATAGATAGATAGAGAGGGAGAGAATCGTTTTCGTGTGCCTTACCTTGTAGAAGTCTACAAGGGTCTTTTTATCATATTCGCATTCTCTTCTCTCCAAGTACTGTTACAGAATCAGGAGAAAGGAAACCAGATGAGAATCAACCCATGCACAAACAAATTGGGAACAAGGATTGAAGAGCAATGAAGAATCACTCACCTCCATAGCCAATCTTTCCTTTTCTGGACCGCCGCGAACGCAATAAACAGCACCCCACTGAAACATCCAATGGTGAACAAAGAACAATCAGGGAACTTCACATCGACCAGAGCTGCAATCCCCATTAGCAAAACAGAGAGAAAAAAACTGCTGAATGTTATACTCACGCAAATTGCTCCTTCAGCATCCTCTAATGTGCAAGTCCTCGCAGGATGCTCGGGTGTCCCTCTATGGTCAATGCAAGCTGCGCCATACGCAAAAGGCCAAAGAAATTTATAAATAAGAAAAAGTATTACCAGCTGGGAGACCACAAAAATCAAAGCTTTCGAGATAAAGCGGTAATTAGAAAGCTTACCGAGATCAAACACGCGCCTGTAGTCTTTGATGTAGCCTATGATTTTCTCATCGTATTCGAAACCAGGGTTCCACACCAGCGAGCCATAGCCGAAGACCCAGAACACCATCTTCCTTCAGACACTCTATACCAGAATGAAGAATGCAAAGTTCAACAGTCAATTCATAGACTAATCAACAACAGCAGCAATGAAACCCTAACAGAGCAGCTGAACAGCTAGGAAACCAAATACTGCTCCGTCACTCGACCCACCGCGAGAACATTATTATCATTTATCACCACACCAAGCTCAAAACAAACAAAAAATATGAACGAACAAAAAAAAAAAAAACGAATCTGCAATGAATTCGGTGATCTGGAAACCCTTTTTCACTTCTGCAAACAAGGCGAATCTAAAACAGCTCCGGCATTGATCAGTGGAAAGGGGGAATCAATCAAATCAGTAAAGGGGAATGAGATCTTACAGGAACCGAGAAAAGAAACGCCGCCGCGGAACTCGCCGGAAGATCAGCTAGCAAACCGGATCTCGGAAACGGGAAATGCAAAAACCACGGCCTCCGACGATCGAAGCAAATTTGTTTCGGCCGGGGTGCAGAGAGAGAGAAGAAGAAGGGACGATGGGGTTTAGGTTTTGCAGATTGGAATTCGAGAATCGCAGATTCGAAGACAAATCTGCGGGCTTCCCCCTCTCCAATCTCTCCCTCGCTCGGAGTTTGCTTCTTTTCTGGCTCTCTGCTCGCTTCGAAGGACGGGGGCAGGGTGTAAAGAAAGGGGGAGAATGGCAGTTTATATAAAAAGAAGGCAAGAGAAGAGAAACAAAAAAGTGGAAAACCGAATTCAGCGCAACACGTAATAGTACGCCACCTGTTCCAGATAATAATAATAATAATAATTATTATTATTATTATTATTATTATTATTATTATTGGAATGACAATGGATTCCGAGTTTCGACACAAGTGGGCAAGGCGAGTACTTCAATACCCATACACGTTTACGTATTATATCGTTACCGATATAATAGGCAGGCTTGCATGAATGGAATGCAATGGAATGGAATGGATGATGGATGGTCATGGCCAGCATTTTGCTTTGGGGGAAAGGTAATTAAGAGGGTGTGGGAACTTGAACAAGATTTGTTTTAGTTGGTTGATTGAAGTTTTGAAGATGAACCTGGACGGATTAATGGTGGAGAGAGGTAAAAACAATGGGTGTAGGCGAATCTAAACGGTACGGCCGGTCTGAGTTTGGTTAGTTGAACCTAGACGGGTTAAGTGGCCAGGTTCATATTGTTGCACCAGAAGTCAAAATGGGTTGGGTTTTTTTTTTTTTTGGGTTTTTTTGTCACTTTCGTTGTACACTATGTTTGGCAACAAGGGGTGCAAGTTCGAGGAGGTACAAGTTGAGGGGTAAATTGTTGGGGGGTGCAACTTGGTGGAGGGTGTAAGTGGAGGGGTAAATTGTTGTTTGGATGAAAAAGTAGGGGGTGCAAATAGAGTAAAAAGTAAGTAATTATATTATTATAAAATAGATTTATCAATTTATAAAATATTATCACAAAAATAATAACATGAAAATTCAATATATAATAATAAAAATAATTTTAATAAAAATAATTATTATATAATAATGCTCAAATATAATTATTTATAACAACAATAATAATCATTGGTCGAGCAACCTCGAAACTCGAAATCCAACTCGTAACTGGTCATCCTAAGGGGGTTCTCGTGCCTGACTTTAAATTGAATATGGTCAAACTTAGTCAAACACGTTCGAATCTGTAAGTTTTAACTACTTATTAAAGTAAATCGAGTTAACTAAACTGTTCCTCTCTATCTTTTCAACAAATGCTTCTTATCTCTAATTTTCAATGCAAATTCGGGTCAAGTAAGAGATATCGATTTGACGAGGCGAACATTGACAAACTTGCTCTCTGAGTCAAACGGTCAACCCCAAACAACTTCTACACTAATATAGATATAAGAAAAAATTAATAATATTAATTATTATGTAATTATAATCTAATTAAAAATTCATAATTCCCCTCCTCCCCCTTCCTCCTCCCTTCCTTCCTTCCCTTGCACCCCAATTTGGGGGGTAAGCCGAAACAGTGATTTTACGCTCACGTTTTGCACCCCCTACTGTTACAAAATAACCAAACGGGGGTAAACACCTTGGAACTTGTATTTACCCCTCCAAACTTGCACTCCCTTCCATTTACACCCCTTCCCAAACATAGTGGTAGTAATGCTGCTGGGAATGGACGCTAGAATTGGACCCATCTCCTCCACGTTTTTTTTCAATTAATTTCACGGTTAATATAATATATAGTGTGAGACCAAAGACTAGGATATTTCTTGTGAACTTGCTATATGGTGAGGGGCTATCAATTCGATTTTTGGTTTAATTCGAAATCAACCCGATAAAAGATGACGAATTTGGCTTTGCCTTTGGTTTGTACTAAAAAAAATTTGGTAAGAAATCCCTAAATAAAAATCAATCGATTTTACAGTTTATACATATTGAACCGTACTCAGATAATGGGTTTATCAAATTTATGGTGTCCGACACTTAATTGTTTTTTTATTTTGTTTTTTTCCTCTGCTAGAATGATTCACTTAATCGAATCGAACCAGACCGAACATACAGAAGAGCCTTTTAAGTCAATGATGCTCAAATTTCAACCTTTTTCCAACGATGCTATCTAGTCCAACAAATTTGGATTCCATTTTAAAAAAAATATCCAATAATGCAGGAAAATATATTCCCCGTGATGTTGTTGCATCAGGATTCTTTGATGATGTTGTCATTTCCAGATCCCACTCTATCTACATTTTCAACAATAAAGTGGGCAACAAAGCAATATGTATACTATGGTGTGGTGGGTGAGCCTTCAATTCCTTGTCCCCTCCATTTTCCGCCTTGCCCCTTATCACTCCAGCTGGCAGCAAAAACCTAAATTACTTGTCTTTTCCACTTTGCGGGAAGTTGAAATAGTTGGTGTGTAAATATTAAAAAAAAATCTCGAAATAAAGGGTCAATAAAAATAATTTCACAATATATAACATCTTTATAGCTAGTTGATACATACAAAAAGACAAATTAGTCACGTACAATCCTTTTCACTAGCAGGTCCAGTGGTCCTCATTACCACAGTGTGGGCCCACCGAAAGTTGAGCTCGCTTTTTTTAAAAGTTTAGCAGCTCATCATAGTAAAGACGAGCCAAGCCCAAAAATAGTTGGCCCATATCAGCGGCAGTCTCATCCGTTAGCCCAGGCCCATCCTAATTAAGAATTGGAAAAACGAATCCACGTGTCCAAGTCATGCAAAGCTTTTGCCGAACACAATTACCGGTGGAGACACTTTGTTTGTTTCGCTGCTCCCCCACACTCCAACCACCGAGAAATGCCTTTCCAGGCCACATCAGCAACAGTGCAGGCTGTAGAGTGAGTCAGTACATTGGCAATCAATTCTCGCCGGATGAAGTTAGCCAACAAACAAAACAACCACCACTCCTTCCCCGAAGCTCCTGCCGGCGATGGCGCCACTCTCTAAACTGAACTCTCCGGAATAGTCGATTCCCCCGGTCAACTCTTTTATCTCTCTACACAGCTTTTTTCCCCCCTATCTAATTTCTTTTCTGTTCCGATTTTGCCGCCGGATTTCTTCTCCAGAAAAATCATCAGTCGAATTCACGATTCAGTCTTTTCTATTACTATTCAGAAGCAGAGGAGATTGACGGTAATGGAAGAGGCGGAAGCAATTAGCGAGAAGGAGAGCTCCCCGGAGCCAAAACGGAGAAGTAGAAAGCGGGAAACGCAGATGCAGCCGCCGCCGAAGGAAGCCGCCGAGGAGCCGGAGGGTCCGAGTACCAGGCGCACGCGGTCGCAGGCGGCTCCCGAGTGGACGACGAAGGAGGCGCTGGTGCTGGTGAACGAGATCGCTGCAATTGAAGGGGACTGGCTGAAAGCACTGTCGTCGTACCAGAAATGGAAGATCGTGGTGGAGCACTGCAACGCGATGGATGTGCGGCGGAATCTGTTCCAGTGCAGGGGGAAGTGGAACTCGCTGCTGACGGATTACAATCTCATCAAGCAGTGGGGTTGCAAGGCGAGGCAGGGGAGCGATCCGTACTGGTCACTGGATAGGGAGAGGAGGAAGCAATTTGGATTGCCTGAGAATTTCGATGGTGAGCTGTTCAAGGCGATTGATGAGTACGTTAGGTCGCAGGCCGACGAGATGGATTCCGATCCGGAAACGGATCCTGATGGTGACGCCGAGTTGCTTGAGGTGATTGCCAGGCTAGGTAATGCATTGGTTTTACACTTTTGCTTGAAGCTTTGATTGCTGTTCTAAGTATAGTATACTGCTTTTGGTGGTCAAATTGTGCTGATTCTTGGTTTTTGCATGCTCCATGGTTTTTACCGATTTGAATCGTATCTTGAGTTGTGTCAATGGCTGTCCATTCGTGGCGTCGATTGGCCCGAGTTAGGGTCGAGAATGATCATTTTAGGTAGGTTGTAATGTTGAGTATGGCATGTCAACAAATTGTTGTTGATGTAACACTAGTAGCTCCATTCCCATTTTGGTTATAAATTTCAATGTCTAAGACTAAGGTAACTTTCCGGGTTATGGGAGGTTTCTGCAAACGGCTCTCATCGTGGCCGAAAATCCAGGATGTTAGACTGATAACTTATCTATCTGACATCACAAAATCACTTAAAACATGGCTTTGTTCTCTCTTCTCGCCTGCCATTTTTCAATATGGAATTCAAGCTTACTTTGGGAGTTGGGGCGCATTGTTGCTACTTGACAATAATCATGTTTTGCTCTCTTACTAATAACAATAGTTATGTGCTGATTGTGGTCTTGTGATATCTGCCTCTCTTACTGACAGTGTTATGGTATATCTCAGGGTCCAAGAGGAAAAAACGTTATATATCTGTTTTGGAAGTTGGAGGAGAGCCGTTGCAAGGTGCTGCAGAAAGGCTATCTCAGGGAACTTACGCAGAAGAAAACCCTCAGCTATACTACCCAGAAGAGGGTGACGCAGAAGAAATGCCCGGGCTAGACTATCCAGAAGAAGAGGAGGGTCCTGGTGAAGAAATTCCTGTGGAAGAAATGCATCAGCCGCAGTTGTCCACAGAAGAGAAACAGGTGCGTTGTTGGATCGAGGAGAAAAATGAGGGGGCGGCAGTCGAAGTTGAGGAAGAGAATAATATGGAAGAAGCTCATGTTGAAGAGAAGAACGAGGCAGCGGTAGAAGAAGAGGAAGCTCACAATGAAAACCCTGTTGAAGAAGAAGAAGACATCCATGAAAAAGAGATGATCCATGCACCAATAGTAGAAGAGGAGGCTCATCATGAGATCCCGGCTCAAGAAGAACTATGCATCCATGAAAAGGAGACGAACGAGGCAGCATTATTACAAATGGAAGCTCCCCGCGAGAGCCTTGTTGAAGAAGAAGGGGTCCAGAGAGTCAATGTACAAAATGGAGGAGGAGGAGGAGGTGGTCAGCAGGAAATGTGCGTTGAGGAACAGAATGGTGATGATAGCTACGGCAGCGAAAGCATTCCATCTGGTGAGGTGGAAGTGGAAGGAGAGAAGAACGGTGACGAGAAGAGTAGATCTGCGCTGGGGGAACAAAGGCCTCACAAGAGAGGCAGGAAACCGAAAGCGCTGGTGGAAGAAGAGAAGATGGCGGAGCAAGTTTACGAGCATGCGAAGTTAATGATCGCTATAGCCGAAACCAAATATCCTACTCCTCCTCCGGAGCCTGGATTTGGCGATGATGCCGCAGTGGAGGCGGCCAAGACGGAGTTTGTAAGGCGCCAAGCGGACCAGCTTATAGCATCCCTAGGTAAGATTCTGAGTATACTCGAACAGTATCCTTATCTCGTCCAAAAATACAGCTAGCCGCATTACTGGTGATTGTGCCGTTCTTCATGCTGTAGTGTAGAGTTGCTGCTTGCTGTCTATGTTCCATTGTGCAGTTTATGTAGCTTTGCTGTGGACGTCGTTTTCGGTTTCCGGAATAAGATGGATGTGTAAAATAGTGTAGCTTTGAGTTCTCTTTCAGTTGCTACAGCCACAGATAAAAGACGGTACCTTGATTTGGTATCTTTCTCATGATCAATTATAGAACGACAACTTTACTAAGTATCCAAAGCACCAAAGAGAACTCAAAGGCAAAGAGGGTATGCAGCAATCCTCGATCCAGCGGGAACCCGAACAGTGTAATCCCTCCGTTGTTGTGCTGCAGATACGCCACCAGAGCTTGCCTTGTTTGGAAGGAAGAAGATCCGTTATGATCCCCATCAACAGAAACCGAGATCAGAACTTCCGACGTCGAGGACGATGACGTATCGTCAGAGTCCCCGTCGCTGCCGCTGTTCTCCTTGGAGGCATGGTTCTTCTTCCCTTTCCCGGCGCCGCTGCTTCTAGCTGCAGCACCAGTACTGCTCGTCACAATCATGTTCCACCGCGACGCGAGCGACACAATCCCCTGCGCTCTGTGCGTGATCCTCGCCGCTCCCATCAGGCACAAGAACAACCCACTCAGCTGCACCGCTGAACATATCTACAAAAACATCACCAAAGTGAGTATGATACTACGTTCCGCTTATTGTTGAAACAGGTTGTTTGTTATGCGAGACTTACGACGAGATCCCCGGAGTTGAGGAAGCTTTTGTGAGAGCGGGACGCGAGAATGAGAAGCAGAGCACCCAACTGGCTAACCGTGATGGTAACCAAGCAGGCAATAATGAAGGAGCGATATCTATGGCTGGTGAACCTCAGCTGCTTCTTGATCCTGACGTGCTCCCCGTATATCGCGTCACACGAGCCGTCGGAGTATTCGAACCCTTGGAACAGCTGGTGCAGCCCCTGGAACCTCATGATCTGAAGCTCGCATGTCAGCCTGAACAGAACACATACCAGCAGGAACACACCCGTCCTGTAAACCCACGACCCCATGACGAGAAGGAACATGATCGAATCCACGGGGAGACAAGCAGAGGCCGGGAGCGGGATGGTGAGTCGGACGGTGGAGAAGAAGACGATCTTGTGGGCGAGCTGGAGGAAGAAGGAAGGGAGGAGTATGGCGGCGAGGTAGCGGAATGCGCGGTGGAGCTCGAGGGAGTAGCCGCGACGGACGTGAGGGGAGTCGGCGTGGAGCCCGTCGAGGAAGAGGAGGTGTCGGAGGCCGTAGCGGCGGAAGAATGATGTCAGGGTGAGGAATGAGACGAGGGCTAGTCCGGATTCAGGTATTTGCACGAGTTTGTTGAATGATAACGGGAGGTCGTCGGTGGATTCGTGGTCCTCGTCGTCGTCGTGGTAAGAGAGGGAGGTGAGGATAGGGACGAGGACGGCGAGGAAGAAGAATGTGAGGTAGGAGATGGATCGGCCGAGGGGTGTGGAGTGGTCGAGGGCGCACCACTTGAGGCTTATACGAAAGTTGTGAAGCTCGTCGAAGAGGAGGGATTTCGATCTCGCGTAGGATGGTCGGAGTAGCAGAGGACGGTGGTCGTGGTGGTGGTCGTCGTCCGAGGAGGAGGAGGGGAGGGGTGTTTGATCGGGAAATGTGACGTGGCAGTCGGAGGAGTGCATGGTTTGGCTGCTCATGCTTTTACTTGGAGTGAGATTTCAGATTGTTTGGGCGTGTATGGAGATTGGTTATCAAAGGTTTGACTAACTAGTTGTATGTCTTTTTGGTGGTAAATGTTGGTTGCGAAAGAGGCAAGGGGTCTGTGACTAAAACTAGAAAGTATAGGGAAAGCAGCGAAAGTTGACAGACTGGTCATATGTTTTCCGGGGGGATCGCAATCTTTTCCAACTGGGACGAAACAGAGCGCTTGATGGGCTCCGATAGAGATTAGTGCACTAACAAGGCTAATAGCTACAGGTCCAACGCCAAGCGGGCCAGTGGTGAACCAGCCCAATAAACTTTCGTGCATAACCAGCCTTGGCCCTTGTGGCTTCCCTCTTCCGAGGTCTCTATGAGAGAGAGGATCTGGTGATTAAGAGGGTGCTTAATCACTTGACTAAATCCATTCCAGCCCTTAGATTTGGATATACAAATCTAATGGTTATAAAGTGGGAAAAACTTTTTAATTAATGATAGGATAGTTTGGGTATTATGAAAAATTACGAAGTATACAAACAGAACTTACAAACCATAACATGAGAACAATACAAACTAGAGCGACAAAACATACAAACAATACGAAACATATGAACTATACAAACAATACAAACTAGACCGACAAACATTACAAAACATACTAACAATACAAAATACCACTACTTACAATACAAAAGAGTAAACTTGTATTACAAATCAATGAATACAAAATATACGAATCACAACATAAATTATATAAACTAGACAAACAAACATTACATATTACAATGTATACAAATTAGTCATATAAACATTACAAACATAATAGATAAAAATGATAAACTAGAATAATAAATGATACAAATTGAATTGATACAAAATCACAAAACATACTTATAAAAATTACAAAATCGTCTGACAAACATAACAAAACAGACACGGTTGTCGGATTTCCTCTCTGCCTGCCGCCGCCGAAAAATTCGCCGCAGCCGGAAAATTCCCTCTCTCACGTAGCTCTCACTTGGAGGGCACAAAAATTGTCGTTCCGCCGCCGGGAGAATTCCCAGAATATGACTGGGCGGCGGACTCTCTCTTGGGGCACAAAAATCGTCATTTCGCCTTCGGGAAATCTTACAGAATATGACCGGCCGACGAGAGGGCGAAGGACAAACATCAATTATTTTTTATTTTACTTTAATCGTTAATAAATAAACTATGTAATTACTACCTTACCCTTCATTAAACTAGATTAATCTGAACCGTTAGATTTTAATAAGGTTCAATGGCTGAGATTGACTTAGTCATGTGACTAAAGAAACCCTTAGTCACCTGATATTAGCCCGTCTCCATGAACATCTGTTTTGTTACTCTAGTCCACCATGATGTTTGATTCTCATTCGGTCTCGTAGTTCGTGACTCAAACGAGCATGTTAGGTTGACGCTCTTGCATCTTTTTTTTTTTTTTTGTCCCTTTGGTTCATAGTTTCTTTGAAGTCCATGCTGACATCTTGGTTTCGATCTCCGTTCACTGGTGGTAGTTAGTTCTTTAGTCTTTAGGGTGGTTACTCGAACCGTAGTCTGAGAGGCTGTACTGTGAATTGGAGGTAACTCGGTCCCCGTTCATCCACAGTTACTCGTTTGCAGCCTTGTTATTCTAGGTTATTGTTTGGGAGGCTGCAGTCAGGGTTGTGGGTTTTCTTTCTTTTCTAATGTTGCTTTCTCTTCACATTTTCTTTCGGGAAAAAATTACTAAAAAAACTAGCTTTAGTTTGGTGAAAAAACATTAATTAACATTTTCAATCGCAAGTCGCAACCCAAGATGGCTCTCAAGATTCGCCTCATTCTACTGTCCCTTCGTCGCCGAGATCATGAACCAAACTATACTATCACGATACGATTTGCACTTTGGTCCATACCTTATGATGTAGACGGGTATTCAAATTTTCTTACTCGTTTGTGAATTAAACTCTACGTATGTATCATAGTGTCAGACACAACACAGAGGCAAGTGCTTCTAAAATGCATACTCATTTTTTTAATCGATCGGCTATCAGTTTTCTCCCATGTTTTCTTTTTTATGAAGCATCCAAGGACATTGTGTGTACCTTAACGAATGAAGCCTGCAGGAACCACCAGGACGGCTGGATGCCTACAGCTTTTCTCTGTCCCTTTCGATTATATAAAATTCTGGAATTAAAGGGTCGAGCAGTTGTTTGTACCCATTTGGCGAAGAATGTGGCCAAGTAAAAAGGCTTTACGATCGCGGTGGACTTGGAGAGAAAAGGCTGAGCAATCGATTCGTTGCCATTTGCGATTGCTCAGTAGTTATGGCGTTATGCTGCTGCAGCCGGAATCCCGAAAGCAATTCGCTACCTTGTTGTGATGGAGTCAATTTCTTGCCAGCTCAGTTATGGCGGCTGATTTCAGAGCAATTGCAAAAAACACACACATATGGAGGAACCTTGTTGTTAGGTCGATGAAATCCTCAAGAAGACGGCGGATACAACAACAAGAATCACTCTAGGCATTATTTTGCTAGCTCGTAATCAGACATACGGTTGGTTGGGAGTGAACAAGAAGATCATTAACAATATTGCAAATGAAGATAGGTTAAGCACTTAAAAAAAAAAGACTCAAAATACAAGTTTCATATGTTTGTCTGATGGATTTTGGCAGTGGATTGTTGCCTCAAATCCACCCACAAGTTGATTTGTTCAAAAGAAGGTTGCTTGGGCTGGGAGGTCTTTGTTAGTGGTGCATATTGGAATTTAGAAATATAGGCGGGGATGATTTTCAAATACCACCATTATGAAAGTTGTTTTCTAAACGTTCTTAACGTTTGGACAACTTTATGAACTTTGCTACGGTGACATGCACTTTTTGGTCGACCTTATATAGGATTAGGTCGATTTAATATGTTGTTTCAGTTTTGTGAGGTTCAACGACGCGGTTGACCTTTTATGTGGTTTTAGATTTTAGTTATGTGTGAACAATTATGATGTGTGTTTTATCGTATTTCTTGTTAGTTTGTTTAGTTGTTATGTTATGATGTTATGAGTCATTGCTATCATTATTTATGATTGATTCTATTGGTTTGAAACGTAATTTGTACGAGCAAAAGAACCGCCCACATCGACATACATAAGCAAAAAAGACCCAGGTCATAGGTTGATTTTCCTATATTCGGTCGACCTCGTACCGGATTAGGTCGACCTCGAAACCAACACCCTTGATCTTCATTTTACGTCAAATGGTGATGGATAAATGGATACAACAGTTCTCTTCTATCTGGTCGACGTCTTTTTGTAAACGACGAACCTTTTGTTAATGACCGTCATCAAGTGGTCGACCTATATACCTTTAAGGTCGACCATTTTGCTTCTGACTCCAATGAAAAGGGCGACCGATGTTTTATTGTGGTCGACCGACAATGACAACTTAAACTAAAAACGGTTGACCACTACATTTTAAAGGTCGACCGTGATAAGTCATCAGGGTGCCCACATTAGTGTATCCGGTCGACCTCTATTAGGATTAGATCGACCGAAAAGTGCAAGTTACGGTGACATGCAGGTAAGCATAGACGCACCCCAACTTCATCCATGCTCAATTATCTTCACAAATTCCAATCCAGACGAGATATACACTGCCACTTCCAGTAAAAGACTATAGGAAATAAGGTATACTACTATACTCTCACGATCTACCTCTCATAAATCACACGTTCGAGATAACTGATCATTCGAACAATAATATTTTCAAAATTTACTACTCGCTTCTATTTTGTTCTTTAAACGATCTACTACTCCCGAACAACCCACCAGCCAAACTTATCCTCGATCACAATCTGAACTTCCCGATGAAATCTCAGCCGTCTTCAAACGTATGTGACAATGTTGGTAAAACACATCGTCACGTCTTAAGTTCTGTGATTGAGAATCCAAAATGAATCTCAAGAATAAATGAAGACTATGCAGAGGATCCTCCACCACATGCCTGCAGAATATGAGCAAAATAAACTATTCGTGGTTCTCTATTAAAGAAGTATCATTCCTCAACTGAACAATGTGCCAACAAACCCAAGGAGGATCAATGGAATGGGAACAAACGGTTCACATAGCCATTATCAATTAATGAACACGATTGCTAGCTAGCTAAGCTTCTCTCCAAATGCCGACCTAGCTATCTGTCATCTGTCCAAAAAGGCTTCAAAGAAAACAGCTGGTGCCGTCTTATTGGGGCATATTTGGTTACATGTATTATGTCTTTGCAAAATAGACTATGTCAATGGCTTACCAATTATTATTTAATGTCGTTATGTGTATTTTGTAAACATAATCGTCACAACAAAGTGTAAAAAGGATATCTTTTGAGAAGTATATGTTGTCATTTGTCAAGTACTTTCATATCTTTCCTGTATTTCAGAATTGAGATTGACGCTATGTCACTTTGATGTATTTGATCATGAAACGTGCATGTACAATTTAATTCCCGTATGGTCAAAAAAGTCAAAACTTATACTGACCGACAAATATATTGATTTTTACAGGAAAATATCGTTAGTAGGTTTTCGCGGTATTCATTCTCATTTATGCTTCAGTACATAAAAAATGACGTTTGTCGCCAATGGATCGATCATCGATCTAACACGTTACAAGCACATCAACGTACAAGAAAATTGAAGAAACCTTTGATCAGACATGTCGTTTTAACTTGCTCCTTAATTAGATTAGTGTAGACATGTATATTAACAAAAAATAAAAATAAAACATTATACGAGAAAAATGATATATTTAGTGAACGGGAGGGCGGTAGCCAAACGGTTTACCATCTTTCCGAGCCATCTTTAGATCTCAAGTTCGATCCTCGGGTGCCGCCACTCTCCCACCATCCGTGGGGGTTCATGTTAGCTCGGATTGTGCCGAGTACCTCTGGCAGAGCAGCAGCTAAGGTGAGAGAAGTGGCTTCGCCTCGTGATTGCAGTTTGGTTAGACCCTCGTCGACCCAGCCTCACAATAACCCCATCTCCCAACTCTCATGATCGAGCTATTCGAACGAATATCATTAACACAATTGGTGCTTGTCGAAGAATTTCCTCATAAAAATGGTTATAATATTTTTTTAATTATTATAATAAAGGTTTTATTATTCCCCCCTCTCTCTCTTATAATTTCACATTGCGATCCATGAGGCTTCATTTAAAACGATTTGTCCAAAGGAAAGCTAGCTAGTAGCATTTCTCCCTCCCCCCAACAAACCTTACACAAAAGAGTTTCCCTCTACTCCTCCGCAAACCACAACTCCCAATTCCTTTCCTTGTCTTCTCCCTTCCTCCCCCAATTTTCATGTTTCACCACCATCTCCTCCACCACACCTCACCATAAACCAAAAACCCCCTCCTCTTAATCATCATCACCGCCATGATCACTACTAAACCACCTCGATCACCATCATTACCCTCACTAATCACAACCCTAATCATCCTCACCACATCATGTTTCTCCCCATTAGCACTCGCCGACGAAGCAGAAGTCCTCTTAACCTTCAAGAGATCCCTCTCCAACCCCTCCGCCCTACAAACCTGGAACGCCACCGTTTCCCCGCCGTGCAACCGCGACTCCTCCGATTGGGCCGGGCTCCGCTGCACGGCCGGGTCCGTCGAGAAGCTGATCCTCGACAACATGGGCCTGGTGGGCATCATCGACGTGGACTCACTCTCCCAGCTCCCAAAACTCAGGACGTTCAGCGCCATGGGGAACAACTTCGACGGGCCCATCCCGCCATTCAGCAAGCTTTCCCTTAAGAACCTGTACCTCTCCGGGAACAAATTCTCCGGCGAGATCCCGGCCGATGCGTTCAAAGGGATGGCCTCGCTCAAGGATCTCTACCTCGGGAGCAACCGGTTCGTGGGCCCGCTTCCTGGGTCGCTGGTTGGGCTCAACAAGCTTAGCGAGTTGGGCCTGGAAGGGAACCAGTTTAGTGGGAGTATCCCCGACCTTCAACAGCCGTTGACGGCGTTTAACGTCTCCGGTAACGATTTGGCCGGTCCCATCCCTGGGAACCTGGCGGACAGATTTAACCAGTCGTCTTTCTCCAGTAAGTTTGTTATCGCCGTTGTTGTCATTTTCACCTTAACTAATCACGTCATTAATTATTAATTAATCTTAATCACGAGAGTAGTGGTAGCCTGGTAGGCACGTATTTTGGATAATGTCTTTTTCCCTTATTAGTCACTAATCATTACGTCTTCAATACTAGTCTGGCTCAATTATTAAATCATTTCTGAATTTAAAATGTGTCACAACATTATCATCATACTAATAATTTCGGAATAAATATTTTTACATCATTATAAATAATATAATCAAAATCGCGTTTTAATACTTAAAAGCTTGCGTTAGTAGGTTACGAAAATGCTTTAACGCGTAATTGTATCATTTGATCATTTCTAACTAATTTAATTAAAATTGCAGTTTAATGTTTTGAAAGTTACGTTTTTACACTTTTAGATCACCAAAACGTTTCTACGTAGAATCGTATTGTTAACCGTATTAGTTATGTGATGGGAAATAACAGGGAACAAAGAGCTGTGCGGGAAGCCGCTGCCGGCGGCGTGCATAGCCGGGAAGAGGAAATCGAAGACGAAAACCATCTTGATCATCGCGGGGATCATCGCCGTGGTGGCGATACTGGGGGCGATCCTGGCCTGCACTTTCATCCGGGGCCGGGGATCCAGAAGAGAGGGACGAGCCCAATTCAACGACACGAGGAACCTGAAGAAATTCGGGGCCGCAGGCAAAATGGGCCCAAAGATGAAGGCCCATAACGACCACCACCACCCGTACCATTCGGCCCAACTGGAGCCCATGGCGGCGACCGACGGCGGAGGGAGGAGAGGGGAGAGCGGGAAGCTCCGGTTCGTGAGGAGCGACAGGGAGACGTTCGACCTGCAGGAGCTCCTGAGGTCGTCGGCGGAGGTTCTCGGCAGCGGGAACTTTGGGTCTTCTTACAAGGCTGTTCTCACCGAAGGTCCTGCCATGGTGGTGAAGAGGTTTAGGCACATGAATAACGTTGGGAAAGAGGAGTTTTACGAGCATATGAAGCGGCTGGGGAATTTGTCGCACCCGAACTTGCTCCCCCTCGTGGCTTTCTATTACAGGAAGGAAGAGAAGCTTCTGGTGTCTGATTTCGTCGACAATGGCAGCCTCGCTAGTCATCTCCATGGTAATTGGATCCACTGCTTCTTTCAGTGGTTTAGCAGAATTTTGAATTGAGTAGAATTAGGTCAATAGCTAATAATTTTGTTTTTCTCAGGGAAGCGACGGCCAGGGGAACCAGGGCTGCCATGGCCAACAAGGCTGAAGATTATCAAAGGAGTAGCGAAGGGATTAGGGTATCTGTACAAAGAGCTCTCCGATTTGCCCCTGCCGCACGGCCACCTGAAATCCTCCAACGTCCTCGTCGACCACACGTTTCAGCCGATGCTTACCGACTACGCGTTATCGCCGGTGGTGAATCGAGACCAGGCGCAAGGGGTGATGGTGGCGTACAAGTCGCCGGAGTTCATACAGACGGATCGGACGACGAGGAAGACGGACGTGTGGAGTCTTGGGATCCTGATCCTGGAGCTTTTGACGGGGAAGTTCCCGGCGAATTACTTGCGGCAAGGGAAAGGGGCGGCGGCGAACGCGGACCTGGCTGCGTGGGTGAATTCGGTGGTGAGGGAAGAGTGGACGGGGGAGGTGTTCGACAAGGACATGAAAGGGACCAAGAACGGGGAAGGCGAGATGCTGAAGCTGCTCAAGATCGGGATGTGCTGCTGCGAGTGGAACGTAGAGCGGCGGTGGGATTTGAGAGAAGCTCTGTCCAAGATTGAGGAGCTGAAAGAGAGGGAAGAAGGTGGTGAGAATGAGGATTATTGTAGCTCCGATGGTGATCTCTACTCTTCCAGGGCCATGACCGAGGAAGACTTCTCCTTCTCCGTCACCGCTTGAACTCAATTCATGCATTGATGGTGTTGTTACAATACGAATGATCCTGTGTACAAGAGAGCTAATAATGCTGATTACAGAAGCTGCTTCAGGCGGCAGGCAGAGGATGCAGGTTCCTTTTTCCCTTTTTGTTCTTAGGAGGATTTAATTCACTAAAGTTTGTACTATTTAGGTTTTTCGATCAAATTACTCATGCATGTAATACTGGTTCTTGTTTCTGCTTTGCTTATTGTTTATTTATTTTTATTTTTTTGCCTCTTCCTCGTGCTTTGAGAAATCTCTGTGTAATTTTACTGGCTCGATTCATTTCCTTTCCTTAACGAACCTGATGTGGAGGCCCTTGTTCTTGCTTCTCATGGGTTCATTTACCTACCTGTTGATACTAGTAATAAAGTACTGTAATTTCTCATTCTTTCAGAACTTGAATTTGCTGGGTTCTTCATCTTCTTAAATGGGTTGCTTCCCAGTTACCAAGTTTGATGATGCGGTATATAACTTGTCTATACTATAGTAATGATCCATCATCAAATGTATGTGATATGCGGTATCCTCAAGGATGCGTAGACATAGTTGTTGCATAGATTGGTTGGCTGGTCGAACTCTTAGATACTCCACCATGGATTGTTCTATGCAGGCGTGCAAAAGGAACAGGGAAGAAGAAAACAATGATGCTCCTAGATGCTCAGTTTTGTTTGCAATGAATGGGTAAAGGTTAAAATATGCATTGGCATTTGGCAACTGGCTAATGAACCAGAGATGTTATCAGCTTTCAGGTAAGTGTTTATGGATTATGTTGAGGTGAGAAGTTCCATTTATCTTTGAGTGACAGAAAGATGAAGTTTTTCTTTGATGGGTACCTGTCATCGTCATCCGTCTCTGCATATTGAGAAAAGAGGCATCTTTTTCAATCGCTGATAATAATGGGCATATTTGGGAATGGAGAATATGCCATGTGAAGCTTATTAGCTTTTTGAGAAGACGTTGGACATTTGGACAGGGACTCTTAAATAGGAACAACTTGCGTGTGCCTGGAATTTGTTTCGTCTTGTTCCATATCTCTTCTCCCATTGGGCCCTCACCATCTTTAGTGTTCTTTTATATGCTTCCTTATCTGTTCTATTCCTTTCTAACCTTGGAATTTTTGAGTTCCCACAGTCTCTTCCTTTCCTCCACTCCCCAACCAATCTGGGTAATCTTTCATCCTGAGATCACAAGCTACCCATGTTTCTTCAGGATTCTGGTTTCTGTCTTGTCTTGGTTGGCCTTATGTGACAGATCCCTGCACTTGTTAGAACACTTTGCCCACTATCGATGGCCTAGCTGGTGTCCCTGCTGGAATTTCATGTCTATTATCTCTGTGATCCTTGGGGAGGCCTACCTTCCTGTCTTCAACTTCTTCTGTTGTTTTGTTTAGTGCTTTTCTATGAAACCCTAATGGGATCGGATTCGCTGAAAACCCATTCGTGATTTTTGATGCCATGAAACCCAATTATATGCGTTGTTTATTGAGTTGATTCCAGGTTTACTACATCCTGATGTTACCTTCACCATGCGATGTTCATCTTAACAACCAATTTAAGCTAACCAACTCGAGAACACTGGCATGTAACGACTAAAGCATATAGCAGAATTATATTCTAACCCACTTTCATAAATGCTCTTTCTATATTTTCCCTACTCTATTAGCATCCCTTTGATCAGACATAGGTTTGGTTGTGTACCAAGTTCATATTGTAAGGTAACCAACCTGGTACTTGGTCCTAACATTAAGGAAAGGATTTCAACATGGGATATTACCTTGGCAGAGATTCAAAGACTCCACTCAAGCTACTGTCTGTTGATTCTGTTGTGAATTTCACTCTTCTTCATGGACTACGTTTCTTTGGTTTTCATCAACAGGTTGGAAAACCCTATAAAGCACAGAAGCTCGGATGCAGGCAGTAAGTTGGACGTATTCACCATGGCAGGGGATAACACCACTACTGAACAAGAAAGCAATGACTTCTTCAACCTCTTAGCATCTCGAGGAATCGACTTCCTTCTCTCTTCTCAAGGAAAGGTAGTTTAGTTCCCTCCAAAACAAACATTTTTTTTTTTTTGTTGAAAGAGCCATAAGCTGACTTAAGGTGCAATTTTGTGCTGGTGTTGACAACTCAGGTGCCAATATCATCAGCATGTGAAGAAAGCAGAGTAGTTTGCCTATTCTTCTCGGCCAACTGGTGCAGGCCATGCAAAACTTTCACTCCACAGCTCATTCAACTCTACCACACCCTCAAATCCGAGGGCAAATCGCTGGAGATCATCTTTATATCGTTCGACCATGACGAGAATCAATTTGAAGAACATTTCATGTCCATGCCTTGGCTTGCACTTCCATTTGAAGCCGAACTACATAAAATGCTGAGGGACATCTACCGAGTTCTTCGAATCCCATCATTGATCCCATTGCTCACCGATGGAATCACTGTTGAAGAGGACCTGATTAGTTTCGTCGAAGACTATGGCTCTGAAGCATTCCCTTTCACACGGAAAAGACGCGAGGAGCTCAAGGCCATTGATGATGCAAAGCGCCAAGGCGGCAGCCTCGAACAACTTCTTGGGCACCAAGGGCGAAGTTTTCTCTTAACAAGGGACTACCGAAAGGTAAATCAAACACAAAACTTTCTGTGATGCTTATTGCTGGAGCATTTGTCTGAACTAGCTGGTTCTCCACCAACCGTAAAATCTGCAGGTCTCAGTATCTCAACTCGTCGGCAAACCAATCGGGCTCTACTTTGGAGCTCACTGGTGCCCTCCAAGCCGCAACTTCACCGCCCAGCTCATCGAAGCTTACAACGACCTCAACACGACCAACAACAACGATGACAGCAGCAGCAGCAGGACATTCGAGGTCGTCTTCATCTCCACAGACCGCGACATCAAGGAATTCAACGTCAGCTTGAGCAACATGCCGTGGCTTGCCATTCCTTACGATGACAGGACGAGGCAGGACCTGTGCAGGATCTTCGACATCAAAGGGATTCCTGCTCTGGTGATGATCGGGGAGGATGGGAAGACGGTAAGCACGGAAGGGAAGTCGTTGATCTCGTTGTACGGTGCCATGGGGTTCCCGTTCACGGCGGCGAGGGTGGCCGAGATTCAAGCCGCCGTCAGGAAGGAAGGAGAAGCGCTGCCGCGGGAAGTGAAGGATAGCAGAAAGCATGAGCATGTGCTGAAGCTGGACATGGCGAAAGGGTACGTATGTGACTGGTGTAAGCGGCAGGGGAGGTTCTGGGCGTTCTCTTGTGATGTGTGTGATTATGATCTTCACCCTGCATGTGTAGAAGAAACCTGACCTGATCGCACGTAGGAATAGCAATGCGGCCTGCAACATTACTTTATAAAACAGTGCACAAACTTAAAAATATGAATGGGATATCAAAGAAAGTTGAGATAAAATTGCTCGATAATAAGATGGGACAAGATTTAGACGAGAAGAATGTCCATGCTCTGTTCCACATTGCTTGTTGGCAGACGAATAATACCCATGTGTAACATGTCGTATGCATAAAACAACAGAACAATTTGAGTCGTGTCGATCAATAATAATGAAATTGACAAATCTTGAACAATAAATATACCAAATTAGTTGGTTACTATTTACGATTTAGAATAAAAAAAGCAACTTTACGTTAATTGTGAAAAATAAAATTAGTTATTGAATGAACAAATAACGGAGATGGGGACTTGGACTTCCCTTGTCTGTGTGGGTGACCTAAAGATTTCGAGTTCGACCTCCGGGCGACGCTCCCACCGTTTGTGCGGTACTCGTTGACCAGGTTCGCTCCTGGGTCTGAGTGGCCGTGGGGTTCCTTTAGTAGCATTTCATCGATGAGTATCTTAGCAGTTAGTATTACTTGCGGGATGGTCAGGCCCTCGTGCCAGCAATAATCCATCTTCTTACGTTAATGATATGACTATATCGAATCAACAGATTCATAATTTATGTGACGAAAACATCACTAAGCCATGCATGTCGAAAGAGTTTCTCATCATAAAGAACAAATAACATTTTTGTAATGTTTCATGATGTTTATGTGAACCCACACGACTAATAATATTTTAGGGCAGAAGGCCCTTCCATTCTAAATTGGAAGGAACTAACCGTAAATGGACGGAGCTGAAACGAGAAGAATCATCTTCTGCCGAGACAAATTTGGCGGTTTGAAACCATCCAAAAAAAGACTAGTTAAACCAGGGGCCGATCGATACCCAACTAATTTTTCGGAAATTTTGCAGCTTCAGAGCGCGGGGTTTGCTTCCTTCCTTGTTCCTTCTCCTTCCTCCCAATACCAGAAGAGCTCAATCCTTCTACCTGACCCAAAAAATTGAAAAAAACAAAAATTAAGGGGTAAAGAAAGAGACGAAGGGAACCCAAAAGGAAACAACGTCGAGGAGTCGACGAACAGAGACAAAATGGTTCCTCCCTGTCTCTCTGTAGCTTTCGGGAGAGACGAGGAGGTTAGAGAACCGGAATCGGCATTGCCAGCAGCTTGTTGTTTCAGGTAGACGAGAAGAAGAAGAAGAAGAAAGAATCTGAAGCCGAAAGAAGAAGAAATCACGTAACTCATTGAAGATGTGGATGCCAAGAACAATCACGGAAAGGAAGGATGCCGGTAATGGCGTGGTGGCGGTGGCAGTAGACAAGGACAAAACCAGCCAAAACGCCCTCAAATGGGCTATCGACAATGTTCTCCAGAGAGGCCAGACCGTGATTCTCATTCATGTCAAAGTTAAGCAGCAGCCTCAATCCTCCTCTGCTCCCAGTAAGACGAACCCACATTTCAATTTTGTTCAATTGAACATTGTAGACTTTGTAATCATATCCATATAACCATGCTTTAATTGCAGGAATGAACCAGGTGATTGATGCCAATGGTGAAAGCTCGTTGGTTTGCAGAAACCCTGATTCACAAACCAGGGAGTTGTTCCTTCCTTTTCGATGCTTCTGCACTCGTAAAGACGTATGTATGAATGGACAATCAATTTCATTTTCATGGGTGTAAATCAATACCAATGTACATTCTTACGATACTTAGTCACTGTGGGTATTGCATTTGCATCACAGATTCAATGTCAAGACATTGTGCTGGAAGATTCAGATGTAGCAAAAGCATTGATCGAGTATTCGAATCAGATGGCGATTGAGACCTTAGTATTGGGGGCCGGCTCCAAAGGGGGCTTGTTCAGGTACCTTTGATTGTTTGAGTTTGAACTGGTGTTAAATTCTTCCCAATTGGAGAAGTGGGTTTTGCTTAACTTCCATAGAGTTTCTTCTTCATGCAAGATTCAAGACCACAGACATACCTGGGACTGTGTCGAAAGGGGCACCTGATTTTTGTACAGTGTATGTTATATCCAAAACCAAAATCCAGTCTGCAAGATCTGCTTCTCGTCCTGCTCCCCAAATCTCTCCTTTCCGCAATGTCTCTAGCCAATCAAGCATTAAATCCAGTTCATCAGACCATTCTGTCCCGCCAGCTAGAAGAGGTAATAACTTATGAATGCTTCTCTTTTCTTCTTGTTGGTCTTGTTCTTGTTGTACAAATCAATGTAATGAGTTTTGAAAGTCCAGTCAGAAATTTGTAGTTTGACAATAGAACATATGATTTCCACCATCAGGCGAGAGGCCTCCAATAGATCCACCACGGAAATCGAGTAGTGAGAATTCAGATTTTTTCAGGTTAGTAATTCAACTAGTATGCTGCTTTGAGAACACATAACAGGATATATATGTGGCTAACAGATTGTTCTGTTCTTTTTGTTTATGTCGGAAAACAGGTCTCCATTGACGAGGAAAGGTGTGAATGTGAAATCATATGGTGATATAAACTTGGCCGAAACAGATATATCATTTGTTAGCTCCGGAAGACCAAGCATTGATCGCATGTTCCCAGCTTTCTATGATAGTAACAACAATCCAGATGCAGGACGACCACCAAGGCTATCAAATCTTTCTGAGCTAGAAAGCGATCTCAACAGCTTTGAGTCGGCAATGCAACCTGGTAGGAGATCACTAGATATCACCTCCTCCCCTAGATTGTCATCAGTCTCCCAGGAAAATGAAAGGCTCTCGTCAGTATCACAATCCATGGTAAACTGCATGCTTGGTTTTCAAGCAAAACCATTTTAAGATGGAACAACTTTTGCTCAAGTAACTAGTCTGTAACTGTTGCAGGACGATGTGGAAGCTGAAATGAGAAGGTTGAAGCTAGAGCTAAAACAAACAATGGAAATGTACAGCACAGCCTGTAAAGAAGCGCTTGTAGCACAACAGAAGGTAAGTAAGCAATGCATGAAGTATACTGAAAAACTTTAATTGCATCAATAATTGGAAAAGCTAAACCATTTTTTGGGGTTTGAACTACCAGACAAGGGATCTACAAATGTGGAAACTAGAAGAAGAGAGGAGGCTAGAAGAAGCAAGACTGGCTGAGGAAACTGCTTTGGCAATAGCTGAGAAGGAGAAAGCGAAAACCAAAGCAGCTATCGAAGCCGCTGAAGCTGCTCAGAGGATTGCAGAGCTAGAAGCACAGAAGAGAATCGACGCGGAGATGAAAGCAATTAAAGAAGCTGAAGAGAAGAAGAAAGCACTTGACACTATCATGCACTCTGATGTCAGATACAGAAAGTATAGCATTGAGGATATTGAAGCTGCCACTGAAAATTTCTCCAACTCACGCAAAATTGGAGAAGGAGGTTATGGTCCTGTCTACAGGTGCAATCTTGACCATACACCTGTTGCCATAAAGGTCCTTCGACCGGACGCTGCTCAAGGAAGGTCCCAGTTTCAGCAGGAGGTATATCTACATTAACGAATGCTAGTAACGAGTTTTCTTTGTGTGGTGTATTGTTGAAATAGATTGTTTGTGAAGAATTACTAGCTATTAAAAGTAGATATGTAGTGTAGGGGGTGGATTGTGAAAATGGTACTGTTGAATTGGAATTTGTTTTTTTTTTTTTCACAGGTTGAGGTGTTGAGTTGCATTAGGCACCCAAATATGGTCCTCCTACTGGGTGCTTGCCCGGACTATGGATGCTTGGTGTATGAGTACATGGCGAATGGAAGCCTAGAAGACCGTCTCTTCCGACGAGGCAACACCCCTCCTCTATCATGGCAGCAGAGATTTCGTATCGCTGCAGAAATTGGAACCGGCTTATTATTCCTCCACCAAACCAAGCCTGAACCCCTTGTCCATCGAGACCTGAAACCAGGCAACATTCTCCTTGACCGTAACTTCGTCAGCAAGATCAGCGACGTCGGTCTGGCTAGGCTGGTCCCGCCTGCGGTGGCAGACAGCGTTACACAGTACCGAATGACATCCACTGCGGGAACATTCTGCTACATCGATCCAGAGTACCAGCAGACAGGAATGCTGGGGATCAAGTCCGACATTTACTCCCTCGGGATCATGTTCTTGCAGATAATCACTGCCAAGCCACCAATGGGGTTGACACACCATGTGGACAGAGCCATTCAGAGGGACACGCTGGTTCAGATGCTTGATCCCGCTGTGCCTGATTGGCCCATGGAAGAGGCCAAGAAGTTTGCTCAGTTGTCACTGCAGTGCGCCGAGTTGAGAAGGAAGGATCGGCCTGATCTGGGGAAGGTGATCTTGCCTGAACTCAACCGGTTGAGAACTCTTGCCGAGGAGAGTATGCAGCAACAACAGCCTTTTTTTGCTGGCAATACTCCCCTTCATTCCCCGAGCTCCTCCCAGGTTTCTCTCAAACTAGTGAGTGATCATTCATAGCCCCCATTTTTTTATACCTTGATTCAGTCGATGTTGCTTATCGTTGTTGATTGCCAAAATACATGGTTTCTTCAACAATGCATCATCTTCTTGTCTAAATACGATAGGGAAAAACACCAAGTCCAGTGTCTTTATAATAGCTTCATGACGAACGTTGTATCTTGATATTACACACATTCTTACGATTACATCTCACACAAATACGTCGATTTCTGAAAATTCATGCATTCTGCAACATGTCTATTGAAACGATGATGTAATTAGCTAGATGGTGGTGTTTGCAGAATGAGCCTGCTTCTGTATAGAGCGGCTGTGGAAACTGGAAATGAGCTGAAATCGTGTACTGTTGACAGCAGCCATGCCAGACCCCTGAAGAGGCGAAGATGAAGATTTGTACATTGTGATTCTTTTCTATAATTTTCCTCTTTTATGTATTTTCATGGTGTATATAGTAGTTGTGGATTGTGAGTATTGGGTTGGCTCAAGAATGAAGAAAGTAGCAACATGAAAGATTTTAAGAATAAAGGAGCAATTTATCAGTATGCTTAAATTTTGAGGGGCGAAGTGTAATTTGGATTTCGTTATCCGCTCCAAGGTTCTTAGGTCCTTACCGTGTTCGCCAGACCGAACGACCGAGTGAGAGAGCGCTTCTCTGCAACTGCGAAAATGGAAGCTACCGCCTCCATTCTTACTTCTTCCGCTGCTTCCTGCTCACCGTCTCCTTCTTCTTCTTCCTATCCCATTTGTTCAATCCCTCACCTCAGAATCGGTAGTTCCCGGTCATCAATTTCCCTCCGCAAATCACACCTCTTCAGCCCGCTCTCGCTGCTGCTTCCCGTCCCCTCCGCGTCTTCCTCTTCTCTCCGGGCGTCCTCCGTCCAGGTAGTTCAAACTCCCGCCACCACCGACGCTTCGCCCGACGCCATGGATGTCGCGATGCCCAAGATTGACAAGAGTGGGAGGTTTTGCAGCCCACGAGCTGCTCGGGAGCTCGCTCTGTACGTGCCCCCTAACTTTGTAGTTCTCTTCTGCTGCTTTCCATGGCTTTTGTGTTCATTATCCGCAAATTTCGATGGGTTTTTGTAAGTCTATGTCTTTTGAGTTTCTGAGCGAGCATCTAACCTTCATCAGCAATTCGAATTATTGCTTCCTGTTAGTAAGGAAATCCAAATGTGGATATCATGAAGCTCGAAACGGTTTCAAACCTGCGTGCATCTGTTAGTGTTTACCTCCTCCCTACGCCCCCGAGGTTTTGGAAGATGTTCATTCAGCTGTTTTCACAAACACGTTATGGCCCTTTCTGTTGATGCTTCTTCCGTATCTGCATTCGTCTTGGTTCGTGCTCCTTTTGATCGAGACTGATTTGGAATTCTTTTGGCATGTAGATTGATCGTTTATGCTTCGTGTTTAGAAGGGTCTGACCCAATTCGACTGTTTGAGAAGCGGATGAATGCAAGAAGAGGTGATTGCTTCCTGAAATGATCAGTTAACTTTTGGATTGTTTATTGAGATAAAGCTTTACTCTTTAACTGATTTGGTTTCTTCTGAAATGTTGGAAATCCAGAGCCTGGGTATGAGTTTGATAAGTCGTCTCTGTTGGAGTATAACCACATGAATTTCGGAGGACCACCTGTTACAACGGAGACCATTGAAGAAGCTGATGAGCTGCTGTGCAGAAATGACCATGAATCGGCCATTGGTACTTATATCTTCTATCCTTTCGGGACAGTACTTGTTCATGGTTTGCATGAATGTAGTTGCTTGAATTCTTCTTTCTCATGGCAAGTGAGTTGTAGAGGGCCACCAGTGCTTGTGACACGCCTTATTGCTACTATCCAACCTGAAACAAGCAGAGTTCTGGACTGTTGAATGCTATTAAAAAAATTTGCGTTTAAAAAAATGATGAATAGAATACCACATTTTGCTGGGACCTTGATGCCTTTGTTGTTGCTTTCATTTCAGAAGCTGAAGTCCTTTCAGCGCCTCCGAAGCTGGTATACAGCAAACTGATTTTACGGCAAGTACATATTCTGCTAGTTAAGCGATGAATGGTTTAGTCGAGATACATTGTATTGACTGCAGTTCTACTCAATAAATTGTGGCAGTCTAACAAGGAAGCTTTTGGTAGCTGTTGTGGACAAGTGGGATAGTCATGTCCGAATTATAGACGAAATAGCTCCTGCGAACTGGAAGGTATGCATGCTATCATCCTTCTCTTTTGTGTAAAGGTCTGTACGTCCACAATCCTCTTAGGACAAGGAGAACAGGTACAGAATCTAAGCTCTTACTAAGAATTGTTATAAATGGAGAATTTGCTAATAAGATAGTTGGAACGTGCTTTCTTTGTTCACTTGGAAACTATTCCCTCTCTGCACCAGCTTCTATTATGGGTTTAAACCGAAACACATTTTCCCCCATGATATTTGTAGTTGTGCATGCGACGTCTGCACTGTTTCCACTTTTAGGGCATACTAATAATAAATTTATTGATGCTTTTGTTGCTAAGTTATGGATGGAGCATGGCCGTAAGTCAATGGGATAAATTCACCATAACTCATATTTTTCTCTTCCGTTGTATTCTAGTTAGCAAGATTGTAGTAACTTTCTTGTTCTTACTGTTCAGAATGAACCAGCAAGCAAAATTTTGGAGCTCAGCATCCTCCATCTAGCAATGTCTGAGATTATAGTCATCGGGACAGCACACCAGATTGTCATCAACGAGGTACCAAAGCATTGATCTTTGCCAGAAGCCTTCGATTTGTGTTACTGACTGCCTTGCGTCATTACCCATTCATTCTGACTTCGTGATATGCAATAATCGGAAATGAAGGCTGTAGATCTCGCTAAAAGGTTCTGCGATGGCGCAGCCCCACGGATAATCAACGGATGCTTGAGGACATTCATGAAGGGTCTTTTTGAAACTGAGTTAGCTCAGGATGCTTCCTCCGCCAAGCAGGAAGTCGTACAACTCGACCGCAATCTGCTTGGACAAAAGAACGTATAAACAACGAGTCACGACTACAATGTCACAGGAGAAGAAACAACCTATGGAGAGGCCTGCTAGCTCCCGGAACCCATTCCATCAGAGCTGTAGAAGAAGCATCAAGTGGTGGGTATCAAGAGTATAGAATATGATGCGTTGTTGTTGTTGTTGTTATTGTTGTTAGATAGTGGATTTTAGCAGCAAACGAACGAAGACATCGTTCGATGTATTTTTGTTGGCAAATGCAATGGATGATAGACTAGACTAGTTGGTGGTACTTTACTGAATGAGCGAGCCAGCTCTTCGTCTGCCATCTTGATTTTACCATGGATGTTGCAAAACAAGCAGCAAAAGAGAGCTGTCCATTGGGCCAAGAACAACAGCAGTCCCAAAAAAGTTTTTTGGGATGTTGCTAGGGATGGCAATTTCGACCTGACCGGTTTTACCCGATCTGTTTGGCTAGTTTTGGGGCGGGTCTGACCCGTTCCGTAGGCGGGATGGGGCGGGTCCGACCCGTTTCGTAGGCGGGACGGGGCGGGCTTCAGTACTCTTATCGACCCGACCTGCCCTGACCCGCCTCATTCTCGGCCCGTTCTTGCCTAAATTACATGTAATCTTAGTCAAATTATTTAGGATTTTTCTATTATTACATCATAATTTAGCTATAATAAAATTGTAAATTAGTGAAAATCTCAATTTCTCTGATAATTTAACTACATTTATCATAATATTGTTTGTTTTCTTGGTCTTATAATAAAAATAACGAATATTTTTCATATTTTTCATATAAATTGCATACCCATTGGGTCGACCTGTCCCGACCTGCGACCCCTGATAAATTACTCGACTTGCACCCGACCTATCACGAGGCGGGTTAGCAAGAAACCCGCCCAGGACCTGCCCATTGCCATTTCTAATGTTGCAAAACAAGCAGCAAAAGAGAGCTGTACATTGGGCCAAGCAACATCAGCGGACCCATATGTTTGGGTTAATAGTGACTGGGCCGGATTATTTTTCGAGCTACGGCTCTTTTAACTGGACTGGACTAGGGTTTTGTTCAGAGTAAAGAAAGAGACCTGTCTCTCCCTTCCTCTCTCGCCATGTTTTCTCTCCTATATAATGTCAAGAACCGGCGGCAGTGTGTATTGTATGTAGGCATCGCCACCAATTGGGGATTTGGGGGAGGAGAAAGAAGAAGCTACCAGCTTTCTTTCTGCATCAACGATTCATGGCGTAGCTGCTTGCTTGCTTTTCTTTCTCTCTGTCTGTATTGAGTTAGTGATCATTCATTCTTGCCTGATATTGCAATTCCCTGATCTGGATTTCGGTCCGTTAGTAGATCTCTGAAGGGAATCTATCGTCAGGCGAAAGTGAAAGAGTGCGCCGTGGATTATAGACTCCACTGCGCCTCTGCCTTTTAGCTCCGACCTTCCTCTCCCCTGGGGATTGTCGGTGACAAGGTTGATACATACACTTTCTTTCCCCGCAATTTTTCTTCTTCTTCTTCTTCTTCTTCTGGTTTCGTTTTCTTTTTCTTCTTCTTTCGAATAAGCTTAACCATGAGTATGAAGGTAGAGAGGAGATGGGGGGTGATGAAAGAAATCAGACGGATTCCCACTGAATCTATATAGTGATTAATCACCAGCTACTTCTGACCCTTAACCTCATCCGCCTTCATTTTTGTATTTCAAATCGTTCTCCTTCCTTCCTATCGTTTTTTCCCCCAATGCATGTCTGATTGGATAGAGATGGTAAAGTATTGAACTTGAACTGGTCTGATTGGATAGAGATGGTAAAGTACTGAACTTGAACTGGGTTGGGAGGAAGAGTCAATAATAATGGGGCCGGTGATGTAGAATCTATATATTTGCTACTCTTGACTGTGAGCTTTGTCTCATCAATGATGATTCTTTACCACCAAGATCTCTGAGGCTACTACTCTTCCTCCCTTCTTTTCAAGATTCGCCTTTTTTTTTTCTCCCTGTTTGCTTATTTGTGGTTTTATGAAGTGCAGAATGAAAACGATGGTCGAATTCCAAGCCCAGGAGGGATCAGCATGGTGCTTATCGGGGCTGCAGCTTACCAGTGACGTGACGTCAGCCCTACCTTTTCAATGTAGCATTATACAGCAAAAATTAATTAAAAATGATGAACTGTTGGCTGTCTTCTCTTTGCCATTCCCCCATTCAGCATTGGTTATTTGATTGTATAAATGTGTCACCTTTTCTTGAATGAAAAAGAACTCTTTGACATAATTCAGCTGTGTTGTGGCCTTCATATTTGGCCTTCTTCTGTTCGTTTGCACTTTGCTAATAGATTAATAGTACTGCTAGGGGTGTACAATGGTTTGGATATTGGACCAAAATCAACTTTGGTTGGATTGCACTGATTTGTTACTTGGACCAAACTCAACTTTGTGAAAATATATTAGACGGAACTGATATTTGGACCTAACCAAATGGATTGAATACAAGAGTTTGGTTTGAACCGAACCATCTCACTTCTACTTGCGGCCTTCAAATTTGATTACCCTTTCTCAAAATCATAGATACTAACATAATTCGTCATTTTTAACTTAGTCGTCCAGATGAACTTGATTGTGCAAAAAAGAAATCAATTTCATCAAGTCAGGTCACCAAATCTAAATGATGTTTTGACGAATGCAACCATTCAACTAATACTCCCCCACAGAAAAAAAGACTTTAATCAAATGACGCAGAGATCTGAGCACCAAAACCTCCAATAATCCAATTATCTAGTTTCTATAGAAATGTATGTGAACTCTCAACTTATGTCTATACAAGACTTCCTTTCTTAGCTACTACATGTCATGAAAATTTATTCGGGAAAATAAGAATTCACTACAAAAATAAACTAATCCAAGTTTCTTCAACCAAAATTTGCTTACTCCCATTCATCACAAAAACAATCTCATCCCGGTTCTGCAAAATACAGGTGTGCCAAACGAGGGTCCGGGAGTGAAAACTACTTGCACGGTCCTCCTTCGTCGAGTTCCCGGGATTGTGTGCTACTGAACTCGGCATTTGCAATAGGGCTGTTTCAGCGAAAAGCAGCTTCCACTGGCTTTCCGTCTATGTTGCTTCCACTGCTGCAGGTTCTTCAACCTTGGGTTGCCTCTTGGGTCGCCCGCTTCTTCTAACATCGTTACTTGACAAATACTCCAACGCTTTCTCCACGGTTAACTCGTCTGGATCCACGTTCTGAAATATTGAAGGGGACACCATGTATCAAAACCCAGAGGGACAAAGAATGCAGCAAACGAACATTCGGATGACGATCATTCTATAATGTCGATCTCCTACCCCATTAAATACAGACTTTGTAACAAAAGGACATACCTTGGGGACGGAGGCAATTGTGCGTCGATGTCTAATATTAAACCCATTCTTTGCAAGCTTTAATATTATAGGATGTCCATCCTTTGGGTGGTCTCCCTGGAGAAGATGATTAAGTTTTGAGTTAAGAATTGAAAAGAAGAGCATCTGCAATTCCAGAGTTTGCTGGATATGGCGTACCAATGTCAATGGGTAGCGCAACAATTTTAGAGCCTCCTCCAGTGTAATGGCATCCACCTCCTTTATCTGGAGCCATAAAAGTGCTATCAGTCTATAGACACAACTAACCGAGCAAAAGGAACTTTAATTTTAGATAGCAAACAGATAATTGCAGAAAAGAAATGGCTACATTTACATGGGATACGGATGTTCTTTTAGGGATATAGTCCTTCTTATCTTCCCCAAGCTGAATGTAGAAACCATAAGGACCTTTCTTCAATAAAATCTGGAAAACAAAGGACGGACGATCTGGTCATCATCTACTTCAAATGAAATCAAGAACCACCATTAAAGTTCGAAGGCTAATTTGTGAGAATAACATAGGTTAGGCATACCTTTTCCTTGGAAATTGGATGAAGACCTAATACTTTTGGCTCCTCCACCGTACCAGCATTTTGGGGAGGTTCTTCATCTTCTTCGTCTCCAAGCAATGTCTTGGCAATGTACCTGCAAATATAAACTCCAAGGAAATGAGCCAAATTGTAAACAGTTGAAAACAAAGAAGAGATATAAGCTCTTAAAAATATTTTGATATACCCACTTGCACTTTGGATGCTGATCACAGCCGATGAAGTAACCTGCACCATACCTACTCACTTTGAAAATCAAAGTGCCCTCCATACAACTGAAATGATACAATGTAACAAGAAAATGTCTCATTAACTTGATGAACTAAGGCTTATGCACATTGCAGTGAGTAAGCAGCAGCTTTATCAAACAAAGAATTGTGGTTAGTTAACCTAGCAACATATAAATAGAACATTAGAAAAGAATTACCTCGGGCAAGTCCTGCTTTCGGAACGGAGTGAGCCAAACAAATGGTCGCCAAACTTTTTTTCTAACATTTTCTCCACCTGTAAGCATATCACACAAGCAAAAGGAGGTTGAGCTTTCCACTGGTGTTCCAAACAAGAGGGGGAAAGAATTTTACATCTGGAAATTAAAATTGATTGCAGCACTCTGAACTTACTTGATGAATGTGGACAGTTTCGGTACTGCTGCAGTATGAGCTAAATCTTGTCCAATAATCTCTAAGAAGACCTTTCCATTCAGTAAGTCCAGCAGAAACATTATCAAGCTACGTGCGAAAAAGACAAGTTCAGAAATCAGCTCGAGGAGAAGAATGAGAACCCTACCGAAGTAAAGATATTTTATTTTGAGTTTTTAGGATTGGTGGTTAGAAGGTCACCTCAGTCTCCATATCAGCAGTAAAGCTGTAATCTGTGACCTCCGTAAAATAGTTTGAGAGAAATGCTGAGACCTAGCATCAACCCAACTGATCAACATTATTGGTCATCTCACACAATGTAGACTGAAAAAAATGAATAATAGCACCAGAACCTACCATTCGACCACGAAATTCTGGGTACATCACACGGCTTTTCGTCACCACATATTTCCTGTCCTGAAGTCATAAAGTAGATCATGTCCAAAAATAACAAACATTACAACTAGCAGATGTACATATATCCAATCAGCGTCATGATTGCTTAGCTTTTGTTTTAGTTTGAGAAGTGGAATATAATGCGAAGTAAGATATATTAAAGTTTCTCGCATTGAAGGGAAAGAGATTGACCCAAATATGAAAAGATTAGACACTTGCAATAGGGTCGGTGCTAATATGCACATAGCTATCAACCAATCAACTAAAACAGCATAAACATTTTCATAGTTACTTTTAATTTTTTTCCTACAAGGCTTGGATGAAGTCATAAATTGTGATATCCCACATTGAGGAGCTGAGGGAGGCTTGACAATGCATATTTAGAAACTGATGATTGGAATCATTCTAATACGTTGTAACAACCACCAAACAACTAAAACAGCATCCATATTTTCCTCGCTATTATTTCCTAAAATATAACTAAAGAATGTTTGATCAGTTCTCAACATTAGTTACCTGTAAAACTTTCAATGTGCTGGCATAAGTTGAAGGTCTTCCAATCCCAAGTTCCTCGAGCTTCTTAATCTTTCATGAAAATTAAAATGGCATAAGCACCAACACAGAATGTCAGAAAAGACCAAACACATCTCAAACAGTCGGTGAATTTCAATAAGCAAACATGTCAAAAGTCGTACCAATGATGCTTCGGAATAGCGCGGTGGAGGCTGAGTAAAGTGCTGCTTGGATTCAACTGCAGCAATAGACAAGGCATCCCCTTCCTACAGAGAAGTCTCTTAGAAGTTCCAAATTAAAGCAACCCAAGGAAACTTTTAGAAGCATAAGAAACTAGAACATAATGATAAAGGTAAGCAGCTGACAAAAATATTGCCTCAGAAAAATAATCTACATCATTCAACCATTAAATGAACGTCAACTGTGAGAATATCCACCTTCAAAGAATTAAGGTCTCCAGAAGCTTCTTGATGAGGGTCCTCCTCATCTTCTTTGCCTCTTAGAACTCTAGTTTCGACATCCTAGAATGCATACAAAGGCCTCAAGTGAATGAACAAAACAAAACTCATATCAACTTTAAGAACTAAAATCATCGGCACATATACTAAAGGAATTTCATAATATATGAATATATCAGGCCCAAAAAGATTTTGAAGTCAACCAATAGAACATTTAATGTAGATATGGACCTTCCTCTCACCAAAAGATGAGTACCTGATACACTGCTTGGTAGCCACGAAATGCAACTCTTGAACACGAAGATCTAAATATGATTGACTTGCTAACATTTCCAATGTCCACTTGCAACTGTTTTGACAGAAATTGCACAAGTGAATGCTTATATAAATAGAGTCTAATAGAAACAAGAAACAAAAGGACAATGTTCCAACCTACTGCCTGAATTAGGTCCTGTTTTAATATAAAAATCTTTGTCTGAATTCTAGTATTTCAAACCACCAGATACCCGCTGATCACAGGATATGCAAGTCAGTAGTAATGTAATTGCCAGATATTTGGGTTAAATTGGAAAAAATCAAAGGAAACTGTGCTAATAGATGCAAACTATCTTTGAGAGGTGATGCTTTAGGCTGATGTATCTCATTTTCAGGCGTTCAAGATTTACTGGACACTGAGGCAAGGACTGGGGGATAGCAGGAGCTTCTTTGGAATGGTAAGGGATGACAACCAGAAGAAAATCGGAACTCAGCAGGGGCACTGCTCTAATGGCTGCTCAAGGAAACTTTTCGGCCAAGGAGGTACGTGTCACAGCAAAGAACACGATGTAGCAATTCAAATCTTTGCAACCCCATCAATGAGAATTCCAGTATCTTTCAGATGATTTACACACTACAACTGCTTCAAAATTCTCTTCCAAGCTTCTCCCTCCGGTTTGGATTGAGCTTCATGGTAAATTTTCTATTAGTTTTAATAGGTTCATTGGGTAAGCTCTACATGAGTATTTGTGTTTTCACGGCTAAACAAACGAGTTCTGACAATTTCATTGGAGGAACCTATCTGAAGAATTTAGGGTTCCGACATGTAACTGGCCTTGGATGGTGTCAGTATCACCGACTTCTTTATCATTTTATATCTTCCAATGTGTTCATTAATGGCCATAGATTGACTAGTGTATTTGGGGATGTGTTACACACATGAGCGAAGTTTAATGTTAATTACTGCATGGATTAACTGGATTGGAAATCCTCTAAAGAGAGCACTGTACAATTTATACAAAACAGAAACCACTGTACATGTTTAACTCCAAGAAATTAATCAAGTTTGAGAGTGGAATTTATGGAACAAGAATGTTTAAACTAACCTGTTCGACTATAGCTGGCTCCATTTGGCATGCCACACTGCGAGACCAGATAAGAGTGTATAACTTCAACGCATCCTCGTCAAGAACACCGGCAAGCATTGCTACAAGTCAACAGAAAAAAATATCATCGACATCTAGCACATCAATTCCATGGGATAAACCCCAAATTTGCATGTATGTCAAATTAGAGACAAGATATTATGTTTGTAGTAAACTGTGGACCTACATGGGAACATCTTAATGTCGGTTGGTCTGATTGCTTCATGGGCCTCTTGTGCATTCTTCACCTTCTTAAAATACTTGCGTGCACTTGCTGATGCAAAATCCGGGCCATACCTATGGGAAAAGGACTGTTCAATTAAGCAGTCGAACAAATAACAAACAAATGAAAGAGCAGAAAACTGTCGTCCAAAGCATGGATATTATACCAAAAGATGTCATTTATACAATCATACAAATGTGTTCCTAAAACTAAAGTCCAGACTGGAGAAAACACAAACAGGATTACCAGACACATCAGGGCACAAAAAAATCACCTTTCAGTGATCAGAGAGCGTATATCCTTGAGAGCTTCATCTGAAATCTGAGCAGGGAAAAGTAGAAATATAAATTTAAGGAACATGAAAAGAATGGAATGGCTTTTAAACACAATTGCCACAAGTAGGAGTCGCCAACCAATGTGACATGACTTACATGAAGACCATCAGTTCTGGTATACGTAATCAATCCCTTTGCCTTCCCCTCTGACAACTCAATCCCTTCATAAAGTTTTTGTGCAAGCTGATGCATCAATCCCATGTAAGAGCAATGGAATAATCACCAACATACAATCAAATTAAACACGAAAACTAACAAGATGAAAGAACGATAAATGTGAAATCTTCTGTAAGGTAAGGGAAGAATCAAGAATAACTTGAAACATGAATACTTTGTCTAATGTAGAACACAAACAAAAGCGCAGGACTTTCTACGATCTTTATGAACGACATAGTAAAGTGAGGGCAGAATTTCTGGAATCAGCATTCAATTACAGTAAACCAATGAAATGACATCAAAGGAAGAATCCCACTCATGATAATAGCATTATGCACAGGCATGAAAGGATAGAGAATGCTACACATGGAATTTTTGAGGAAGTACCAAATGAATTTTTTAGAAATATCAACATATGCTTTGATACCTTCATAGTGTATGATGTGTTAAACTGTAATTTGTTTGCAGCATCTTGCTGAAGCGTTGATGTGATATATGGAGTGGGAGGGTTTCTTCGCATTTGCCCTTTTTTGCAGCCAACTACTTCAAATTGTGTAGCTTTAATCTTCTGTTCAACGTCCTCTACCTCCTTACCAGAACTAAACGAGAACTGATTCAGCTTTTTCGAATCAAAACAGGTCAAGCGTGCACTGAGGGCAGAACCTTGTACTTCTTTATTCAACTTAGCCTCGATGCTCCAATATTCCTGTGGCTTAAACTCATCAATTTCAGCTTCCCTGTCAGAAATAAGAGCAAGGGCAGCTGATTGCACACGCCCTGCTGATTGACACCCTGGTAATTTCCTCCATAATAATGGTGAAATGTTGAATCCAATCAGATAATCAAGAGCACGTCTTGCCAAGTAAGCATGTACTAAGTTTACATTAACATGTCTTGGGGCTTGCAAAGCACTTTTAATTGAGCTTTCTGTTATTTCATGAAAGACAACCCTTGCAACATTGATACCCTCATGTAGAGCATCCTGCTGCAGCAGCATCTCAGTAATATGCCAAGCAATAGCCTCTCCTTCACGATCAGGGTCTGACGCAAGAATAAGATTTTCTGCTCTGAGGGACAAGTTCGAGAAGAGATCATCAGAACACAGACATAATGAGAAGATAAAAAAAAAACACATACAAATCAAAGATTAGGCACGACATAGGGAAATCCACATGAATGTGCTGGTATGGCTATGGCAACTGCATTCAGTTTTTATATTGATTCATAACACTAAATAAACTGGAAGGCATAGAAAACATACCCACTTAGAGCGACTTTAATGCTCTTAAGATAAGTCCAGGCAGCAGAAGGAACCTCCCACACCATGCTAAAGTCCTCGTCAGGGCGAACGGATCCTGACCTTGCAGCTAAGTCCCGGACATGGCCATAACTAGGCAGTACTTCATACATACTGCCAAGATACCCTTGAATGACCTTTGCCTTTGTAACAGATTCAACCACTACAACAGATTTCCCAGTAGGAGGATACAACTGTTTCAAGGTCCCTTGTTTAGGAGGCTTCAAGTTGCTCATCTGCTGAGGTTTTTGCTTCTCAACTGACTCATCACCAACAGTTGCCGATTTGCCCTTCCTCCGAGAGTTAGTACTTTTCTTCTTGACCTTCTGTTTTGTAGAAGCTGAAACATCCAGCAGTTTTTCGGATGCCTTTTCAGTTGACTTCTTCTGCAACACTGGAGATGTCAGTTTAAATACTGCTGACTAGTAAAGGATTAAGCCAACTATTTAAACAAATAAGTTCACAAACCTCTTCTGAACTAGTTTTGGCAGAATCAGCAGCACCAGCAGAAAGTTTCTTTTTTCCTTTCTTGCTTCTTGCCTTCGGTTTTCCATTGACTTCGGAGGCCTCAGTAGCAGAAGGAGCTGAAACAGATGATTTAAGAGGCACGCTCCCATTCGTATGATCGCTGGAGTTCAAGGCCTCAACATCATCGGAGGCTGAGACGCTAGTGTGAGCAGAACTGTTCTTCCTCTTTGCAGCCCAAGCCTTTGAACCCTTCGAACGTTTTCCCTTAGTGAAATTCTTTTCAGCCGCTTCCGGCGATTGAGAGAAATTCCTCGTCGGGATAGCTCCATAACCATGTGCAGTCAATCCAACCTCTCGATTCAAAGCCCAGCAACATGAGGTGGTCCTGGGAGTAACAAGTCGAGGATACCCGGAGATACATACATCAGCCACCGTGCCCGACGACAACCTGGGCGCTCTAACTCTAAGTTGCGTGAAGTTCCTGCACCTCTGACGATTCACAAACTGGGAAGTAGACAATAACCCGAACCCAGAAACATTCTGCAGCATCCCGCACTGCAAAGGAAAGTACATTTTATTTTCCACCACTAAAATGTGCAAGTTACTAGCTACTTTCACCAATGCAACAAGAGCCAAAATTCTCACACATTGGCCAAGTACACCCCACACGAAGAACAATCAGAGCATAGAAGGGATAAAGCTCGAGTTTTTTTTTCCACAGTTCTGAGCCCTTAACTAGCAGGACTGAAGAAGAAATTAAGAGGGTACCTTGGACATCAGGGAATTAAACCGCAAAGCTAGCAAGGGAGAAGAGGACGGCGAAGGCAAGAAAGAAGAGGAAGCAGAGGAGATGGATAAGAAGCTCCTCTGCAGTTGTGTTGTCATAGCCGTCTCGTCATTCGCTTTTTGCAATTATCCCAATGGCGGTCTCGACTTCTCGCTGCGGCCTGCTTCCTTATCGCCGATGACGTCGTGCGGGCGGCTGGATAAAAGGACCGGCGGAGGGGACAGTCGGCGAGAGGTGCAAACGGCGGTGAGCAAGCAAAGGGCGCTGGCGGGTTGGGAACGAGAGGCAGAGGTGAGGAAGTTCGTTATAGGGCTGTTGCCATTTACCATTAGGTTTGGGCGGTGGTGGGGATGGCTGCTACGGCGTCGGATCGGCGAACCTGGGTTTGGTAAATTATTTGTTTTCCTTGGTAAATAATCTGCTTCGACGACATCGTTTCCATCATTCAAAATCCTATCCAGCCAGCCTAGAATACCGGTTGAGTTATTGCATTTACTGTAAAAAAAAATGGTGAATCATTGAACTATTGCCAACCCTAATTTGCTTTGCATCAAACTAGTCAAATTTTGTGCCTAACATATCTTTTGGTATAAATGAATTCCATAAATTTTGAGGAAATGATTTTGAAATGAAATATTTTTGTGTTTGGTATTAAAAAGAATTCATTTTCAATTCTAAATTTTGAATTCTACGGAATTGGAACTAGTTATAGCAATTACGAGAAATTGAGATAGAATTTCCAAATGAATTCTACAATTATTTACTAATTATAATAGAATGACATTATTATCCTCCTTTATTAACTAAATTACTTATACACATATGACATACCAAACACAGAAATTCATTTGACAATGAATTCTACACCCCACTTCAATGATTTGAATATAACATACCAAACATAGGATTTCATTTGACAATGAATTCTACACGGTAATTCATTTTACAATGAATTGAATTCTCGATTCATTTGGTATCAAACGGTCGGTAAATGTGCTAATCCTAAACCTAATTGGTCAATAAATGTTGTAAAATATAATATATTGAATTTTAGTAAGGTGTGGATAGAAGAGATAGAAAATACAAAAAGGACAATCACATGACATATGAAATTTAGGGGCCGTTTGCTTTGGATTTAGAGGATGGATTTGGTACCCAAATCCATTTCATCATGGATTTTAAAAAAAAATCATTGTTTGCTTGCATTTCTTTTAATGATCAAATCCATGGGGCTCACGAATTTTAAGAGAAGAGTCCAAATCCATGAACTCCACGGACTTGTAAATCCTACATATTGATGTGGGATTTGTAACATGTCATAAATCCATGATGGAATTTTACCATATACCCTCATCAACTTTTAAAATTCCAAGGTTACCCTCACGTTTACCTATTGTATATTATAAATAATCAATTAATTAACAACAAATAAATAATATAAATATTCAATAAATGTGCAAACATGAGTTAGATTTGTATACCCTTTCTTGTGTTCTAGTTTCCCTTAACCTTTTCATGGTACGTGTAATTCTTTGTTTCTCGGTTCTAATATATGTTGCTATATGTTTACTTTTGAAAAGGAGGACAATGAATTGGTAACCAATATATGTTTCGTTAAAAGTTAAACGGAATTTTTGCATTTATTATTATTGTCCTTGTGGCAACATTATGCTTATTAGTACGTATTGTCTTTGTTTTGTGTACATATCATAAACATGACAAACAAATAAAAAGGATAGTATGGTAATTTTGGACTTTAAGTTCTAAAACCCAAACTCTTAAATCCATGATAAAGCATCTCAACCAATAGAGGATTGTTACAAATCCATAATTCCTCAAATCCTTGAGTTTTTAAATTACAAAACCCTCATTTTTAAATCCATGAAGCAAACCACCCCTTACCGTTCCAAGTGTCTGTACCAAGGTTGTCAACCCGCGGGTCGACCCACTTTGACCCTGGCCCGATGAGAAAAACGGGTCGCACGTACCCGCCGGGTCAACTGCTACGAGATATCGGGTTGAAGGTCAAATTGTGTCATTTTTTCCTTTGGTTTGTGAAATGCTCCTATTTTTCTTTTCGCCTAACTCAATCTTTGGAATCCTAAGTTGAACATTTGAATATTGATGTCATATAATGTTTGTGAATTTTCACTATATGTTAGATCTAAGTATGACATGTTATTTTTGTGTAATATTATGTGTTATTACTCATATGTTATATGAGATTTGTTATAATTTATCAGAATAAGTACAATATAATAACTCTTCCCATATTTCTAGGCTAAATCGGGCTAAACTGGGTGACCCATTAACCCTTGACCCACTAGTTCGATTGGATCCAAATCAGCCTGCGGGTTGACAACCTTGGTCTGTACCTTTGCTAAAGTTTAATATAGGGAGAAGCCATAAAGGGGGTCTATAAGCTGAATGTTGATGCAATTGTGATGGCAACGGGAGGTATTGGGTTTGGATAAGAGCATCTACATCGGCTTTCACAAGCCAATTTCATTATGAGGTGGCACCATTTCAAAGCTATTTCATGGATGTGGTCCATCCTTTCAACAATGAAATATTTCATTTGGTGAAATAGCAAATGAAATGGATGGTGGGGTAAAGTAGTGGGTCCCTTGTCCACTTTTTGACAAATCAGTTTTTTTTTTTTAATTTCAACTTTTATGGTTTGAACATACAATTAGGACTAAATAGATTATTATTAAAATTAAAGATTAACATAAAATCATATAAACTTATCATTAGATTAATAACTGAATTGATAGTACACTTCAAATTCTGGAAGATAATGATAATAAAACACACACGTATGTATATATATATATATATATATATGGATACGACTCGTATGCTCCGGACGCATAGTACGCTCCATGCCTTTCCACCATTGATCTAATCTATGGCTATTATTATTTATAATTAACTAATTTCTTATTAATAATTACAATTACTAATTACACCCGTAAATAATTATACGTCCATTAAAATCCCCCAACAATGAATAATCATCTTGTATTGTATAATTGAGTAAATAAAACCGAAGCTGATGTTTGATACACCGTCATCGTAGTCGACTAGTCGTCGTCCCTATATACCAAAGATTGGAAGGCGGCGGAGGATTAGGAAATCGCCGGGAATTGTCATCTCCGATCCACAACAACATCTACACGTCTACAGCAGCGGGCGCACTTATTGTGGGGAGATTATTTGTTTTTTTGGTTCACCATGCTGCTCTCCCCTCTGTTATTTGTCCATTATCAGTTTGGGGGATTCGTTGGCCATCTTATATGGAATAAATTTTTGTGAATTGATATGGGAATAGTGGTTTGGGGTGGTAGCTTTATTCCAATTTTGATTGAACTATTCCTAGAGATCCAGATGTCCAATTATGATTAAACTATACCTAGGGTTCTTGATGGAATCAGAATGTGAAATCGCCTCATGTAACTGAATGTCTTTCTCTCGGACACGAAGGGGGCATTGGGGAAGGAGACGCAACAGCCGCAACGGGATCCGTATCTTGAGTTTCTGTATAGGGAGAACTTCTGACGGAGATCGTCGAGAGTAATGTGGTGGCGGTGACGGAGAGATGAACTGGAAATTATCCAAAGAGAGGGATATACAGGATGTGTAAAATTCCAGTGATCGACGATATGAGACGGCTAGGGATAGATTTGATGATCGCCAAGGCCCAAGGGGGAGGAGAAGGTTCACCCACCAAGATGAAGAGGAAACGTGAAAGGATTTGGAGTTGGCCTTGACAGTCTGAGAAGAAACAAAATACAAATGTAGACAATGCCAAAATTGGGGATTAAGTTATGATTGGAAAAAAATTAGGTATTATAAAATTGATATGTCAAAATATGTATAGGAATTAAATAGCACGTATGAGAAAATAATGGAACCATTTAATAGTCTTTAAATAGTAAATTACATGTAATTTAATTAGTATTAATAAATGTCGTTAGATTAGATCAACGGTGTAGAGAATCTGGAGCATGCTATGCGTCTGGAGCATACTAGTCTGACCCATATATATATATATATATATATGATATGATATGTCACAACTATCACAAATCAATAGTAGTTAATACAAAAATCATTAAACGCACTTAGTTGTTGATTAAAGTTCTAATATATTTGTAATGAACTAGTTAATTAATTTTATCATTGATAGTGTGTAGTAAAATTTTAAGTTGGGCCCACCATATGAAATAGAAAGTGAATTTCATTGATGTAGAGCAAATGGAATTGGTATCTATTGAAATAGTAAAGGTTGTTGATGTGACAGTAGGGACCACATATGAAATAGAAATTGTATGTCATGGATGTGGATGATCTAAGTGATTCGGGATGAGGACGAAGGTTTTCATATGGTTGCGGTAAAAACGATGAGGGTTTCTTTGTCGTCGAAACTCGCTAAAGCACAAGCAGCCGTGTGGGCTTTGAAGATGGCTGATCTACACCATTTTCAAGCCGATGCTCCTAGAATCCAACTACTAGAACCTAATTCCGAAATCGGATAAAGAAGATGTTAGAAGATCAAGTATCAAATTGTAATTAGCTGTGATATTAAGGAGCTAGTATGTTGATTGCCGTTTAACCTAGCATGGTCTGTACATATATATGTGTATTAGGGCAGCCGATCTTGGTACTTTTCTGGTGAATAAGAATATTTATGCCTGGTGCCGTGGACTAGTCCCAACAATCAAACGTTGGGGATACCACGTAAATCTCGTCTTCCACGGAGGCTGAGTACAGGTCTATGAGTGAAGTGACCTCTGAGATAGTTTGGTTGCATCGTCTGTTGACTGAGCTTGGTGTTCAGTGTTCGCTACCTGCACGGTTGTATGCCGATAACACCAGTGAGATCAAGATTGCTACTAATCCCGTCCTCCATGACCGGACGAAGCTGATAACGATGTAATTGCATGTATTTGCACCCCTAATTCTTATCCGTTTGAGAGGCATAGTCGTGTATTTTGGCCTATTTTACGTCGGGTTGTGCTATTTTGTCATATTTCAGGTCCCAGGCGTCAAAGGAAAGGCTAAGCACGAGTTTCGGGGCATTCGGAGGTCATTTCGTCAAGCTGGAGCCAAAACACGGGCAGACCTAAAACAGAACACGGCCGTGTTCTGTGGCCGTGTTTTTACTGCCGAGAGCAAATTCAAGTGGGGCAAACATTGGCTAAAAACACGGGCAGAAGCACGGCCGTGTCCATCCAAAGCACGGTCGTGCCCACCACCAAACACGCCTGTGTTTCGGCCAATGCACAGGCCGTGTAATTAACCCTAGCCAAAACACGGGCGGGCTGAGGCATTACACAGCCGTGCCCTCGACCGTGTTTTGGCCTCTGATGCCTTTTTAAGCAGATTTTCAGCCAAAGAGAAGGGGATTCGAGTTTTTGAGAGAGAGAACGATTCCTAGAGAGAGAAAGCGACGAACAAGAGTCTCCAAGCGCCCTAGCTTGATCTTCAACACCATTGGAGGCCAGTTTGAGCTTGGAGAAGTGTCGATCAACGTCCAGGAGCAGGAATCCATCCTTCACAGTATGAATTCCGCGTCTGATTCTGCTTTTGCTTCTTTCTCCATGGAGTAGTTCTCCCATTCATCTGGGTATGGAGAACCCTAGATTTGTATGTTAGGCTTTGATTGTATGAACCCAAGTACTGATTCTATGATTTGATTATATTCAATTGAGGTTTGAATGATTGAATGGCATGAATCCTGATCAAATTCCTGTTGTTTCTGCTTTAACCTAGAATGAGAATATCTGCCTAGGTTGATAGAGCATCCTTGATTGAAGGTAGGGAGTTGGTGACTTTAGTCGAGGAGCCAACTCACTATTTTGTACCGGATTTACTCCGGTAGTGGAGGTTTTGTTTGTTAAGGCCTCAATCTGTTTACTCCGGTGGAGGTTAGTCGCCCGCTAGAGACTCAGATTGAGAGGGTCTGAAGACCTTTAGTCGAGACTTCAGGCTGTTTAAGAACCTTCCGCAGTATAACTATCATAGAAACTGAACTTGGTAATTACAATCCGGCTTAACTGCAGTCTAGGGGGAACCATATCCGGGTGACCTCTCTTAACTTGAATACAACCGTTTGTTTGCTTTGTTAGTTTGTTAGTTTAGACTTGCATTAAAGTTTCATTGCTAGATAACAAGAATTCACTGAGTAGTCATCAAATCTAGGACCCGGGTTGATAATTAAACCCAAACCCGCTATACTATGCTTTAGGAAGTGGTTTCACTTGGCCAATTCCTAGGGTGACAGTAGAAGTGAGTCAAGTTTTTGGCACCGTTGCCGGGGAACGGCTAGGTTGTTGAAGAAAAGTGATTTCTGTTAATTTAGCTTTT